GTTGGACCGCATATTTCGTCTTCACAACAACATGTCATGCTGAGTCCTCTTGGCCGTGATTGTCAAGCTTTAGGACTGACCTATCTTTCGTGCTCAACAGACAAGCAAAAGTTTTCAGCATCTATTAGTCAGCCACTCTATCAAGACTTTCAACAAATAGGGTCCATCTATGTGTACCTTTTTGATACCACAGCCTTACTTGAGCTCACAACCGATCAACTTCGGAACTTGTTCTCTGCACTTGCAGACTCTATCGTGAGTATTCCTGAATATGTCCATTCAGAATTGGAACAATTGCAATCCGTGTTTAAAAAGTGTTCGGTTTTTAAACAAATCATCCAACAACAACATAATGTACGATGTTTCAGCGAGGCAGTCAGTCATTCTCTTGATAGCGGCAACAATCATCGAGAAGATATTCTCCTTACCATTGCAAGAACGATAAGAAAACAAGATCAAAGAAGACATGTCCTAATTTTCTGCAATTACGAGGTGTATCATTCCGAGCTCGGAATTACATGGTGCTCGCATATGAGAGATTTGGAACAATTAAGAAAGTTTTAACGCTTGATGAAAAGAGCATCAGGTATAAACAAGCTTTTCATTTTTGTTAATAATAATTAAATTCAATAATTAAAAAAATGCAAAAATTGGGTGGTTATGAATTTTGGAAGAGTATTGGTTCTCCAAAGTTTGTCTGTGCTCCGATGGTGGATCAAAGGTAGATTTTGAATGCTTGTTGTTTCAATTTTTCAAATTTAGGATTTATAAATTTTTTTGATGACATTTTTGGATGACGCAAAGTGAATTACGTATGTTTGTGAACAAGGTGCTTCATGAAATTTGAATTTTAATATTATTGTAATTTAAAATTATTGTGTGGATTTAAAAATGTAAAACTAATTTTGAAAATTTCGGAAAATAGCCTTTCGATTATTGATAAAGGAATATGGAGTGACTCTGGCATACACTCCCATGCTGCATGGAAGATATTTTCAAAATGATAAGAAATATCGACAACGGTATTTTCAATTCGAACCAGAATTGGAAGTACCTGTTTTTGCTCAATTTTGCACACATGATCCAAATATTTTTGTGAATTGTGGAAAGCTGGCATGGGAAATGAGTGGAGGTAAAATTGCAGCTATTGATTTGAATTTAGGGTTAGTATTATTCTAGTATTATGGAACCCCAAAAGAACTTTTATGTTAAAAGATGTCCACAAAGAATTGCAAAAAGAGGAAGATATGGATCCTTTTTAATGGAAGACTTTGATTTGGTTTATTCCATTATCAATAAGGGTAAGTAACCTATATGAGAAAAGACCAAATTATTTCAATATTGTGACATGGAAAATGTTCATTCACAATTAGCTCATTTGGAGCTTCCAATACCTGTCACTGCCAAGATTCGCATTTTTGAAGATTTACAATTGACACTCCAATATGTGGATACCGTGGTTTCGGCAGGAGCTCAAGTTCTTTGCGTACATGGTCGAACGAGAGCACAAAAAGGCCCTTTCCAAAATTATGCAGATTGGAACGTCATTAAAGCAATTCGAGAACACGTCCCGCAAATACCAGTCATTGCAAACGGAAATATTAGAACGTATCAGGACGTACTTGATTGTCTGCAATATACTGGAGTGGATGCAGTAATGAGCGCTGAAGCACTGTTAGAGAACCCATCACTATTCAATAAGGGAGAGCATGTGCATCCACTGCAGGTGTGTGACCGTTATGTGGATATTTGTAAACATCATTTTCCACCTGATCATAACAACATTAAGAGACATTTATTTCGAATTTTGGATAGATCTTTGGGTGGAGCTGAAAATAATGATTTGCGAATTATGCTTGGAAAAGCCAAGTTGTGGGAACATTATCGAGGATTTGTGGATCATATCAAGGAACATCAAGAACGATTAGATTTTTCGAATTACATTGTTGATTACGAACCATCCATTCGAGTGGTTGAAGATCCAGAAAATCATCCAATCATTAAGAATCCAAAAAAGAATCGTCAAGAGGATGATGTCGCAAGTGATAACGGTGACAACAGCTGTTGTGAAGAAGAGGAAGATGTAGAATAATATTATATCTTTATCGCTCATTTCTGCATTGAATTGAAGAATGAATTGAACTTTCCTCCTATAACTAAACTAGATCCTAAACCTAATTCATAATCAATCTCAAAATCGCTGACTACTCTCTTGTCCAGAACTGTTTGTATGAATTGTGAACTTTCCTTCTCATCGGTGGCATCTATTACAAATGTGTTAGCAATGATCATGCTTCGTAAGGTTTCTTCCAGAGCACACTCCACATATTTCGAAATGATGAACGTTGCAAACGTTTGTTCCTTAATACCACTTATTTGAGCTCTTAACCGTGATTGAATGGATTCTACCTCCGTTTTGGACAACTTGATTTGTGAAATTAAATCTCTGGACTTGTCATTGTTGGTTCGAGTTGTGGTTGAACCTTGGAGACCTAAATCAAAACTTCCTTTCTCTGACAAGTATTCTTCTTTGAGGGGAATTCCTTTTTCCACTTTTTCGATAAATAAATCCTTATGCGTAAACACTAGGTATGGTACACAGCCAGTATATGATTGAATCATGTTGCTAGCAGACGTTCCTCGAATGTGGCTTGCAACAAAGTGATTCAGCAATTGTTTAAAGAAAATGATTGACTCGGACAAGCTGATTATTTCGTCATTCTCTTCATCATTGCCTTCATTTTCTTCGTGTACTCGTCCTCTGATACTCTCATGATCACTATAATTATAATTTGAAATATTGACGACATAGAAGATGACGTCGAAAACACAATTGTTGGTCATGGACCACTGCTGTATATGTTTCCTTCTGGAACCTCTCGTGACGGTAACAGAGCATTTCTGGCCTCGTAAATTAAAAACATCGGTCACTAAACCATTCACGGTCGTATAGGTTTTTAAAAAGGTTGGTAAACTGATTTTTGGAATGTGAGAATTTCGTCGAGGTGATTGAAGATATAAAGTGGCAAGATTATTGCGTTGCACTTCATAAATGTATGCCATTAATGATGGCAAATTTTGAATTTTCGATGCTGAAGTTTGCAAGTAATTGGTTTCCCAAGTCTCCTTCAATACCTTGTCGTTTTTCCATTTTCTATTCATTAAATCTGAAATTTCAACGGTGAATAGCTTAATGGTCATGTTAACATCTGATGCTAATACTTGTAAACACCATACGTAAAGCGACCGGAGATCTTCATCAATAAATTTCAGCTTTTCTGCTTCTGCCGTCCATTGTTTTGCTCTTTCATTCTTTTGATTAATTATACTTTGTGTAGTTTCTCTATTTGACAAAATTGGGTCGCTTTGTGTTGGCGAAGAGTCGTTGGATTTGGTACCTGTTTCATTAGTATTTTTCGTATTCAAAGGTTCATCATTTAAACGTTTCAAGTTGAGAGTAAATTCAGATTTTCTCTTCTCAATGGTACTTGTACTTGAAGAGCGTTGTTTCGATTTGTGAAACATGTTCACTAATTCTAATAACTTTTTCCAACCCATGGCAATGGTTTTGACATAGTAGAAAAACATAATTGACGGTGTAAGAATGCTACCAGTGTTTGTGTTGACATCCTTCTCTATATCGTTCACTATTTTCACCATATGGTTGTAAATTGTTGACTTTCCTGAGCTACCACTTCCAAACACACCAAAACGTGTAGTTTTAACAGTGGTAATATATTTAGAAAGAATCTTTCCAGACCGTTCGACCATGTCTTCATCAAACCTACACGACCCAACAAAGTAATCCTCTACAAGTTGAGTTTTACGTCCTTGAGAAACACTTTCTTCTTCAACAAATTGATGCACCACAAATTGAGAAAGTTTTTTTCTTGATTTTGGAGCTACAAGCACAGGATCTTTCGGAGTAGAGTGGGAACGTGCTCTCGGAGACCTACATTCAGTGGATATTCGAGGTGACGCCGTTAGACTTGGGTTTGAATTTGATTTTACAAGAGTGGCCTCACTGTTATCGATGGATAACGAACGAGGACTGGCATCAGAGCTTGTTGTGGACTGGGCAGAAAAGCTAATGTTTTTAACATCTACTAAATTGTCAGATGATAAGGCACGTATTTCCCTGAAAGTGTCCATGTCTTCATCGGCTTGACATGAATCTAATTTCGATGTTATATTGGCCATGTTCGTGCTTGGAGAGGTGGAGCTGACAAGATCCGTCTTGTTTCCTATCAATACTATTGGGCATGATTTAAATCTTTCATCTTGCATCAATTTTCTCCATTCTTGAATACAGTTTCTAAAGTACTTTTGTCTTGTTTTATCCGTTGCAAAATCATGTAATGAAACCATGTAAAAAATTATATCTGCTTTGTTTTGACTTGATTGGTCGTAGAGAGATAAATAATTCATTTGTTGTGACATTTCTTCTACAGTTTCACATTCAATGATTTGAACCGTATTATTTCCAAACTTAATCCAATTGTATTCGGTCAACGATCGAGGAACAAAATTAGATCCCCTGAATAGCATTCCAGGAAATAATATCATCAACGATAGAGGGTTCTCTTTCGATTTAGTCACGTTAAAATCATTACAGTATCTCTTGTAACATTGTTTTTGGAAAAATACATCCAAGGTTGGAAATTCGTTGGTGTCCATTCGTAACAAGTCTTGAATACAAAGTGTTTTTGGAGGATTTGTTCGAAAGGTGAACGATTGTTTTGCAGAATATTTTTTTTGGGTAATTCCGACATAGGTCAGTAACTTTTTGATTTGTACAATAGTGGGAATTTCTTCAAAATTAATGTCAACAATGTTACGTTGATCCCAAATGGTTAGTTTGAACACAGTTTCTCTTTTGTGTAGCTCATATAATCCATCAAATTGTAAATCTTCAAATTCTCCTAAACCTATTTTTGTAACAAGATCATAATAATCTGAGTCTGATATTACAAGATCATAATAATATATAATCATAATATAAATGTACATTATATATATACACATCATGAAAACATTAAATGAATATTATATATATATTATAAAATCATTAAATACCTACCAAATGCTAGATCAATTCCCAATAATTTCTTTAGTGAAGGAGGGAATAAATACTTTCCATAATTTTCCGGGTGATACAAGTACAATAAAGTCTCCAACTCTAATTGCTTTACATATTGTTGGAGTAATAAAATTACAAAATTATATTGGTTTTCACTCTCTTTTTTCATGAGAGTTTCAGGATCGTTGGTCGTGAAATTGACAAAATCGAAGGATGTTGATTTTTTGTGTAACAATGAGCCAAAAGTGCCTCCATTCACTGCAGGAACTTGATTGGATTTTGATGACCTCAAATTATTGATCCATTGAGAGAGTTTGCCACCTGTTGCAGTGGAAGGAGAGGTCTGTGCATTTTCTCTTGGAGAGATGGAGTGTAAAACATTTTCCTGTTGTGGCGATGATGCAACGTTGAGAATGGTCATATCATATAATGCAGAGTTGTCCAAATTTGAAGAGGATGACATGCCTGTGAACCCCTCTAAAAAGCCACTGCTTCCTCCAGTACTCAAGCTTCTCTTATTCAATCCAGAAGAGGGATTCGGCGTTGTCGTTGATGATGCTGTTGTCAAATCCGAAATAAATTCTTCAATGTTTTGTGCTGTTGATGCCAGTGCTCGAATCCAAGTCGATTTGCCGACGGATTGGTCTCCCAACACGAATACATGTTTATCTGCTTTCAAAGGACATGAAGGAAGAATTCTATCCTGAGGTACCTCAGTCACATGATGTTCAATCCCCATATTGGCCGGAGAGAGCGACAAGCCTACAGTACTAGTCGATGTATTCATGATCATGGGAGGTGTCGAGTGAGAACGTTCTCGTTCAATATTAATTAATGGAAATGGTGGATGATGGTGCGTGTTGGGACTTTTGGAGTGTGGTAGTTGTTTATGACGATTCTCTATCGAGGGATTATGGCTAAAACTTGATGAGTGATGTTGATGATGAGAATGGTGATGAGGAGGGTTGGTTGATGATGATGATGTATTGGCATTGGATTTCAATTTCATGGATGCAATAATATTGAGTAGAGGAACTTTGGATTTGTTGTTATTACTGCTGCTACTGCTGCCATTGTTATTCGTGTTATTTGCAGCAACAATGAATGTATTAGAAGGAATGTCATCCACAATGGTCCATTCTTGTGGTGATGATGATTCAACGTGTTCGGTTGTATCTTGTTGTAATTGTTGTACATTGGGTGAAGTTTGGTTGGGAGAAGAGCTCTCTTCCGAAGAGGGTAAGTTGGAAGGATTCATATTGGCACAGTGTCAATTATTTTGTTTGGTAGAGATCCGTCACGGAAGGGATCAAGTCCATGAGTTAATTTTTTGTTGTGAGTGCATTTGACACCTGTCAAAGCGAACGTTCTTTTGATAGAGCCATTAGAAACTCATCCTCTCTTATTCTACACTTGCTTTCACCTTCATCAGCCATCCGTTACCGAGTTTCGGTGTTGGGACAAACCCTCTGTTTTGTGGAGGCATTAATAACGTGACAGAATCATTAAGGCAGTGCGACGATGAATTCCTTTTAAATTAGCAGTACCTCAACAAATCATTTCACGTAAAACCATTCAACCTTATTTAATGATCTCATTGTTTTTGGCTTGCTGATCCCTCCTTTTTTCTTTCCGTATATGCTTGATACATGTTTTGAATTAGAAGACCAACAAATGCAATTATTAATAACCTCAAAATCAAGCCAGCCCTCTTTCTCTTGTCTCCAATTTCTTTCAGGAAATCTTGAATAGTATTGTAGGAGTTATGATGTGCTCCAATGTTTGGGTCGTATTCTTTTGCCATTTTAAGATCTTTCTTCATTCTTTCATCAGCTTCGGCTTGATATTTAGCAGCAGTAATCATGGAAATCTGTTTTTGGGATCCTCCAGCAGCGTCATTCTGCACCTCCTCCGCTCCTAATAGTTCAGCCAGCTGTGTAAGCTTGCTATTGATATCGTCCAACACGATTGCAGCTCGTTGTTTTTGTGAGAGATCCTTACTTAACACTTGCTCAACTTGTGGCCCTTGATACAAGGAATGAATGAATGTAAAATAGAGTTCAGCTCGATCGACTAATAAACGAGCAACCCATTCCTTTTTCTGTGCAATTTTTTCCGAGTTGCTGTTTTCTTCACCTAACTTCTTGATATCATCTTCCAATAGTTCAATTGCATTGCACAAATCAGTATGTGCTTCCTTAGCATTACCAAATTCTTTGTAAATGGAATATCTTCGCTCAAGTAATTCTAACACACTTGTTCTGATTTCATCAATTCTCTCAGCAGTTTGTACTTCTTGGTTTTTGTTTGCCTCTTTCAAAATTTGATTTTCCAAAGGATTTTCTGAGTTGTCTTCATTTGAGGGAACAGGTACTTCAAAACTTTGTCTTTGTAAGTCGAGGAGTTTGTTTGTAATGATATAAACTTCATTTTCTTTCTCCAATAAAACAATTATTCCTTTCAATCTGTCAACCATTTGTTTTTCGCTCTCCTCTTCATTTTCTGGTTTTTCACCACTTGTATTGACAATGACAAGCAACTCCAATTGATCGGATATAGTTTTTAATTTCTCCAAGTCTTGACCTGCCTTGTCAAAATTTGAAAAGGAATGAATATTTAAAAACGTCCTTCGCAACAAAGCATTCACAACATCCCACAATTCTTTGGGAACCACATGACCAGCAATTTTTGTTAATTTCATTGAATCCTATAATTCATAAGCCATCATGTACCAAAGATTGTTTTAAATATTTAAATAATAATTATTTAGCAACATAGAACGAATGAATAATACATGGAAATGAATAACAAATAATGACATGATGGTAATCATACATACATCTTCCATCTTGAACATTTTGTTCATAGTAGTAGCCGACAACTTGTGAGTCAAAACATCAAGCCTTTCAATAACTCCGTTCAATTCTTCAAAATAGCTCTGCTCGGTTGGAGTGGCCCGCAAATCTTCAATATCAATCAACAAGGTTTGATGATTTTGAGTTGTTGAAGTAGGTTCCGACTCGTTTGCTGAAGGATTTCTTGCGGTAAGATTCATTGAAAAGCCTCTCATCACGGAACTGCACATAGCACATGAATGATGGCTATTGAGTGTTCTTTCCATCATCATCTTGGAGGGAATTGTTGAAAGAGTCCATACCGATGATGATGATGAACTAGTACTTTTAGCCACACACGAGCGGCGAAGGAGAGTCTGGCGAGCCAATCTTTTCATCATTTTTCTTTCAAAGTCAATCTATTTCATATTTATTATTCCTACATACATGCGCTCACCGGAGGACAGATGGATGGAATGTTAAAAACACTTTCATCCACACTGGATTTCATATTGAAGAACTCTTCGACAAGACCTGATCCATCATTGTGTGAAACACTTAAGGGAAAACATTCGTCTTGAGGCATTTTCTGACTTCGAATAACCCAACCACTTTCACCATTGCTGTATTTCCATTGAATTTTTGAAGCATCTAAATCCAAAATCGTGTCTTGTTGCAGGACATTGGATTTTTGAACGCATGCTCTTTCTAAAGAAGTGTGGTTCTGAATGGTGCATCGACATTCATTGTCGATCAAGTTAAAATTAATAGTGGTTTCTCTACTTTGGAAGGACAGGGTTGAATATTTGGTAATCATTCCATTGACATTGGTTTCCACATCTGAACGAGATCTGAAACGTAAGAGATCCACAAAAATGTGTGAATTGGCAGTGACTGAAATATTTCCCGTCGTTTTACTCATGGATGATTGCACACTAAATTGGAAAGGGAGACAACAGAAAGTTTGTAACGGAGTCATGGATGCTCTAACTTTTGACGCAAGAGAGGTTGGTTGATGAATCCAATGGGTCAAAAAGCTCCTTGGGGCGATGGCAGCATGGATGCCAACACTGAGATTTAAAAGGTGGCAACAAACAGTCAGTGAGGCAATGAATAATAGCTTGAACTGAGTCATTGATGCTTTTGTTTCAATGTTTGTAAGTGGTCATCATTGAAACCCGCGGGCGTTCAAAACAAAACTTTGAGGTTTTTGGAATTTTTGAACCTTCTTTCAACACTCCTTGTTGGAACGTTGGCAAGATTCGTCCTTTCATAATGATTCGTTGTTAAAGTGTCTAATGTTGTGGCTACTTGGCTTCGGCTTTGGTTTTCTGATAAAATGGAATAAATGTAGAAAGTACTCGAAGAGGAATTGTTCGTTCTTTTCAACAGACAGAGATTGCATTTCTTTGGTGCCTTAGTCGAGAAAATTTGGAGTCCAAATCACTTATTTATCTATTGAGCTTTCGTTGATCATAACATGAGTTATAGAGAGAATTCCTCTCCCACTGAGATCTGAGTAGAAGGAGCAAATGAAACTCTCTTCTTGGTGAGTCTTTTGAGTCGACTTTTTCGTGACTCATCGTCACTACTCTCGCTACTAGACAGTAACAATTTTTCTTCTTCTTCTTCTTCTACGTATTGTTCTTCTTGTGCTTGTACTTCCTCTGTTGGTTGTTCCTCCTCCTCTTCTACTTCTTGAGGTTCTTCTTCCTGTTGTACCTTCTTCTTCTTCTTTTTCTTCTTCTTTTTTGGTTTTTCTTCAGTATTTTGATTATCACCTTCCTCACTTCGTTTCTTTCGTTTGGTGCTCTTCTTCTTCTTTTTAGGTTTCTTTTCTTGTTGCTCTTCTTCACTAGGAATTTGTTGAGAAGATTCTTCGTCGTTATGGATGGATGTGAGTGGATATTCTTCTTCACCACTATTGTTGTTATCATCTTCTCGAGTGATGAATCCACCCAGTGTTTCATCTGTACGCTTCATCGTTCGAGTTCGACTTGAAGAGAATCCATTCGATGAATACATATCTGCATTATTGAGAAGAGATACTTCTCCCATGGTGCTCCAATGTAAACTTTCACAAATGGTGAAAGGGTCTTCATCCACTCGCTTGAAAAAGTTTTTCACAAGTGATAGAACAAAGTCAACAACCTCTTCATTGACTTTCTTTTCAAAACTTGTTGATGTTTCTGTTAAAAATGTCTTATTTGAAAGAATGTTAAAGCAAAGCTTAAGGAAGGAAGCTCTAAACATCAACAATTCCATATTCAATTCTTCAATCAAATATTTAAAAGTCTTAATAATACATTTGTTGACTTCAGGAGAATTAATATCGTAAAATCTAAATAGATACATGTACTGTTTGAGAACAGAAGGATGAGCAAATTTTCTTCTCAAACTCTCGAGTTCAAATCTCTTTTGATTGGTTGTATCGTCCTCTTGTCGGTTATCGTCTTCATCATCATTGGAATTGTCTACTCCCTTCTTTCTCATAAAGAATGATTCAATAGTCAAGTTTTCTTCAATGACAGTCACAAACAAATCCACAAAGAGAACAAGTTGAGACAAGTATTTGGTGGAATTTTGATAAGGTTTGTACTCTCTAATGAGTCGAATAATACCTTCCATATTGGTTGGATCATACAGTATGTGATGCAAATGAATGGATACAATTCTTCCCCAAGTGATGGAGTTACTACCACTGTGATCTCTGTCTCCCATCCATCGAAATGTCATAAATAATTCTCGAAGAAAAGCAATCACAAATGTCAAATTGAAATGATGTTGAATGAAAAAGTATTCACTCAAAAGCTTTTGGAAGATCATGGATATCATGTTCTGCTTCAGTAAGTTTGAAACAAGAGAAATGTCAAAATGCACGGTATCAGGATATTGTTTTTCTTCTTCTCTCCTTTTCTTTTGAAGATATTTATGTCTATTGAACGAAAGCATGAATTGGCACAGATAGAGAAGATTTCTTTCACTCTCATGATCTAGTGCTTCTTTGGATGATTTTTGATCGAGTTCATTACGTATAGCAATGGATTCATCTTGTTGTTTCCATATGGCCTTCAATGCCAATTCAACAAATTCTATGTTCAAAAATGTTGTGTGAATATGCATTAATGTAAGACAATGAGCCACTTACGATTAAAACAGCTTCTGTAAAGATTATCAGCAAATGTCTTGACAATCCGTTTCGTGTCCAATGAGGATGACGAGAAACGTAATTCCATCTTGTCTGATGTGACATTAATTCTTCTAGCGCCAAATCGTGCTCCAATGGTTGATGCTGCTTTTTGTTGACCTCCACCAACTAGGAAAGGATTATCGCTGACGGAATACATGTTCGCTGTATTTAGTTGACTCACATTAGGAACTACAAATGTCTTTTGAATCTTAACATCATTCTTCTTATTTTCTTTCTCGGCTTCGTCATCAGCATCAAATGTTAAAATACTCTTATTCTTGTCAATAATCTTGCTGACATTAGAGCTTCGTTCTAAGAGAGTTCCTTGGAATCGAGTGTGTCGTGATGTAAGGATCAATGACTTGACCTGATCCTTATAAATTTTCTCTCGTCTAAGCAACCTCTTTAGTTCGCTGTTGTCCTTTTCCATATTTTCTTCATTTTGTGACATGACAATTTCCTCAGTTGCTGTTGTGCTGGAAGGAATCGTCATGGAAGAGGAAAATAAATCTTGAGCTGTCTCATTCCAACAAATCATAGTTGCAAACTTGAGCAGTACGAGTTGGAATTCTGACAACTTTTTCATCACAGATTGTGAAGGCACGTCGTCAAATTTTTCCACATATTTTGCAAATGTTGCTACTGCATAATCTAAAAATTGGCAGTCGTTTTGGAGTTGCTTAATGAAGACGTCTTGCATTCTGGTCTGTAACTCTTCAGTTTGCAGTACACGTTCATGCTTGGCGTCAGGTATCGAAAGGAAGTTATTGAACAATTTAAATATTGTCATGGCATACACTTCTTCATCTCCTAGCCCTCTTCTTTTTTTGTCGCTCTTCGTGGCATGTTTGGAGTTCATTTCATTTTCCATATCCATGAGTGACCACACAATCAAGGGAATGAATTTTTGTTCCAAAATACCTTGTTTTAGCCTTTGTAATAATTTCATTTGCTTTGCAAAATAGAAAGTAGCTCTGTGCCTTTCAGCTGCACCTCCTCGGGCTTGAAATTTTCTAAATCTAGGATTGTTTTGGTCAGGTGACTTACTCAACAACACCAATACATCAACAACTTCTCTAACAATTTCAAAATCTTTTCGATGATGTGCCAATAATGAGAAAAGTTCGTTTTTGTACACGTTCGACTCAATGATAAAAGTCCATACTCTTCTCTCTCGTTTCGTAATATCCTCTTTCAATATTTCTTGCAAATCTTGCATGGTTTCTATACAAAGCTTTCTTTTCGATGCATATATTTCAGTATTTTCCTCAAATGATAATTCTGCATCATCTTTAAAAACGATAAAGTTTGTAAATTGTTGAATGATATCAATGAGATGAGGCTTGACATCGGAGTCAAAATGAGCCTCTTCTTCTGCGAATCTTTCTTTGGAGATGTCCACGCCATCATCATCGTCATCATTTGCTACATGATCAAAAACTCTTCCATCATCATGAGGGATGGCATCGTCTGTGTCTGTTCGAGTATTTCCACTCTCGAATTGATACTCTAATTCGTCTTCAAAATCCATTCCGATATTACTGTTATGATAGAGAGGATGAATGGGATTTCGAAAGTAAAGTTGTGTGTTTGTTGTTCAACGAAGGAGTGCGTGTGTGAATAACACAGAGAAAGTTTAACAATTTTTTTAAATTTGATTTTGGAAAGTTAACGAATTTTGGCGGGTTGAAATTTTTTGGTGCTAAAAAGATCGAAAGAATAGTGAACCTCAAAGAAGAACTTTCATTGTACAGTTGCATGTATGTACACATTGAACACAATGTTTAATCAATGACGGAAATACTACTAGCTCTTTCAATAATAGTATCCAAAATTAATTTTCCATTTTTCTTATCAATACCAGTGGCTTTCAACACGCATCCATTCTTATCAATACAAATTCCAATGGCAGTCTCCACAATTGCTCTTCCAGATCTTGCATTGTAACATGGAGCTTGTTGTTGACATCCATAATAATAAAATCTTGTTGCACACGATTCAAAAACAGTTCCTGCAGTCATGCAATCAATTTTGCAAGCAACACAATCCGTGGATTTCTTTCCAGTAAAGGATTGACGATGGATTAGGGTTCGATCTGTAGGTCCTGTCACACGGAAACGATTTGGATTTGCACGTACGTTGCTATTGGCCTCACTGGATAAGCTGTCTCTGGCACTTCTTGTTTCTCCTCGAGAATCTTTGCTGGCAGGTTTGGCAGCAACAGCAGGTTTCTTCAAAGCTACTGGTTTCTTAACAACAGGAGGCTTCACCATTGGTTTCACTGCTGGCTTGGTAACTTTGGTCTTCTTTGCCTTTGCTTTGGTCTTACTCTTTGTCTTACTCTTGGATTTACTCTTCGACTTGCTCTTTGATTTACTCTTTGATTTGGACTTGCTCTTTGATTTACTCTTGGACTTACTCTTTGAGGCACTCTTCGACTTACTCTTGGATGCCTTACTTGAAGCTCTTGAACTTTTCGAGGACTTGGAAGATTTTCCACTTCGTGAACTACTACGACCTTTACTACCTTTGCTGCGACCTCCTGAACTTTTTCCTCCACGACTATTTCCACGACCACCACCACTACGACCTGCACGTCCTCCACGTCCACCACTACGACCTCCTGATGATGAAGAACCTCCTCGACTATTTCCACGACCACCTCCTCCACTGCCTCGACCACCACCGCCACCACCTCCACCTCGGCCACCTCCTCCACCTCCTGATTTGAGGGTATCTGCAAGAGTATGTGCTGAGGTATCTTGAAGGAGAGAATCTTCCAAAAAGTCTTCTGTATTGTCGTAATTTAAAACAGAGCGTTTCTTGGCAGAGGAAATTTTCTGATCTTCTGGACGTCTGCATTCACTTGATGTAGCAGTCACAGATGGCACATATTCGAGTAAAACAATCAAACTAAACAACAAGATGGAAATACATAGGATCAATGTTCGAGCGAATTTTTGTTGTTGAGAGGAAGATGATGACCTGTGGTGATGATTACGATCCACACCACTGGAAACATCAACAAACATTTTTTAGTAATAACTTGGTTATAATTTGGTTTCGCATTCAAGAAAAGTTGTTCCGTCACTTGTCATTTCTGCGAGCATGTCTGATTGGAAATGGTACCATTTGGAAACAAATTTATCTTGGTCGTATCATGGTTCTTCTGTGAATTCAATTCAAGGCTATTGTTCAACTGATTTTACAATTCAGCGTTTCTATCAATTTCAAGGTCAGTGAGTCTTACAGTCTTAATAACTTTGTTCAATAAAAATCTTCCTTGTCCTGGTTTGATTCCTGTTGCTTTTAACACACATCCATTCTTATCAATACAAATTCCAATACCAGTTTCAATAATGGTTCGTTTAGCTGTCAGTGGATTAAAACATGGAGCCTTTTTACGACATCCATAATAATAATATCGATTTCTACATTTTGAAAATATACTTCCTGATCCCAAACAATCCAATCGACAAGCCACACAAGGAGTAGAGTCTCTTCCTTTAAACGCTTGTCGATCTATTAAATTCAAATTAGTTGGACCTGTGACACTATAACGATAAGGATTCAAAAAGATGTACTCATTGGCTTGCTGTGATAAAAAACCTCTCACAAGTGCTGTTTCAATACGAGAGGTATCGACTGGAACTCGTGGTGTCCCGAATGTTCTTAGAGTATTTTCACTGGTTGTTTCAGCAGAAATGAGAGACTCTTCTTCGGTATTGTCGTAATGAAGGACCACTGGTGGTTTTTTAATTCTGATGTTTTCATCTTCAGGATGTCTGCATTCGCTTGTGGTTGCGTGAACGAATGTCCTTGGAATCAATTGAACGGACACACCCAAGAGCAGGATCAACACAAGTGTCAGGGCAATACGCATGTTTGAAACTGGTGTGATCAGTGGTGGTTGGGATAAAAAAGATGTTTTTTTTTTTAATGAGATAAGTGGGAGTTCGGGCAGGCCTCTGCTACTGCCCTTCACATGTCAAGAGTCACCCGCGGGCTCAAAGATTCGACCCTGAACTTTCATAGGTTCTGTTAAGGTGACTAAGAATGCTTGTGTAAGGTTTACCTCGTGCCCGAACATTATACCTCTCAAGGCTGTTCCCTTGTTGGCCTCGTTTTGACGGTCAACAACGATGTGAAAGCTGTTAAGGCGTCACACACGATATGAGAGCAATTTTGAAATGATCACTGGAAGAAGAGCTCAGCCGATTTAAGTTTCTTTGGCCAGGGTTTAAATGCACAAACATGCTTTCATCGGATTGGAAGTCCATGGATTCAGCAACATCCAGAAGTATTTGAGGACAATGTTTTTCCTGATTCTGGGAATGTTCATTGCAACGTAAAGTGGTGACATGTTCTAAAATAACCAATGAGGCAGATTCCGTATTGGGTTCAAGTGATAAAATTGATACATGAATGACATTATGGCTCAAAGAGGACATGTTTTTGAAACTCCACTGATCGATAGTTGCTCTCCTAAACTTCTTTTCCTTAAATAAGTCATGATCCAAAGGTATTAAGAGTCTGTTTGCAAAACATTTGAAAATTTCAGAAAAATTCTCACTGGGAGACACAAGGGAGTAATTATCACCCAAATCAACCACAAGACTTGCATGATCTTGTCGTCTTCTTCTCTCCACAAAGGTGGAAGAAAATTCAAACCTGCATCCCGTAAAGACATGAAATTTAAAAACATCAAGTTCTCCTTCTCCCAAATTAAGTGCTTGAGTATTATCAAATAATAAGGTGCTTTTTGAAATTAAGCCAAACGAAGAAAAATCTTTTACCATTCCTCCATATATGCTGGGTAAGCAAAAGGATATTCCACTTTCTTCATCCATGTGTTGTCGAGAAGGGCAGTCATAGAGTTCGTTGTCACGTACTGAACAAGTTGCTTCTTTGATGGTTTTCAGCTGTACTTGTAGAAAAAGAGTTCCAATGGAAGGAACAGTAGTATTGGGAAATATTGGTTTTTTAGAAAATGATAATCTTGTAACAACATCAGGACATGTCGGTGTGTGGTCATCACTGATATCCATCCCTGTAATTGGGATGGAGAGGATCATTGGAGATTCTGAAACACATGATGGGATATCCATGAAACATTTTCCGAATATTCTCTGGTAGCGTGAAGAACATGATGCCAAACTTGCCTCCTTAATGTTCACAAACTTACCTCTCTTGAAAGAAGGAATACGTTCTTTGTTTTAAATAATGCTTTGAATCTAAAATGTGAGTGTGAACGAGGTTTCTCATCAAGGTTGAACCTGAATATTGAATCAAGCATGCACGAGCTAATGTCTTTGGTTCGTGGTAGCTTGATTCGTGAACAGAAATGTTCTTCAGAAATTACTACTTGTTGTCCTTCGGATTGTTGAAGTAATTCAACTTCACACTTTAATCGTCGTTGACTCTTCTTGAGATGTTCGTTGAAAAAATTGACATGGAGCAACTCCACAATCAATTGGTGATGGTCCGTCATGATTTAAATTGTTTTCTTTGGTGTATTATTAATAGACAACTAAGATTATGTTAAGAGAATTCGAATTAAAAGGGAAATTTCCAAATATGAAAACCAAAAGGAACTGTGAGCTTTGTCAATTTATGATAAAAAGGAAGTAACGAACATAAATTCTAATTGAATAATAAGTGTTTGAATACATACAAAAGATTGATGATCAAACGTCATTAATGGCTATTTTGTTGAATTTTTGCTTGTAGGAACGGGAAGACTGCTTCTCTACAAAACTCAGAAGTATGCTCGTGTTTCATATGTCCAGCACTACGACATTCACACGCTGATCCTGTTCTTTTTCTACTCACGACCATGTCACATGGTTTGTCACTTGTAACCCAATTAACAGCATGATCAACAATGAAATCTCGGACTGGTTTAGGATCAGAAGAATACACAGAATGAACAGAATCGGTAAAGGCAATACCCCTAACCTTAGAAAGAGTGGCTTGAGTACGTTGTTTGAGTAATTCCATTGTACACCAACCGCCAGCAGAGTGGGCGACAATAACAATATCCTTAGCGGCTGCTTTTTGAATAAAGTTATCCCAAACATATACAGTATGGTCAGGTGGAGATTGATTATGGAGAATTGGTTGCTTGGCAGTCTTTGCTAATGGCTCAGGCTTATTTCTATTAAGATATCCTTCCTTCTTGTACTTGATAGGATCGTCCATATGTGGAGGAATATAATGATTTTGGTTTGCTGATTCGTTCATATTCAGCAGGTCAGTATCATTTACAAATCCACTACTTACGATTGAGAACAATGACTCCATAACCTTCTTTCATTGCTTGAACAATATAATTGTATTGAGTTCCTGTTTTCAAAGAATCGTTCATGCCTGTCATTTCATTCGTTCGCATGATCGATCACGCAACAGTCAGATCAATTAATCAAATTATTGGAAATATGCACCTATTCAATTACTTACACAAAGCACGAGCCCATTGTCCAGGTCGAACAGCTCCAGATCCTTGAATCAACACCATCAATTTGTTTGGATTGGTAAGGGCATCCTTGCTCATAAAAATGTTCACCATTTGGTCATGAGAAAGATTAGACTCTAATGGTAACCAATACTCATCCAATTTACATCTCTTTGATTTTTCATGTTTTGTTTTTTTGAACAATCAAACAAACACACAAACCTACATTGATCAACAATTCGTCCTGGACATATTTCATTACAAAATCTCCAAGTGCATCGTAGTGTCGTTGTGAAACAAAATGAAATTTGCCACCATCAATGTCATTCACAAACAAACCAGGCTTATCATCGCTCAGTAATTCCAGAGCGTTGATGTAAGCAGACGGATCTTGTTCAAACAATTGATCATCAGGCTTTTCAGGCATGCTCGTAAAAGTGTAATGAAAGTCTTTCAAGCTTTCATTGTGATCGGGAATTGTTTGCAATACAATATCTAGTTGTTTTTGCATATCGTCCGATTCAGTAGCGATCTGTTTCACAACGTCTGCCGGAACAAAATCATTTGTGTTTGGGATGGGGATGAGCAAGAAACTCTTTTTTTCTTGCAAAAATTGTTTATGTACATGTTGAACGAAAGCATCTTTGGGGAATGAATAAGATCCTTTATCAGTCGAAAAAGTAATGGTTGAAAGCATGATGGTATTTTTTTTCTTTTTTCTTTGTAAAATTGGAATCTTCGCCAACCAAACAGTCAAATTATTTCGTCTGCTCGTTTGTATTTTGTACATTTGAATGGCGAACTCACAGTTGGGTTTTCGAAGATGCAGGAGGTAGACCAACAGTATCTCTTGCCAGCCCTCTATCATTCATGTTCGCGGATGGCTCTTTTGGGAATGATCTTGCAGAATCTACAAGAGAAGAATAGGAAGAGAGAGAGCTTCCACTGGGTGCCTTTGGTGTTGTTATACCGTTACTGTTGTTATGTGGGTCGTGACCGTTTTGTTCAATGGATTCCCTTCTGATGAGATGAGAAGGTTGAATTGGAGGAGTCGAAATGTTTGTATCTTGTTGGTCGTTGTTGGATGAAGCTGAAGCAATCGCGTTCGTTGCAACATGTGCAGTTGTAGTGGCAGCAGTAGCAGTGTTAGCAGCGGCAGCTGTTGATGAATTCATTGGGGCTAGGGATGGCACCAGCTCATAGGTTCGAGTGACAATCTCCTCCGTTCCGTTTACAACTCTCTTCTTTTCTGTTTCTTTGAACTCTATCTTTTGAAACAAAATATATCTTCCACACTCAATAATCAATCTAAAGATGATTAGAAAAACGATAGCTTGAGAAACACGCAATGCAAACGCTCCTAGAAATGTGATTAACCCAACACCATGGTCAAACATTGAACCATAGACCATTTGTAAAATCCACATTGAAGCTAAAAGTATTAGCAGTAATATTGCTTGAAATATTATTGTGAACTTTTCATCGCTCATGACAGTAGTCTCTACTCGATGCATTAACGAGTCAGAGTGATCCAGTAATCCTTCCATCTTATTCATAAGCTGGTCAGAGTGCGACACTGTCTCTTTGATTTGATCAATTAACTCTTCAGCATTATCGAGTACTCTTGCCACATGATCCAATTCTTGATCTGTCCTATCAATTGTGCTGTCAATTGACTTGACATTTCGTTTCATGTCTTTGAATACGTCCTTTAATCCCATTTTTAAATTATATAAATCGAAAAATTATTATTAAGTTGTAATCAATGAAGGAATAATTTTGATGATAATTTTTGTTTCCTTATTATTCTATAACTGTATCGTAAATGAAAATTGGAACGTCGGAGCCAATATCAAGTGTAGTTGTTTGTTTTAAATAAAGAGTAGCAACAAAAAAGAATTTCGTCCAAACATTGCAATATTCTATGAGTGGCAATCGTTATCATCAAGCAAGGTAATTTCAGCAAAGATGCCACTCGGAAACCATTCAAATTGAATTTCCAAATCCTGATAAGCCCAAATATATTCATTCATCATAAACAGGACTTCTCCAACAATTCTTGTCTCCATTATCAGTAATAATGTTTTATTCAGATGATCATGTTTCCACAAGTTGACTGGCGAGAGAATAAGAGCCTCTGCTCGTCGCGTACGAACATTTTTCAGCAGGTGATTTTCAAAAAGTACCAAATATAACCGCCAAAAAAAATTCCACAGATTGGAACTGACAAAAAGGCTCAACTTGGAAACTTTGAGCAAAAACACGCAAGTGAACATTGCCAGTGATTGCTCTTCAATCTCTCGCTCCTTCGTCAAATCATCATCAGCCAAAAAATATTCACATCACCAACCACACAACAGGAACCTCTACCACTCGTTGCAATACTCTTGTCTTGATAACCAGTTTTCTTTGCGGAGTGTGTAGTTTTTGACAGGCAACAAATAACAAACAACAACTTCTTGCGGTAGTTAGCAACAATAAGATCAACACACTCTTTTCATTGTTGTTGCTTCCCTATTCCGAATCATAAGTGTTGTAAGACTAAAACAAATTGCGGTTTGAAGGTCTGAAGATTGAGGAATAACAACAACAATACGTGCACACGCTATCTCTGCGCAGATAATTTTGGAATCATCAGTTGATGATTATATTTTCCGTTTTGTGCAGCATTGAACGTTATTTGAAATTTACCATCCTGAGTTGATCACCAAATTAACGCTCGAACAACAAAACAGGTCATTGGTTGTTGTATTGTAAAACTATCCTGGAAGCAAAGATAACCCTTGCCTTCACCGATTGATCATCATCAACGAATAGTATCAACCTGATCATCCTTGTTTGTACATACATCATCTTGTTAGTCTTATCAATGACATTTGATCAAGCAAATACTACTATGTTACTCAACGAAGCTAGTAACGGCAACATTGGCAAAACGAACAACAATATGTCAATGACCAACAACAGTCAATCAACAGCACCAACAAACACAAATCAACTTTTCAGAAACGGTTCATCTCTTATGGACCACACCGTACCAACATCTCCATTGTTGACTTATTCCTTTTTGAACAGCCCAACACATACAGGATCTCCTCTTCTTGGTGACACAAAAGATATTCCTCAGTTATCCTTATCCATGATGAACATGTCCCTCAACAACTCTGACAATTTAATCTCAACCAGTACCTCTCCAAGTAAACTACCATTTGGTAATGGTACTCACCATCATCAACAATCGCTTTCTTTGGATTCGGATCAAATACGCCAGAGAGATTTTACTTTTGATGGGTCGTTCTCGCGACAACGAGGAAATTCGAATGGTTTTCCTCCTATCGGAGGTCATTTACCTAGTAAGTTTTTATCTGATATTTCCTTCAAAGCAATCTTATTTAAATATCACTTAGAGTTGTCTCCAAGACTTGATGTCAACACTACCAATACTGTATATAATCAAAACATTTCAAACGGTGGTAACAGATACAATCCCCAATCTCCTGCTCTTGTTCCATCAAGCCCATTCCATGACCCAAATCATGGATTTGTTGGAAGTCCTCTTCTTGGGCCTAACACTACCCCCAATAACAACTCTGCAAGGCAACAAAATATCAAGCCTGCTTTCGCTGGCTATTCTAACCAAAATATGATGATGAATAATCAGAAAACACTTTTTGGATCGGCAGGTGATCATGTAAGCAGTATGGATCAGCCAACATCTTATGGTGGCGTTGGTGCTGGTGGAATGATTCCAATTTCTCCAGGCATTTCTCCAAACAACTCTCCACGTCATTTTGAATTTTCTTCAGGAAAAGTTCCTCATCAAACTCGTGCCTTGCTTCATGGTGGAAGAAGTAACAGCATGCCCCCAATTCCTGCATTTTCAAGTACCTACTCAAAAACTGATGGCGATTTGGATCGAAATTTTATGAAGTTATTGGAGGATGATGAAACAGACGCCTTCGACATTGGACATACTGGATGGTATCCTCAAAATAATGGATCCTACAATGGATTTGGAGAAGAACAATATGTAGTTGGACAATTAGAATTGTCTCCATCACAAAGTAGCCCTCTCATTGGCCACTCGTATCATGGATATTTGGACGGAAATGCAGATTACTCTGGATCTTCTGTTGGATACAAGGTTATGCCACCAACTAATTATAGTCACAAATATTCAAATTCATTTGGATCATTTTCAGGCCCAAACACTTCTAACATCCAAATTTCCACTAATTTTAATCAAGCTAATTATGCCAATCAAACAGATATTGTCTCTCCAACTGGAGACTCAACCGATAGCAGCGAGGGAGAGGGTAAAGGTCACAAACATCCAGGAGAATATCCTTCAAGAACTCTCTTTGTTAGAAACATTTCCAGTAATGTTGATGACCAAGAACTTAGGCAGCTTTTCGAAAGTTTTGGCCCAATCAGACAAATGTATACATCGTGTAAGCATCGTGGATTCGTCATGATTACATATTTCGATATTAGACATGCAAAACAAGCCAAAAAGAACTTGCAGTCAAAGCTCATCAAGAAGAGAAAAATTGATATTCATTACTCTATTCCAAAAGAAAACCCTCCAGAAAAGGAACAACTCAATCAAGAAACTTTGGTTGTTTTCAATTTAGATCCATCCATTACAAATGAAGAACTGAAAACAATTTTCACTCAATTTGGAGGTGATGTTAAGGAAATAAGAGAAACTCCCAACAAGAAATTCCACAAGTTCATTGAATTTTATGACACCAGAGACGCTGAGAGAGCAATGAAACAGCTAAACAAAACCGAGCTCAAAGGAAAGAAAATCAAGATTGAATATTCTAGACCTGGCGGATTAAGAAACAGATCCTCTGACTCTGGCTCAAATGACAGTCCTACTACTCTAGGTACTCCTGATGCTATAGAGATTACTACTTCCACATCACTTCCAACCACTCCAAACATGGACGTGCATTTATCATCTCCACCCAAGAATGATACCCTTCTTCATCCTGGAATCAAGACTAGACGTCCTAGAGCAATTAGTGCTGAAGAAAAGGAGCAGTTTAAACTTGATTTGGAAAAGGTCAGATGTGGTATTGACAAAAGAACTACTCTCATGGTCAAGAATATACCAAACAAGTATACTCAAAAGATGCTTTTAGAGACTGTTGACACCGAGTTTAAGACATCCTATGACTTCTTTTACCTTCCAATTGACTTTAAGAATAAGTGTAACGTTGGTTATGCTTTCATTAATTTTATTGATCCAAAGCAGATCATTCCATTTGTTGAGAGGTTCAACAACAAGAAATGGGAAAAGTTTAATAGTGAAAAAGTCTGTGACATCACATATGCCAGAATTCAAGGAAAGACAGCCCTCATTAATCACTTCCAAAATTCTAGCCTTATGTGTGAAGAGGAAGATTGTAGACCGATCTTCTATTAACCGAGTACCAGACAACTTTGTAATGTATTAATTATTGCCATTTGTGCGAATTTTTGACCTTGTCGTGTTTTGCTCACACTTTGTGATTGACGACATAATTTTTGTTAGGATCCTATACTTTTCTACTTGTAGAGACAATAAATTACAAAACCAAATTTGACATTCAAATTAATTGATATTCAATCGACCAGCACTGCATGGCTTGTGAAAAAACAAAAGTGCGCCATAAAAAATGCAAAAACATTTGCGACTAAATGTTAGAGTGATTGTCGATGGTTTTTCGCTTTCGGTTCCGTCTCCATCGACCACGGACTTGAATTCATCATTGAGCATTTCTCTTCTTGAGAAAGTTAATCCATTCTACAGGAAGCTACATTTAGACAATAGTAATAGATCATCATCACTTCAATTATCAAATCCTAGGAATTTGAGATGTATTGTTTCGGAACAAGCATCATTGAATGACATCAAACAAACAATATGTAAACAATATCAAATGGTTTTTTATGAACGTTCCGATGATAGTACACCCTTTGAAGACACAACATTCTTTACTATTTCTCGTATTTATAATGAAAGAGGAATTGAAATGGGGTTATGGAATTCACATCTAAAATGTTCTGACATCTTTAATGATGAACAAGTTATTTATGTCAAGCTGGATTGTGTGAGAAGGAATGGATTGAAATTAAAAGATCAATACATGGAGGTATCCTTGTGGTTATCTCCTGAAAAAGAGAATGTAATGAATCATAGAAATGAGAAAGATGCATCTCCTTCGAACATGATGGATTATGAAACTCCCAAGAAGAGAAAGACTGTTGAATCCACGCCTGGCAGTAAGAAACAAAAATTAACAAGTCCAATTTCTACCTCTGTAACAAAGACTGCAGCAACTAGTCAGACCTCAACAACACTTGAGACATCACAGCTTTCGAGTGACAGTGAACATGATGACTCTGTGGCAAGTAATTCTGAAGATGAAAGAGATATCATTTCTCCAGAAGTAACACCAAAAAAAAAGATTGTTACAAGACAAACCACTTTGAAAACCACCTCCACATCAGCACCAACTACAAGAAAGCAAGCAGTCAAAACAGAGGCTATTAAAACGAGATCCAAGATAAAGCAAGAAGAACAGAAAAAGCCAATTAAAAAACAAACCGAGTCCATCTACATTTCTGATGAAGCGACTGAGGAAGAAGAAGAACCAGTCACTGACAAGGAAGAAGAACAAGAACAACAAGAGGAGAATACAACCAAGGAAGATGAAAGCGAAGAGGAAAGCGAGGAGGAAGAAAATGAAGACATGACCGCTGAGCAGTATGCAAAATATTATGCAAACCTTAAACCCTGGTTAAAGCAAAATATGGTAAATGGAAAATTCAAGAATGATTCACAATATCAAAAGTTTAGAGATTCTTTCAAATTATTGAGCCCCAACCATCAAGCAGAAATTTTGGAGTACATTAAAGAGCTTAAAGGAGTTCATTGATCTTACAATTTTTGCTTGTGATACAAGCTTTTGATCAAAGTTTTGTTTTTGAGATGAATAAGCGAAATTTCAGAACCAAATTGTTCGATCTCATCCACAGTAAAAGTAAACGCCAACATTATTTCGTAACACTTTGCGATTTGGCTTTTTGTTAAAGCAGCAGTTAATTGAGATAAAAATCTGTCACACCCAGCTATAAAAGGGCTCACATTCGAACTCCTTTGTAATACACCTACTTGAATGAACAAGCAAAATTCGCATGCTGTTCGCAGCCGATCCAACGACTCAACAATACTTCTTAATGTTGTTTTTTGAGTGACATTCAGCTGCCGTATTTTTTTCCATTTCGAAAGGATGGAACTACTCAAATACTGAAGACAGGCAGATATTTCTTGGGCCATTCGACGTGCAAGCAATAACAACTTAAACTAACAAGAAAAACTCTAAGAGGATTCTGATATCATTACTTACTTCTTTCTCTGATATTTCTTCAATATCGAATCGCACAAAATTTTCCAACACATGAATAATTATTGAGGAGACAGCGCTGTTCTTGTGTTCATAATTGATTTGCCTGCATTCAAAGAAGCACTGCTTGACATTACCAATTAAGGTATTCAATTTTTCATCCATGTGCTTATTAACAATGGCTTCGTTTTTGGCTACCTCCGTTGGGCCAAAATATTGTATCATTTCGCAAAAATCTTGAGATTCTCCAAGACACTCGACTTGTTGTAAATGACCACATGCTCTAAAGATATCATCTTTCAGCAGTTTCTGAGGGTGAAAGCAAGGAGAATAACTTTCAATAAATTGACTACAAGTATTCACAGTGTTTGATATTGATTTCTGTGGTTGAGAATACTTGTGAACGAGATGAATCATCAACATCATTAGCCTGTCTAGATAGTGTTTAGGAATCCAATCCCAATGAATACATCCATGTGCCATAAATGTTCTAATTTTGACTCCATGAGGCCATTTGAATAAATCATAAAGACAATGAATTTCATTATCGGCCAGCTCCCTGAAGAGTTTGTTTTCCTCAATGTTGTAATAGTCGTTTGGGTTGTTGCTCAATATGGTGTCAAATATCACAAGAGATCTAGCTCGTTCCACTTGTAGCATTCTAAATCGCAAGTCATAATTATCCTCGCTAACAATGTTACAAAACACAAATAATCTACGAAGAAATGCCTCAAAAATTGGAAATATTCTTGAAAGGGTGGCATAAATGTTAAATTGAGAAGTACCTTGCTGATATTTTACATAACTTTCGATTACTAACTTCCACTCGTTCTTGGATATCAGCGGAACGACAGACTTCATTCTTTGCAAGAAATCCAGTTCTAAAGGCAAAACAGAGGAGAGAACCGTTGACACTTCATGTGGAATTTCCAGAACGGAAATTGATTGCTCAAAAAGTCCAAGAGTGTGTCTGTCCTTTTCTTGAAGGGTTGAACTTATTTTCCTCTCTTGCAGTCGTAGTAACAATTTTCCTTTTTGCTTTTCGTTAAAGTGTGAAAGAGTGGACTCATAATATTTGGTCCTAATGAATCCTAAGTGACTCATTAAAAATAATAGGAAAGATGTGTGGTATGGCTCAAAATTATGAGAGGATATAAACCCGTGCATTGAAACGTTTCTTAAATTTAAAGTGTTTTGACTTCCATAGCACAATTTCAAAATAAATGCAGCATTTTCTCCATAAATTGCTATTAGATCCTCACTTCCTAGCATGTCACTGAAAGTAGCGAGTCTATTCAACAAGCTTTCTTTCACCTTATCAATTGAGGTTGAACAATCGTACAGAAACAAAGCGTCTCTCATTCCAGTTTCCAACCATGGAATGCAAATCAAAAATGCTAATAATTTGTCTTCTCTATTTGGTGAATAGTGTAAATCAATAATATTTTCAAATAACAATCTTGAATCTGAAGTATCTAATGAAAGCTCTAGAAATCGAGATAATGGACCAAGTAGAAGATTCTTCATCTGCTCTTTGGAATAATTATTTTCTACATATTGATGCAACCTTTGAAATAAAGGATTCAAATATTGAATAATTACAGTTTCGTAAATCATGTCCTGTAGCAGCTTTTCTTGATTTTCTCCTTCGGAATGATCAATTAGTCGTAAATTTAATTGATCATGATGATGTTGTAAATTACATGCTGATAAAATCTGTTTCTTTGAGAAGAGTTGGGAATCAAACCAACCTTCTATGGAGGTCAATAATTCTTGTTCCGACAAGTCTTCTTGTTTCGAGCTTTCGTTTTTAAAAGAAATTAATTTATGATACGCTGGATCTAACTCGTTGAAAGGTAATTTGTCATCCGTGCAAATGCTTTGAAATTGAGAAGTTATAAACTTCTTCCAGTCCAAACCATCATCACAAGACATTTTTTTATTTGAACAATACTTCTTTAGTGTGCATAAAAAAACGCACTCTGATACTCTTGTTAAATGTTGCCAAACTTTGGTCTTTCAAAAGCAACACACTCGTCCCAATAAAAGGGATCCTCTTCTTTAAAATATCTTTGCAAATGTTGATGAAATCGTGTTGCATGTTCGTTGTATGTTTTAAAGGAAGAAATGGTTTCCAACAACGCGCAACACACTTTGCTTTTGGGTCGCATGACGAGCCCACGAAGCTTTTTGGGATCATTTTTACCTTCGTCCTTGTGGTCATCAAGAAGTGACTTTGGAATTGGCTTTCCGTCTAAGGTGCTAATAATGAGGTTAAATACATCCGAGTAATAATAATATTGAGAGTCGTAATACACCCATCTAGAAGCCGAAGTCATGGCATACTGAAAAATGTTGAGTTTTTTTCTTGTGGGTGGAGGATCCATGGACAGTAATTCCTTGGTAATGATTTTCTGCTCAAAGAGCTCACGAATATAAGCCATTGGCACATTGAACTTTAGTGCACATGTAAAAATTCGAAATAGCAATGATTTGGGTGCTTGTCGAATGGTTTTGGCATAATTACGCAAAATTGTTAAGACAGTAGGCTCAAATTTCTCATTTCGAATTCTCATTAAGAACATTAGAGCGCAGTTGTTTGGGATTAATTGCTCAATGAGGATGTCTGGATTTTGATTTTCACATTCACTCAAAAAGTATAAAATAAATTCGGAACACGCTTCCACAAATTCACTTCTTTCGATTCTCACATACAAAGTGAGTAATGAGTACGTATTAAAAACAAAGGTGTGAAAAAGCCCAGATTTGAGATTGTGGCTATACGGCTGACGTCGATATTGGAATTTTGGAGTAAAGGTGTATGTTTTGAACATGAGCTCATGCCGCTCTCGTGGTTGTAAGAGTTTTAAAGCGTGAAGAGTTTTTCTAATGATATCTGTTCTCTCCGAGTAAAAGTGTTCTCGTCTAAGGCTACGATAGGTGACACTTCGTCGACTACATTGACGCAGCATATTGGCTAATATTTGCAAATAATGAGACGCATTTCGGTAATGATGATTTTCAAAAAGATGAGTGCAAATAGTCTTCCATTTTGGAATTCTTCGTTTTGATTTCAAAGTAAAATTCTTGGCTGCTATCTTTTGATTAACAACGTCCATCTGGCTGTTACCATTCTCAATGCTTTCTACTTCAATTTGTATTCCTCCGAAATAGGTTTTCTTAAGAGCTTGCGTCACTTGCTCTTCCATTTGCTGATATAACTCAGGAAATAAATTATTGATGCGTTCCACCTTTTTCCTTAACATAGAGCGGAGCTGACTCATAGATTTGGGATGACTAGAAAACGAAAGTTTTGTCATCGTTTGACCACGCCTAAAATATGGGTTACGGTCCTCGTTGTAAATGTGTCTATTGAGAATGGTATCCAAACACTCCTGTAAATCTTGTTTCAGCTCGAAATAGCAGAAAAGGCGATAGAATAATTCATTTTCATCATTCAGGAAATGATCAGCAAGCTCTGCACTGATCTTTAGAGATGTCTTTTTGACGTTTTCAAATTCAAGGAAGCTGAAAATATGCATCCAAACTTCAACAGGAAGCTGAAGCAAATTACATTCCGTAGTTCCGATGGTAGCGATGGTGGAGATAGACGGGACAGTGCTATCGATTGAAATCATGATGAACTTATTTTTTTGATTTTGGGAATGAGTCTGTTAAATCTGAAAATGAACTTTCATGTCTAGCTGTGGACAAAGAGACGATGACAGGTCAAGTGAGATGATGCCATTAAACGTGAATGAGCAAATCACGAAAAGACATCAACCATGAAAACGGATTCAGCCTTACTCTGTTATTTGAAATTACACTTGGAAGAATAGTTCAATAGATCATTTGCAACATAGTTTGCAATTGCCAAACTCGATGTCAGTCCTGGTGATTCAATACCACACAATGAGATGAAACGAGACGCTAGAGATCCCTCTGTCTTATCGGGCAGAATAGCTCCCAGTGGTTCAATGATAAAATCCTTAAACTTGTCACCTGGTTTTTGGAGCTTTGGGCTGAAACTCGAATAGTAAAGAAGACCGAGGGGCACAACTTACCGAATACCAACATAATCTGGTTGTAAATTCTCCTTATCTATTCCATTTAAATATTTTGATATAGATTGATAGAATATTTCACGCTTTTGACTGGTAATGGTGCTTTCAATCTTGTAGTGAGGATATAACAAAGTAGAAAGCGTGTCTCGCTCAATTACATTGGAAGGTAAATATTGCTCTGGAAAAAGAGTTCTGGCTTTTCCAATGTAGTCTGAATCTGGACCAAACTTTAAGTTTCCATCCAAATCAAGGGTTGCATGAATTCCTAATCCATGAGATAAACCTTTGCTGTCGGGAGGCACTGGATAAATCAGGCGATTAACTTTGAATGTCCTATTGTTGTTCTTAAAGTAATGTCCTTTGAAATAATGCAAATGATAATGTTCAGGCAATATTGAATGTTCTCCCATAAATTCAGAATATGCTAGTTGAGTGATTCTTTCACAATCTAATCCAGCGCTGTTTACAATCGTTTCAGTAATAATATTCACCCTATCAATGGTTCCGTCTCTGTTCAAACAATTCGCTTCCACTAAATATTCGTCAAATGAGTTTCTATAAATTCTGTTAACTTTGGTATTGGTGACAACTTGTCCACCGTTATTTACAATAATGTCAGACAATCTAGACATAAACGTGTGTGTATCAATTATGCCAGTACTTTCAGAAAAGAGTACAACATCGCACGATAAGATTGGTTCTTTTGTTCGAATTTCTTTTGAAGATAGAAACTGCAACTTTTTAACTTGTGCATGATATTGATCAATGATTTGATCCGTTTTTTGCTTCATATTTTGCAAATATTGAACTTGATCCAAGTGTTGAGAATTTGCCACAATCCACTTTCCAATTCTTGCATGTGGCACTTGCATTCTTTCACAGAATGAATAAATTAAAGAATTTCCCAAAACACATAATTTAGTTTTTAAACTTTGGCTTTCGTAATATAGCCCAGCGTGAATAACTTCACTGTTTCTCGAAGAAATTTCTTGCCCAATATGCTCATTTCTCTCTACCACCAATGTGTGGATACAATCATCATTAAATTCATGCTTCTTAGTGTTCTCCATTGACAATCTTGCTCCACAAGCAACTCCCACAACACCAGCACCAATTATTAAATTTTTAACTCTCAAAGTCTCAATATTCGGAATAATTGTTGCGGATGATGAAATTTCATTATTATTGGCTCCTCTGCGTTCCGTCCTTGTTTGAGATAATTCACTTCTAAATAATCGTGCGAACGAATACGAAGCATTGATCAATGATGGATGAAAGCAAAAGCTTTTCAGCATGCTGTCTTTCCGATAAACAGTAGATAGATGTTTTTTCATTTTTCTTGTGATTGAAAGTATCACGAAGAGTCTTTCACGACTTCATTAGAGCAGGTGACATGTTCAAAGTCAGAAGATTTGATGTTCTTGAGCGCTTTGCATGAACGAAATAAATTGTTATTCCTTACTGAAGCGATTTTGAACTTTGAATAACATTACAATTTTCAAGTACGCTAAAGTTTTTGTGCCTTCCCTTTTTCAAACCCAATTTAATACCTCAAAAACTGTAAATAGTGAAAGGAACTGGTTCTAAAACGTTGGATGATTATGAAACTACGAGTTCAGAGAGAGAAACACAACCTTCGTCACACATCCCGGTTATGCATAAAACATGTCGTTTTCATACAGTAACAGTTGAAACCAACCTTCTTTTAAAAGTGCACATAATCAATAAACATGCAAATGTCATACGCTACAACGAATCATCATCGTTCTTCGCCGAAAAACGCCAAAAACGAAACACTGCTACCAATCGGATAATCATCGTCTTGAAGCAAAGAAGATGACCCATAAATTCGATCACAATCTTGTCTCGATCTTCTTCTCGCACCTTCACTTGGTCCTGAAGTTTGTGTTTCATGTTCGGACAACACAAACCAGTGGTTTGATAATAAACATCACCAAACAAAAAACGACAAGATCTCATCCTCAACAACCAATTCCCCCAACTTGAAACTCAGCGCTGTTGAGAGAGCTCTGTCCAAACATTTCATATTTCAACAATTATTTAATCATCATCATCATCCCCGAAGAAGAATGACCAAGCCTTCTCTTCATACATGTCCAACGTTGGATGGACCCAGATCCATGACGAAACTTGTATGTTACTTGATCACATGCGGAATGTTATCCATGTTGCTCGTACTCTCCTCTCGAGAGGCATGCATGGTCTCTCCTGCCAACATTACCTATTCCCAAAGTATTCTCACTCCATATGTTAATCCCGCTGATTACCCAGCAGCAAATTTCAGACAAATCAGTACGGCTTTCAAACTCTATTGGAAATTATTAAGGAATGAAAAGAGTTCGAATATCAATGATGCTATTTTAGAATTTGGAGTGACTGTCACTGGAATTACTGGATATATTGGATTATGTTTTGGAATTACTTCAGATCCTATGAGGTGAGTATCTATGAATCAAATCCTTTGTGTATCAAAATAACCAACCTGTTCTGAACACTCACAACTATAGAGGAGATACCATGTTTGGTTATGTTACAGCCAATGGTGAGCCAACAATTGTCGATGCATGGATGACCAATGAACCAAATCCTCCAAAAGCAGATGCAAGCGATGACTTTATTCAACGAAATGGAGGTTCACGAATTGTGAATGGAGTTCGAGAAACAAGTTTGAAATGGACTCGCTTTGTCAAGACCAACGACACTCTCGATTATACATTTCCCAATGCAAACATTCGATTGTCATGGGCCTATCATCGAACCTCAACGTCCATGGTTGAACACACTAGTCAAGGATCTGCTGTAACTGCAAACTTCTTGGCCACTGGATTTGCAACTGGGGAATATGGACAATTACCACAACCACCTGTGATTGGACAACATGGAAACTCATCCAATTGTTCATTGCCCTCTACCTATGCTCAAAGTATCATGACTCAGTTTGTCAATCCTTCTGATTATCCCTCTGCAAATGCTCAGGTCATGGGAACTTATGGCACTGGAGATTCCTTAACCTTGTATTGGAAGAGATTAACAAATCCAGGTACTGGTGGTGATATCTTGGAATTTGCCATGGTGGCCACAGGAATTTATGGCTACGCCTCTGTTGCATTCAATCATGCACCTTCAAGTGGCATGCAAACAGCAGATACTATATTTGGTTATATAGATACTCAGGGTAATCCTGTCATTATTGATGCGTACATGCAAGGAAATTTACAAGCCCCAACGGTTGATGCCAAACAAAACATAATCATGAAGAATGGAGGAATTCGTCAAGTGAATGGTCGATACGAAGTGCATCTTAAATGGACTCGTCTCGCCGACACTAAGGACACTGCAGATCATACCTTCACTAATGCACAAATTCCTTGTTCATGGGCTGTGAGTAAGTCAGGAACCTCTCTCAACTCTCCACACTCCTATCGTGATAAGAATGTGATGATTAACTTCATGTCAAGTCCTGCTTTGACTCAGACTTCACCTCCTCCTGGAAGTTCATTGGCCACTTGTGGAAGTAATTCAACAAATTCAGATTTGGGATCTTTGGTTGTGGGTGATTTAAGTGGTGCGAATGTTTATCGATGGCATTTGATTGTGACAGGAATTATATGTGGTGCGTTAGTGATTTGTGGTTTCTTATTGTCCGTAGTAGCACCTCGAGTGAATCCAAATCTCTTTTTCGATTTAATCTTGTACAGAAGATTTACCAAATTGGTCACTGTGAAATATTTAGGTCAATATTTCACAAACGTTGCTCTGGATTTGACAGTAGGCGAATTAATTGTCATTTCTTGTTACTGGATTCTTATCATCGTTTGGTTTATTTATGGATTTATAGGTAGCTCTGTTGCACCTGCAGGAAAGGCCTTTGCCTCCGTTTGCGTTTTTAATTTTGGTCTTATTTTGTTCCCAGTCACGAGATATTCAGTGCTCCAGGTGTTATTTGGTGTTTCTTTCGATCGAGCCATTAAATTCCATCGATGGCTTGGAATACTTCAATGGTGGTATGTCACTGCTCATGGAGTTGCAATGGTTGGTTATTACTATGGGTCAGACACTTATTTGGTTTCTTTAGCGAGTCCTTCTTATCCTATTTTGGGAATTATTGCATGGTTCTTTATGAGTTGCTTGTGGTTAATGACTTTCCCTGCCATTCGTAGAAAGTTGTGGGAAGTCTTCTTGATTTCTCATATTATTCTTTCGATTCTAGTTGTGATATTTTCAGTAATTCATGGTTCAGGATATATTAATTTATTACCATACATGGGACTGTCGATTGCTTTTTATTTATTTGATGTGCTATTAAGAGTTGTGTTTGGCTTTGGAGTTCCAACTCAACTTGTGAGCATGCAATATAACGAGCATGCAGAAGTAACCACCATTACAATGAGGAAACCCTTCTTGACATTTGGCAGCAATCCTTCCCATGGACATTTCATCTTTTTGTACATTCCAGGAGTGTCTCTCTATCAACACCATCCAGCAACAGTCAGCAGTTGTAAGACCATCGAAAGTTCTTCCAAACAGAAGGAATTAGAATTCACAGTTCACATTCGTAACTTCAACTCTGGATGGTCTCTCAAAGTTGCAAAAGTTGCAAAAGAACAAGCAGAATTGAGAAGGAATTTACCAGCCAACGAATCCAAACTAATCAAATTCTGTCGAGTGGAAGGTGCCTATGGTAATTTATCAGTTCCACTCTTCCAATACAAGACCATAGTTTTAATTGCAGGAGGAATTGGAGTGACACCTGTGAATGCCATCTATTCTGATTTGTTGGAAAAGTATTCCAATACTGCTACCAAACGAGTTTATTATTCATGGTCGATTCGATCTGAAGAAATGATTGAATTGTTCCCAGCTTTGACACGAGATGGAGGTAAACATTTCCATCCTCATATTTATGTCTCTAGAAAACCCAAAGATTTGGAAAAACATGATCCAAGAATTCACTATTGTAGAGCCAATCCCAAAGAATTTCTAGAAATGGTAAAGAAACAATTGAAAGAACAGTATGGATGTCAAGAAGGGCAACTTGAATATGTCGGTGTTTTGGTGTGTGGTCCCGAGCAATTGATTACAAGTGTTTCGAACGCTGTGTGGGATTGCAACGAAAGAAATGGAATTCGATTCCATTTACATAAAGAGACCTTTACTTGGTAATTGGTTTAGGAATAAACATTTATTGGAGCTCAAATTCGTGTCATAAATATCTTTCTGAATCCATAGAGATGTGGGGCAGGTATGACTACAAGCTCCTCATACAATAAAACATGTCAAAAGTCACATGCCAAGGTGATCTCTTTCTGCTCATTAGAGATGAATCGAACTACGTAGTGCAACAAAAAGAACTTTGGGATAAAACTCATTTCCTCAAAAGGTATTTGAAATTACTTGTTTTTAAGGAGAGATGATCTTGATGACATTAAAACTCATTGGAGAGGAGAGAGGAGCACAGATACATCATTTAAAAACAAACAACACGCCATGCATCCTTTTGACCACCAGATACATTGTGCCTTTCACAACCAATCACAAAGCCTTGTACCATATTCTGGAGCAACCGATCATCCATTCTTGAGTGGATAGTGCCATTGTATTTCCAATATCATTGTTCAAATATCCCTGTGACTATACCCTCCAATGAAAAGATATCGGACCATTCATTTCAAACAACATTTTCAACGTTACTATCCTTAGATTATGAATCAGTAATAACCTCAATGAAACAAAATAATATTGGCATCTTTAAGAAAAATTCAGAAAACGAAGAAATCTGTGCAATATCCATCGACGAGATGCCAACCGACGTTGATGAGAAGGAACCCTGCTCTTCACCTTCAGAACTGTGTTGGAAGGTTGATAATACGTTTCGTTCCAACAAGTTTATATGCTATACTACAGAATCTTATCGTTTTGAGCTTCTTATGAAAGAAAGTCAACCAAAACGAGGAAGAGGTCGACCCAGAAAACCAACAACTACCATGGAACCAGATCGAAGAAAGTCGAATCGAATTGAAAAGACAAGAAAACGAGCTCGGTCCTCTTCTTCATCAGCTGAAAAACGGAACAAATAAAAAATTTCATTTCAAAAAAAAATTCGAACATCAAACGATTTCATTCCGAACAGAGTTGTGAATCATCAAATTTTCAAGTATTTATATTTTCATCGTATAATCCATCATCGGACAATGGCCATCCAAAAGAACAAGAAAATAAGTGTCGGAGCCAAGCTTCGAAAAAAGTTAATTTCTACTAGAACCATTGAAAAGAATAAAACATGGAACAAGGCAACGACTATCAAGAAGGAAGTCAAGAAGGAGATTTTGAAAAAAGAACAAAGCAAAATTAAACCAATGGTAACTCACAAACCAAAGGAGGCCAGTAGTATGTTTTTCTCCCACAACGAAGCTCTCGGGCCTCCATATAGAATTTTACTTGATACCAACTTTATCAACTTCTCGATTCAGAACAAATTAGATATTGTAAAAGCCAGCATGGATTGTCTCTATGCCAAGTGCATTCCTTGCATTACAGATTGTGTCATTGCGGAGTTGGAAAAATTAGGTACAAAATTTAAAGTAGCTTTGAGAGCTGCCAAAGATCCTCGATTTGTTCGATTGAAATGCACTCACAAAGGTTGCTATGCGGATGACTGTATTGTGAATAGAGTGAGCGCTAACCCAGTTTATGTGGTAGGCACTTGTGACAAGGATTTAAAAAAAAGATTAAGAAAAATTCCTGGAGTGCCACTCATGTACATTCGCAACAGACAATACACTGTTGAAAGATTACCTGATGTAGACAAACTGAGTGGTGGTTTGTAAACAAGGCCATCAACCGAACAGGTCTTGCATCGTATCTTTCACACAACTGCCTCAACAATTAACATTTTTGAACAGGACCAATGATTGGACCCACTAACGATTAGAGTTTGAACTGTTTGTTCGAAAATATCTCAGTAATGAATACGTAAATACAAAGAATTTCTTTTAATTTTCTTTTTCAATTTATAAAAAATGTCTTTATCAACAACATGCAACATTGATATTCTGTATCTGCTTCAAAACAACGTTACGATCACTGATCCTGCTTTCAAATTTTTCATTGAATCACTCTCTCCAACAAACTCATCCAGCGCTCCATCCTGTGAAGAAAAGTCCTTTTCCGATTGTAAATACATTAACTATTATTCTCTCGGCTTATCAATCATGACTAAACAAGACATGAAAACCATAGATACCGTATTTTGCTATTCGGAAAAAGATAAAACGTTTAAACCCTATTGTGGTCCATTGCCTCTGTCTCTTTCTCTTAAAGAAAACAATGTTCAAGTGTTGAAACGATTTAACAGAGAACCAGATGCAAAAGGAGGTGGTAAATACAAATCGACTCCAATTTGGATTGAGTTTGCTGTCAAGTTAGAGTCTACTTGTCCCAAGTTATTGGATATTACATTTAATTTTACAAATTCTGATTGGAATGATTTAGAAAATCCAATTCATTTTCTCACCTTCTTTTTGAAATAATTATTTAATCTAAGAGTTCACACAATATTTGTGATTACTTAAACACCTAGACCTGGTCAATTCAGGTTCAACATGGACCTGGTCATATGTAAACTACCGTTGCCTGACCATCATAAAAGCACTCCAGAAATGATGACTTGCTCGAAAGATATGCTGTTCGTCTATGAAACAAACTCCCAGCTCAATAAAGCATACCCATACACTCTTGCATCGATAGCCACGAACATGTGAAAACCATTTATTGAACATCGTGCTCTGTCACCACAATCTCTTCTTCATCTTCCATGATGTCATCCTCAGGGTCAGCAATTAAGGATTCTCCAGCCATAATTTCTCTTTGCATCGTGGACACTCACACTCAAAGGCAAAGTGTTCTAACAGGTATTTTCTTCTATTTGCTAATGTGTCATCAAAGCCCATATAGTTTAGACACAAATAGTCTCCCTTTTTGATGTTCTTAGTGGTTACAATCTTTTCATCAACCTTTTCACAATTCTCTTCGCATGAATGATTAAACATGCATGCCAGGCCGTACACTCCACCTACAAAGCCGTTCAATTTGATAACCATGGTCATTCTCAAAACTTCCTCTAGTCTTTGTGGATCGCTCTCTAAATGTTCGATTTCCTCGAGTGTAAGACCTTCAAATTCCTCTTTCACCCCAAGATTTTGCTTTACTAGTTGCAACTGCTCAAAAAAGAAAGTCTTCCATCCCTCCACAAACTTTGTAGGTGCTTGTTCAATCTTTCTTGGGTGCAATCCTCTAAGCACATTTTGAAATTTCTTAAAATTTTGAATTAAATGTTTGATGGTAATACCTATTGTGACCATTGTTTCTTCATCGCTTGTACAGGTTCCAGTAATAAATTGATCTGTACATAGAAGAGAATCTTTCACTATCGTCACGCCCTTAACTTCATCTCTCTGGCCGCTTTCATCAAAAATTTTAATCACCTCTTCCACTGGAATATCATCAACAGCTTGCACACAATAATTATCTTCTGTCAATTTCACAATTCGGATTCTTGGGTCCATATACCAATATTTAGAATTTTTCAAATTGTTTAAAATTGGTTGAATGGCTTGTTCTTTCTTTGGAAATCGATTTAGAAAATCATGAACAGTAATAATAGCTTGAACACAGCTATTAATTTTCCATAACAGATTGAACAACATTGTACAAGCATTTGCGTATCCATTTGGATCATGATCAATAGCCTTCTCAAAGAATGGAATAGCTTCTTCCGATCGTTCCAAATAGAAATAAGCCAAACCCACTTTGTAATACACAATCGATGATAATGTTGTTGCCACAAAAGAAGGACTAGCAATAGGAGCAGCTCCCTGATGATTATTTACATGTTCATTATAAATGATGAGAGCCTTTTCATAAAATTGTAGAGCTGATTCATAGTCCTTTCGAGAAAAGGCTTCATTTCCGTTCACAAGAGCTCTCTCCAACTCTTCATTATCGGAGCAATATTGCTGAGCCGTGGATGATGTTTGTGTTGTAGCAGTACTCAACATTTTTTCTAACAGAAGAGTCAAAGCCTCCTCGCTTCGACCAAAAGCAATCTCACCTTTTGGAGCTCACAAAACATGTTGAAGACCTTTTTAAAAATTTTCTTCTTTCAAAAAATGACTCAAATCCGAAGAGAAGGACCAAAACCTCGATATCAAAACGACTATGCCTTCAAACATAACAAGGCTTCCAAATTAACGACTAAAATTTTGAGCACACCCAATGTCGGACTATGTAAGAGATGTCATGATATTATTGAATGGAAAAAGGCTTATCGGAAATATAAACCTCTGACTCAACCAAGAAGATGTAATATTTGTCAACAAAAAACGGTTACTCTGGCCTATCATGTCATTTGTAATAAGTGTGCCAAAGACAATAGAAAATGTGCAAAATGTTTGGAACCCTATGATGAAAAATTAGCAGCTGATGAAAAATTACTCGAAGAAATCAAAAACTTGGATGAACTGGAGCGAAAGATGAGCCACATGACTTTGAGACAACAACATGCAATCATTAGAGAAGCTCAAAAAATGGCAGAGCAAGACAAATTAAATGATGCTGATAATTTGGAGCAAAATGGAGAATCATCATCCACCTCAAAATCGTCGAGTGAGAAGAAGCAGGTTGAAGAAGAATCAGATGAAGAATATGACGAAGACGATGACTTTGATGACGATTTGTAAAGAAACAAATAGTGGCCGACACTTTCGAACAAGGGACTTGGCTTTGTTTAATTATACCATTATTAATAATTAACTGAGCTAGTTGTGACATGTAGTCACACCAGCTTTGAGAGCATGTAAAGAATCGTTCCTTAGTTTGCTTTGCATGTTTAAGCGTAAGAACAAAGCTAAGTGAATTGTTGACAACTTGGGAACGAAAATACGCTTCCCAAATAAAGATTCTGGCCCGTTCAAGAAAAAACCATTCGCGAAATCGTAACCAGGTTATGAGAAGAAAAAATTGGTTACTGTGAGATACAAGCTGAAATCCAGAGCAACACCAACAGCACAAAAGCCAAGTGCTCTGTACTCTGTTATTCACTGTTGTCACGAACCTCTTCATAACTATTGAAAGATCTTCTAACATTGTTTCATCATCGAATCCGGATAATTACTAATCAAAATTATGAATTTTGTACTTGACAATTCACAACAACATCACCATAATATGAACAGTCAAACACGTTCGATTTCCACTGAAATATTAAATCAACAAGAAGATCTTTCACTTTTATTGGCCAACAATGAAGATCTTGTGCGATCGATGACTTCACGAGCAACCTTTGCTCGAAATCTTCGATCATTGAGACCGTCCTCACCAACTATACATCGAACCAAAAACATCACAATCCAAAATTTATCACCCAGCAACAGCATAACATCACCGTCCGATGAATACTCCTGTTCATCGGCCCCTGTGACAAATGTCAGTCAAGACAAAGTTAGCGAGAGAAGTACCACAAAAACACGACGAATCCGTCTTCACAACCATGCTGAATTCAACAGCCATGACGACCACGGTAGTAGTTCTGTGTGTGAATTTCATACTGACACTTCCAAAATAACAACAACAAGAACGAAACCAATTATAATTGAAAAAATGCATGAGAGTGATGAGGCTCGCTTGGAGAACGAGAATAGTGAGTCGGAGGATCATCACCTGGTGCAAGTTTCAATGAAAAACAACAACAGTAGCAATAATAACAACAGCATCAACAACCATATATTACATCATAATTCTACAACTCCATCCAATGAATCAAAGATGGATAATAGCTTGGAATCTCAATATCGGGATTGCAATAATAATATGGCGGTGAATCAGAACAGAACTCATCATTTACAATTTTACGATGATGATGAAGAGTTTGTTATCTTTGAAAACGTATTATATAATACATTGGAAAATACTGCACAAGATTCAGAATCCTCACCAACCCCATCCCCTACATCATCACCCTCCAGAACTCCCTTCCCATTCTCCAGAAAAAACAAGCTTCAAGGATTAATCCCTAATTCATGGAAGAATATGTTTGTAAGCACCAAAAAAGAAGATACTTCAGAAAAGAAGCCCATTGTGGCAAGAAAAACAAATAATGCAAAGAAACGCAAGTCGTTCGTGCCACCTGAAGAGCTGTTGTCAAAGTGGATCCAGCAGTTGAGTTTGGAGTCGACTAACTCTCTCTCAACCAGCGGAGGATTTAAAGATTTGATGAAAATACTGTCAAGCAAATTACTGACACAGCCTTTAACAACCTCAAAAAGTTCAAAGATAAGAAAACTTGAACAAAACCTTCTCGTTAGCCTCGTTGATACCCTTATCAAGTACGAGATTTTGACAGAATCCACAAATGATCAACCTGAAATCTCTCCTTTGAGTAGTAACGACAATACCAATCCAACAACAAGCACGCCTAACAACAACACCACAACTAATCTTGACTCTTCCAACCAAAATCTTTATCCATCCAAAATTTCTCTGCAAATACAACCGTCCCTGTTGCAAGGAAAAGAAAAAGAGATCGTGCAATCTGTTTTGCAGGACTTCTCTACGCGATTTCCTCTTCAACCAGCATCGTCTTCCCGCACTAACACAAACACTGTTGACAAACAAGTGTCACTTGCCTTTGGGGACAATAATGGAAGCGAACACGGTCAGTCGTCTCATTTTAAAATTAACGGCAAATCTCCTTCCTCTCACATGACACAAGATGCATCGCAACAAAATAATCCCCAACAACAAAACCAACAAACCACACCAAATCAGCAACCAACATCCACACCATCAATATCAAATCGATCTTCCATGCTTTTGATGTCCTTTGATGAATTTTTACATGGAGAAGGAGGATATTCTTCATCATTCAGACCATCACCACGAGTGAATGGAAAGATGGAAACAGAATCACATTCGGAGAGTTTAGAGGAAAGCTCAGTGCTGTCAACATCTAACATGGAGAGTTCATCGATATCAACACCATCATCAAAAGGAGTACTAGCAACTACGCAACCAAGCTCTTCCAACGAGGTTATTGGTGTCAGTGCAGTGCTAACGGTTTTGACTTTAAATATTGGATCAGCAGCGAATGATCCCGCAACAACGAACACATCAGGAGAAGCCAACAACAATGAAGTGACTACTGACAATACAAAAGAGGAAAAGCAGCCAGAAGGTACTCCATATGAGAGAAAGCTCATGTTCGGTGAAAAAAGTTTGTTTGACATGAAATCACAACTGAAAGGAAGGCATCGGTATGGCTTTCTAACACCCATGCAATTTTTGGATTTTGGCTTGCGAGCTGGCTTTGACGAGGATGAATTTGCATCCATTTTCGCTGTAACATACTCGACATTTATGTCGACACATCAACTCATTCCCATGTTAGAATTTGTGATGAAAGTAATTTTGAATGATGAAAAAGTCCCACAACCACTCGACGAAGAGGAAGAAGAAAATATAGATCATGATCTGTCGGGAGCTTCGAATATCATTGACAATGATTGTAAATTATCAAGTGAAGAGAAAAACCTTGTCATTAGACGAGTAGTTTGTCTCTTAAAACACTTTGTATCATTAGCATTCTCAGATTTCCAATTTGACAAGCAATTCCACGAAATGCTTTATTCCTTTGTTGCTCCTCTTTCTGGTTTTATACAATTCGAAGCAACTAATGGAGAATCAGTCCAGGAACAAGTGTGTGATCTCGTGGAGAGGATTACACTAGTTATTTCTGGAGCTCATGAAGATCAACACATCCAACCAAATCCACCAAAACCTCTCATCAAGAAAATACCCAACGATCCACGAAAGATTAACATGATAGATATTGATCCTGTAGAAGTTGCAAGACAGCTCACATTGTTTGAGTTCAGTTCATTCGAAAAGATTACAGCCAAAGAACTGCTGGGAGCTTCATGGATGAAAGAAACAAAAGAGTGGACTGCTCCCAATATTACTCAAGTAATTTGGAGAAGTAATCAAATGACAGATTGGGTAGGAACATATATTTGTAGTATAAAAAATTTGAAAGAAAGAAGAAAGGCATTGAAACATTTAATTCAAGTTGCAGACGCTTGCTTGGACATGCACAATTATAACACAGTATTTGAAATAGTGATGGGATTAATATCACAGCCAGTATATAGATTGAAAAAAACTTGGGAAGTTGTGAAGGAACAAGAATTGCAAAAAGCATGGAAAAGACTTGAAGATATTACGAGCTTTCAACAAAGCAGGAAAGCTTACAGAGATCAAATCAAAAAAGTCATTAAGGAATCTGTTGACAAACTTACGCCATGTCTTCCATATTTGGGAATTCACTTGAGCGATTTAGTCTTTTTTGATGAAGGTAACAAGGACAAGATGGAAAAAGGTGTCACAACATACTATAATTTTACAAAACGAGCACTCATGGGACAAATTGTTTATCAAATCATTGCCGTGAAAAAGATACCCTATAACTTCCAAAAAGTTGATTTCATCGAAGAGTTTTTATGGTGGCAGCTTAACAGCAAAGTTTTACATGACGAATCTGAAAGGGATAAATTATCGAGGCAGTGCGAGTAAACACACCAAAATTCCAAAAACGTATTTTGAGATTATTTACAACAATTGTTTGACCTTCTCTCCCACATTTGGATATCCATCAATTTGACCCACCACCAATTCCATGAGCTTTTCTGCTCCATAGTGGCTGTGGGAAGACATGAACATCAATGTTGCATCTTTTTTGCGATATTGTTCGATTGCTCGTTTTCCGCCCGGATGCTCTTCTTGGAAACCCGCAGTCTCAACCACATAACCATCCACCATCATCAAGGTCTCACTGTTTTCTACCTCCTCCTTTGAAAACTTTTTCAAATTGCTCAACTCCGTTCGAGGCATTGTATTTTCCTTAATTGCTTTTTCTTCATTCATTTTACTCTCAACTTTTGTTGTTTCCGAATTTATATTGTTATTTTCCATTGTATGATCATCTTTCTCCTGCTTTGAAACGTTTTTGCTTTTCACCGATCCTTCCTTGATACAGAGCGAACCCATCTCCGTAATTTTTGTATGTTGGTCCACAAAATGTTGCTGCAGCGGTTAATTAACTTTCAGGGTTTGCACGTAAATAAAATCTAATCTCAAAGAGCATTTGATTTGAGCAAAGATAATGTTTTAGATTTGAATTTCCAGCTGAACTTCAGAGTTTCAAAAAATGTCCAATCACTTCTTGTATGCTTGCTCGTTTGATAGCAGTGGTAAGTGGGTCATGTTCATCATGATTAAAAATAATGATTTGATCAATTGATATTCATTGTTTAGATCTACCATTTGACTTGCACCAAACCAGTGGATTTCATCATGCCGTGTTGGATTTTAATTATAAATTAATGTTTGGTGGTGATCGAAGAATTTATTTTGTGACTGAAAATGATGAAATTATCACACTGCGACAACCAACGACCACGTCTAGAGGTACACAATCGAACAGCACCAAAGTTCATTTAATTCCAATGAATTCTCCTCTAAAAACGAAAACGCTTTTATTGGAGGCCGATCACTTGAATTTTAAATCCAAGTATCCACGTTTTCATCCTACTGGTTATTACCGAACATTATCTGACCTCTATGTAGTGGATATGCTAAATTGTGACAAGGTATTAAGATTAGAACCAGATATGAAAATGTTCACCTTTGAACACTCGAAAATCAGTACAATTATATCAGGTCCTTTGGGAGCAGCTTTTCTAGTCCAAACCAAGGATAAAACATTACATAATCTGAAAGAAGGATCAACAACTGTTCTGAATTTTAATATTTCTTTTGGATGCTCATTTGGAGGGGTTATGTTGTAGTGAGTGAGGACAAACATGTTTATGTGACTGACACCTCTTCGTACGTATGGGGTGGAATCATGAAGTTTTCATCGTCAACACCATATTCAGAATCTACATCTCCCACTTTGAAACGTGTGGATTTAGAAGAATTGGCTGACGTTATTGATGTACAGGCTGGATACTATCATTGCATATTTTTGACATCCAAAGGAAAGGTGTACGTTTGTGGCTATGACAATATGCAACAGTGTTCATTAGGCATGATTTCTCATTCAGGTTTGTATTGTATTCAGATAATAGACATGAACACCATGATGGTTCATTCTAATTCACAGAATCCTTTTGTCCATTTACTGAGCTTAAACTGGATTATGGATTTGCAACACAAATTGGAGGTTTTTCTCGTGGAAATTATATTATCAATGGTAAGTGACGACATGATTGTAATGATTGGAAAGGTACATTTGCAAGTTCATTCCAGAAAAACGCCAAGTATATTTCATAGCAGAAATGTTTTCTAGTTTCTCTAAAAAAACTCACTCATTGGATTTTGTTCAACAATTTAATTTGGATGATTTGAATTTGGAATGTCTTAATCACGATTTGAAAGTTAACGGGAATCTTAATCATATTGTTGCGACAGGTTGGCAATGTTGTATTTCCCACAATCCCAACCTTCAAACAGAAAAGACCCTTAAATACATGTTTAAGAATTTGAAAGTTCTTTCTCAACAACAAGATATTGGAACCAACATTAGCGACATTTCGATTCGTGTGAATAACCACACGTCCTCAGAGTAGCTGAACTGAAGAACAACTTGTGCCACAAGAATTTCGTAATAATAGATACCATTCACTCCCAATAAACACACGCATGGATATTGGCGTTTCAATGGGATTACAAGTCCGCTCAAAATGGACTCAATCAAAAAAAAGTGCTTTAACCAGTGCTTGTTCTCTCTTGAATCATCCTCACGACAAGATCCTCATCATCTTTGTGCAGAATCTTATTGAGTTTAAAAAAGGAATAGTACTGACTGCGCTACATAACCGATCTTTAATTTGTAAATACTACTACGAGTGAAACAAACCATCATAAATTATCATCAAATTCCGATTCCGAAATATGGACTCTCAACAACCAGAAACAACAACATCATCCTCACAAAATACATCTTCCCCATTGTTACATGTTTCTACAACGAATAATACGGATCATCATTTGATTGCGTCATCTTGGTCTACTGCCCAACTTTTTCATTCAAAAATACCATTTAGGGATAATCATCAAAATTCAACATCTAAAATTCATGAATTTATTTCATCAAGCAGACTAACTCAACAAATTATAGCAGCCACGTTCGGATCATGCCTCACAGCCATTTTTACATGCCCTTTGGATGTTATTAAATCCCGAATACAAACTCAACATTTTGTGAGAAGCATTCCTCATCATTATATCAAGCCGTGTCAACACCATAGCAACCATGCTCACCATCAGAACTTTTTACCTCTCTCTACACGACGAGCATTTATGACAATTATTAAGAATGAAGGAGCAAAGACACTGTGGAGAGGATTAAGGCCGACACTTTTATTAATTATTCCTAATAATGGTATTTATTACTCGTTGTATGAAAGGTTAAAGATTGAATTTTCAGGACTAGGTCATACCATCACTCCACTAGTTTCAGGATGCATTGCAAGAGTAATGGCTACTACTGTGACAAGTCCAATAGAATTTTTTAAAACAGCGAATCAAGTGTCAAGGAACAAGGTTTATTTACGAGATTTGCGATGGAGACATTTATTAAGAGGACTAAATGCTACATTGCTGCGAGACGTTCCATTTTCTTCTCTGTACTGGATGTGTTATGAAAATATGAAATCTTCACTTTTGAACCGATTTTCGTTACAACAACATCATCCACACTACTCGAGAAATTTAATGCTCATTTCTTTCGCAAGCGGTATGACTGGAGGAGTGATAGCTACCACGTTAACTCATCCATTCGATGTGATAAAAACCAATGCTCAGAATATAGAAGCCAAACATGTAGGAGTGTGGAATATTTCCCAGAATATTTACAAAACGAATGGTTTGAGCGGATTTTCTAGAGGATTGCTACCAAGATGCTTGAAAGTTGCTCCTTCTTGTGCCATCATGATTTCCACCTATGAATTGGTGAAAAGCTTTTTCGAGACGTGGGATTAAAGTGTTTGTTTGAATACCATCCATGGACCAACCATAGTAGTATTTATTTATGGAGTACAGTTCGTTCTTTCAATATGGATCACTTGTTTCCAATTTTTTGAACCTTGATGCAATGCACAAGAGCCTCAAATGCCTGGCGAATCAAAGAATCCTTGATCTGTAGTGGAGTACTCACATTTCATTATTCTGCATTTACAAATCAAACATCGAGACACTGATCTGTGTGTGCCTCTAGAGCTCCAAACATCAATTTAAAAAATAACACATCACCAAGTGCCACTTGTCAATAAACCGCTCACAACCATGCGTTCGTTAATCCTCGCTGCTGTCTTGGTGTTATCCTTTGTTGCTTTCGTTTATGGACACGGAGAGTTCATTTTACCAAGACCAAGAACCTTCGGAATCAGTGGTGTAAGTATTTTTATTGATATCTGTTTCTCTAACGTACATGTTTGTCACTTGGATTTGTGTCATTCACGAAAATAACAACGACCATTTTAACACAAAAATTCACACCACAACAACATGATCCCATACCATCATTGACATCATTTACACAGTCAGACACCCAAAAAACAGGTCCATGTGGTTCCATTGCCAAGAAGGCACCAACCATCAAGTACAAGGGTAATCAAAAGACAAACGTCACTTGGTTTATTAGGGCCAATCACGGAGGTAGCATCACTATGAATATTATTGACTTTTCAGACAAGTCAACCTCTGTATTAGTGTCAGGAGTGAGATCTGCTTCAGGCAATACCACAGTATCTGTGACTATTCCAGACAAGTTCTGTAATAATTGTACCTTGCAATGGGTTTGGAGACCAAACGGTGAATCTCCTTATTATGGTTGTGTGGACATTAGCATTGATGGAGCACCAATTAATACCACAAATAATAATAATGCCAACAACAATAACAATAATAATAACAATAATAAGGCAAACGTTGGATCTCTCTCAACACTTCCATCCTATTATTCCATGATTGTTGGATGTGTGGTTGTCATGTTGATTTCTGTGCTTGTTCAATTTTAAATAAAGTTGAATGTCTCGACAGGCTCAACAAGTTTTGTAACACCCAATAATACTTCCACAAACGATGGGAAATCAAAAAAATTTGAAAAAAGGCTTAAGTGTAACGAATTTTTCATTCCGAAAAAAAAAACAACAAGTCTTCAGCAGCAGAATGGTAGCCAAAACAATTCAACAATCAAGTGCTCATCACCAAGGCTTGAACAGCATGTTGGTGGAACATGGTGAGATTTCGGGGTCTGTTGCTGGATGTTCCAAACCTTCACTGAACAAGACTCGCAAATTCAAGACAAAGAATCAATGCGTATTACAACTTACTCCTCTCGTGATTGATAAAAGAATCAAGCTCGAAAAGATGGCTGTCTTGGTGTCGGAATACCACAGCAATACAAATCAGAGTTCGAACGAGGCTCATCTTCGAGATGAAACTGCTTCCAACTCGGGCTCGCTTTACTTTGTGGAGGATAGCTTGAAATCTGCTAGCTCTTCAGATTATGATGATTTTGTGATTGTGTAAATGAAACAACCGACTTAGCAAGTGACAATTTTCACTTACGTTGTTGTAAACACATTCTAGAACTTGGAGCAGTATTATTAATCTAATGTCATGCCTGCCAGGTGCATCTCTCTTGAAATTAATTGACATGTGTAGAATCAGATTTTACTACCAATAAATGTATAGCACATTCTCTTAATAACGAACACAAGCTTCTCAAAGATAACCCCTCATCATCATGACATCAAAAAACGAGTCCAAATTTGCAGCAATGCTGACAAATGTGTTGGAATTGGTGCTTTCTTTTGATCCCCATTGGTTCTTTTCTTCTATAACCTCAACTCTCTTAAAGATGCAAATATTTGGTTCGATAGAAACACAACCTGCAAGAACATCGTGAAACTTTTTACCATCCTGATTCTTTTCCAAGTATTTCTGCATTCCTTTGAAAATCAAACTGAGTCCAATAAAAGAAAGATGTTGCTGAGAGGTGAAGGTGGTTCTCGCATATTCCAATTGTGTCAAACGTTCTTTCAATTGCATGTGCCTATCTTTTCCATACACGACTCCATGGCATACGTTCTTGGAGACTAATAATCTCTTGTCTATGAAAGGACAATTAAGAACAGTTTTTGCTGCCTTAATATTCCCACCAAAGTTATAGGTTGACACTTTCGTTTTACCTGCAAATTTTGAAAGTCTAAATTGATGTGGAGTAACATTATCCCCTGCAAACCCTCCTTGTATTACACACAACCCAATCCTATTCTGTTCATTCATCTCATGTGAATACTTCTCAATAAATGTTCCCAAATTTGAAAGTGGTGCTCCTGTGACAAACATTAATTGATTCCCATACTCTTTCCAGCATTGATGCATTAAATTGTATCCAAAGTCATCGCTACCCTGTTTCAAATACTTTTCATCCGTCGAGTTTGGATACATCTTTGTAAAGAAACCTCCCAAACAATTCTTGTTATGATCCGGCTTGTATGCTCCAATCTTAATATTTCTCAATCTTTCAATTATTGAAATCATGTCATTGTTGTGATCAACATTTTGAACGTATTGCTGACATTCAATAATAATTTCATCAAGAAAGCATCGAACAAAGGAAATTTGCTCTTTCGTACCGGGTGTTACAGTGATACATTTAACGCAAATTCTTGGATGACATAATAATTCAATGACGTTGAAATAATCATCAGGATCACCTGTTTCCATATCAATGATTGTTGGGATTTGTTCTGGAAATGATGAATCCTTTGGATGGCTTTTAGCTCTTGAATTCAAATAGGAAACATAGGGATTGGTATTCGTTTCAAAAGAAGAATATGATGAACTGAATTGTAGAGTATTCATAGGAGGGTAGTCTTGGTTCTTGTCCTCTTGGATTGGCTTTTGATTCATGGTGATCAGATTTAAACGGTTTGAAGCTTTCTTTTCTTATTGTTAACCATCAATTTTGAGAATGAAGCCTATGGAATAGTCATATTGTTCAACAAATCCATCAAGGCGTCTTCATCATCATCATGGCATCCCAATAAACGATCATGGCATTAACTGTGATGAAAACAAATCGGCAAACGATTTCATCAAGTTTAAAAAATGCAGCTTCGAAGCATTTTGTTCCACAGCGACAGATGGAAGGAATTTGTGCCAGCCGAGTTGCACGACGAGGTAGAGGCAAAAGTTAAGAGTATGTTGTTGTTGGTATTAAAATAGAACCATTTTGTGGTAGATGATTTGTGGTTGGGTTGATAAATCGTGCGGATATAAATTTTTTGATGATTATCGGCGTGGATTGAATTTTGGTTGATGATGATTATCGATGATGATTTTACAAATTTGATGATTTATTATGAATGAATATTTGGATATTTGGCAAACGGACTCTTTTTAACTATTTGAATTATTATTTACTCTGATGATGTGCAGAGGCGAGACCACTTGTCTCAGAGGAAGAAATGGACAAACATAATGTACCATTGTATTTGCGGGATGCTTGTGTTCATCGTGTTATTCCTCTCAATCATTGCCGACATGAAAATTTCTACAATCCTTTCAAGTGTAATGACGAACGAGTCAGATATGAAAGATGCCAATACAAGAGATACTTGAGGTGGGTGCAAAAGTCACAAGAGTTATGGCGAAGAGAGGAAAAGCTGAGAATTATCAAGGAGAAGTTGGAAAAAGCCAAGAAGAATGCTCCTGCTGAGGAATAGTCAAATTCTGAAATTTTAATGTTATTATTATTCAACCATTCACCACAATAAACCTTTGGGTTTTCATTTATTGGGGAATGAAACTAAACTGTCGCTAGCGACTCAATAATGTACCTTGTCTGAACCTTTGAAATTGAGCAATGAACTGTTTCTCATATTTAAGCAAAACGGCCACGAGAATGGCAAGGAATGTAGCACCTAAAACAACGTGTCCAATTCTTCTCACAGAAAAGAGCGCTGAAGAGCCAATGTCAAATTGAATTTCCACATATTTGGTAACAATCAAGCATGTAACTAGTGTCAGCATGACAAGCTTGGATGGCAAAGCGTCCAACAGAATTTGTTTTGCATTCGAGTTTAAATGTTGTTGGTGCTTATTGTAAAAGCCAATAATAAAATACACGCTGTAGGAAATTCTCATTAGCATGTTAAAGCAATTGGCAATGATCATGCTGATAGTTCCAAGATTAAAAATCCATAAGCACGTCACACAAACACTCATATATAACACTGAAAATAATATCATAACAAAATTGAGTTTGATAATTTCTGTTCGTGCCGAGAGGGCATGAATAAATGCTTCTGTAATTCCGTTCAAAGACATAAATAATATGTAAATACAATAAATGGAAAGAATTTTTGGAGCCTCAGTATGATTTGCCCACTGATTTCCATACAGGAGATAAACTAAGGTGTGTGCGTAGGCTGGACCAAAAAACGCAAATATGCAACCAAGTAGCGTGGACATCTTCAAAAATAGGATCAGAACTTTAGCACTTGTAGACACTGCCTCCTGAGCCAATTGTTTGTCTTGGCTAGGTTTGGAATCGTCACTATTAATTATTATACTCAATTTGCTCCAAATAGAAAAGCTAGTTTCTTCAATGTATTGAAATAATAGCCTGGCAGCAAGAGATCCTAAATTAAAGACCAAGTCGAAAACTCCTTGGTTATATTGAGACTGGAAAAGGATCAAGATATGCTTTTCTCCCTCAGTTAAAATATATTTGATAAGAGATTGATACAGAAAGCTTTGTGACAGTCCAAATAAATTCCAATCCCACACAAATTTTAGTCCTTCATATTTGGTATTTTTGGCTCTTATTCTATCAATTAGGTATCCAATCAGAATTGTACTGCTATAGAAAATTTGACTGTATCCATAGTATTGCAAAACGTTGGAAATATCAAAGATATTTACAATTACAAAACTGGTAAAAATTTTGACAAAGAGAGCCGCTGCTTCTATTGATACTCGAACACCAAAAGCTAACTGAGCCATAGATACAATATAGAAGGGTTGAGCAACAATTTCAATAAGTGTTGCTAAGCTGTACAGGATTAAAGGAGATATTTTCGCATCCACTTTTGGCAAATAATAGATTCCCCATATACAATAACATATTAAAAGAGTAATCATCCCATATGGAATGGATAAAAGAGCAGTTGTTCTAATTTTTAAATATTGCTTGTTGCTATCTTCCTCTGTTCCACTGACATTGCTTCTCAAACAGGCCCGTCTGAAACACTCAGATGACAGAAATATCACCGTCATGGCAAATAGCTCAGATTTGAAAATGAACTAATTTAAAAAAGGTAATAGATTGTTTGCAAAGAAAATGTACATACTCCCTTAGTATCAGGATCTAATTGTCTAATAATATATGTATTTGCCAAAAATGTAACAATTTTTGAAAGAAACGATAAGGCTAATCATCATCAATATTATGTTAAAATACAGCTTCTCTTTGAGAAACTTACATAGTAAATAAGAAAGACCTTTTCCAGCAGATGCTAAAGTGTTTCTTATATGATTTTTTTGCTTTTCGTCTTCAATTTTTTGAGTGTGTTCGTTTGTATGATTTAGATCATCGGAATTTAGCTTTTGTTGCTTCCTCCTTTTTCTCATTGCTGATTCGGCTGTTGTAGGTACTTTGGGTTCATCATCAGCATCGTTGGATGAAGCGTCTTGCTGATGAGATTTGGTGATCATTTTTTTGGATTTTCTCTTTGTTTGGGAGCTTTTTTGCCAACACGTGTTAGGAAGAGATCTCTGTGGAATGTCGAAGGATTATCAAATAAATTGAATGGGTGTGGTTGAACAACTACAATGTGTATCAACTGTATCGCAGTGGACAGGACATTGCTTTTTTGGGACTAGCTTTCACAAAGGGTCAAGGAAAATACTCTACCCAAAAACCACTGAGTCTTCCTGTTGGTTTGGAACACATTCTATTTCGTTGCAGTCTTTTAATTCCAAATTCCTTGACGTTCGACAACGAAACCAAGTTCGCCATTTAGTTTTTGGTTCAACGTTTCTCAAAGAGAGCGCTTTCAAACAAATCACACACACAAAAAATTCTCTGAGCGAGATCAACAGCCACCCTTTCTCGTTCTCTCTCTCCGAATCGTAATCATTGTCCTAGATCCTAAACACAAATAATTAGTGTATCGTGGATACAAAACCAGTCTGTTTAGACATTTTCAAAGATATCTCCGTAGAAGATGCCATCGTGTCCTTCATGTTTTGGAAGTCGTAGTAGTAGTGATGACGACGAACCAAAGGAAGGAGAGTCCTTCAGTAAATTGAGCTACAACTCGGATGATGATAGAGAGCCAGAAGATCCAAAATTTAAACCAAATTTTAATGATGAAGTGAAATACAACCCACAAATAACGAGAGTGAAGAAAAAGGGAAGATGGCCTACCGATATTCCATGTTTGATTTTGTTTGTAGCATATTGTTTCGGAATGTTAGCCGTTGCTATTATTGCATGGAAGTTCGGAACACCAAGCAAATTATATTGTAAGTTTTGGTGTTATGTTTTACGCCTCGGAAATTAGATCAATAACGACATGATTATTCAGATGGTACTGATTATATGGGTAGAACATGTGGACAAGACAACAGAAATGCAACTGCAAATATGCTGAAAATTCCATTCGATGAAGATTGTATCAATAGCCAAAAGCTCATCAACAACAAGCAAACGAACACCACTGCATTGCAATTGTGTGAGGAAAAAGTTAAAAAGTATAAGGTTGATTTTACCGATCAGAGTAGGTTATGGTTCATGGAAGTATTGGACCCATTCTACTATGGAGGCATGTGTGTGTCGTATTGCCCTGGTTTGCTGTCTTCTGGTGATTCTTTGATTAGTAAACTCAACAGAACAGCAACTTGCCCACCAGAATTGGAATCAGCAACTGTGGCTGTTTCAGGTTACAGCGTGCCATTCTTGACTTACTGCAGTGGTAAACGAGTGGACCATTCAGAGTCGTTCCCTGTGAATGATGTATCAAGAGCTTTATCAACTCAGTTATCGTATTTTGTAAGTGGATGGAATTTATGAATTGTATTTATTCATGATATCATTTACTAGGATGTTGTCAACAGATGCATTCCAACTATTACTACGTCTGGTAATCTTACTCTTAACGAGATTATTTCTAAAATTTCTAGTGTCACACTTGCTGGTAATTATTCCTCAATTGTGGACGACGCCAGCCAAGTCGTGTCCACATTTTGGGACGATGTTACAAGAGGTAGGTATTCCACCATTTTTCACGAATAGTCATTCAAAAATTGCATTACTAAATTAGGTTGGAAGGTTCTAGTTGCTGCTCTTTTGATTGCCATTATTCTCGGATTTGCTACCTTGTTGTTTATTAGAATTTTCGCAGGAGTCATTACATATTTAACAATCTTAGTTTGTGTATTGTCATTCCTAGGTCTGGGCGCCTTTATGACATGGTATGGCTACAGCCAAGTTCAAGTCATGCAATTGAAACAATTATCTACTACCGTCCCTAACGTCATTTTATGGAGTGGTGTTGCTGTTATGGCTATTGGCCTATTACTTGCTATTGCTTCTGCAATATTCATAATGAGAATTAGAAGGTTTGTTTAGAAGTTTACTGAATGCTGTAATTTTAACAATTATTGTAAACAGAGCTATTGGTATTATTCAAGAAAGTTCCAAGTCACTAATGTACATGCCACAAGTCCTCTTGCTGCCAGTAGTTTTTGCTGTAATTATAGGATTATTTGCTGCTTATTGGTGTGTCGTCAGTATATTCTTATATTCTGCAGGAGATCCTGTCATCAAGGGAGGAGCAGTACAATACGTACTTTCAACGTGGATGAGAGGAATCCTTGCTTATCATGTAAGTGAAATTATCATTACCAAAGTGTTAACAAAAATTTCGTAAATCTATAGATTTTTGGAGGACTATGGATTTTAGCATTCATCCAAGCCATGGAATTTTTGGTATTGAGTGGAAGTGTAGCTAGTTGGTATTGGAGAAGAGAAAAGAGATTTGTATTGGGCATGCCAGTCGTAAGAAGTTTTGTTAGAACTATAGTTTTTCACACAGGCACTGCTGCATTCGGATCATTGATTGTGGCCATTGTTCAAGCCATTCGATTGCTTTTTGAAAAAATTCAGAGAGAGTTAGAAACAGCATCCAACAACAATCGTATTGTTAAGGGATGCGGATGGTATGTGAGAGTGGTGTTGTGGATTATCGAGAAGGTGATCAAATTCTTCAACAGACAGGCCTATGTTCAAACCAGCATGTATGGCACAGGATTTTTGACATCTGCCAAAAATGCATTCCTTCTCATGCTGCGAAATCCAATTCAAATGGCCATTACTCAAAGTTTGAGTACTGCAATATTGTTACTATCAAGACTTGCCATCTCGTGCTTGACATGTCTTTTCACTTACGGTATTGCTGCAAAGACCACTTTCCTCAACACTGATAATAAGGAAATCCAAAACCCAATTTTCTTGGCTGCAATCGCATTCATTATTGGCTTTGCAGTGTCTAGCTTGTTTTGTATTATCATTCAATGTGCCATTGATACAGTTTTGCAATGTTTCTTGATTGAATTGGAAATGAGAAAAGCAGATCCTAGCATTCCAAGATTCTGCACAAAATCTCTTAACAGATACATTGAGGAAAATATCAAATTGGAAAAGCTCAGTAATTTCATTTGTCCACTGTGCTGTTGCCTCACTTGCTTGTGCTGCACAGGTCATTCAGAAGCATCAAAAGGAGTAGCTCCTCCTGTTGCTTCAAATAATGTTGAAATGCCGAGTGCACCCCCAATGAACGTGTAAAATAAATACCAACTTTTAATAGTTAATGGTTAGCTAATTCTTACAGAGCAGGTTAATGTGAACTTTGAATGATTTGCTTAACCTCTTCTTCAAATTCTTCTTGATCAATCAGTCCTTCCTTCAAAAATTGTCTCAATGTTGTAACTTGATGTTTTTGTTCCTCATTCAAAGAGCTCAAATCTCCAAACACTGGATCTATTTCTTCTTTGTTACTGCCATTGTCATTCGACAGCTGTTGTGCAGAGCTCGTGCTTGTTTCATGAATTTGAGTAGGTGGCTGTACTTTCTCAGGAGTTGTCGCAGCGGTGGTTGGAGTCGTTGCGCTCGAATTTCCCAGTAACTTTGCTTCTTTCAATTTATATTGCTCTTCTGTAATGAGACCACAATTCAAAAGTTTTTTGAGCTTGGTCAATTCTGCCTCAGCACTACCATTTGTTTGTCTTGGAGACTCGACACTGTTTGCCTTATTATTATGTGACGCAGGAGATGCAAGGACATCTCGATTCGAGGTTGTTCCATTGTGTTTAGATTCTTGTTGTGGAATAGGAGAAGAGTTTCTTTTCTCTTCTTGCTTTTTAGGAATTTGAATTTTTGGTTCTACTGGAGACTCTACAATGTTTCGTGTTGGAGTGGTTGGAGTCGTTACTGATACATTTCCACCTAAAATCTTATTCACCTTTTGATCAAAGATATCCTTACTAATGACTCCAGAATTTAAAAGTTTTTCCAATTGTTTGATTTGAGTATTCGTGTTATTGCTGTTGGAGGTTGTTTCTATTGGTGAATCTTTGGTTGTTGCTTGTTTCATGTCACAACTTGTGGAGGTAAAGATGGCACCTTTGGTTCTTCTTTCTTGTGTGATTGACATGTAGGTGAAGCAGTGGCGGAGGGTGGTGTATGAATTCCCTTCAATAATCGTTCCTCCTTTTCTAAATAATCTTTCTCTGAAATGACTCCCATTTCAACTAGTAAGCGAAGATTTTCTAATTGTTCTTGAATTTCAGCATTCTCCTCTTCAGTTTGTGGATGTGTTGAAAGGGTTGTTGATTCTGAAAAAGTATTTTGAACAGAAAGAGGATTCAATTCGTTTTGAGGAGAAGATGAGCTTGATTTGATTTCGTCTAACGTTGGCTTGGTGGTCATTGCTTTCATCTCTTGTGTTGATGTCTCAATCGTTTCATTGTTCATCTTGGTGGAAGGAGAACTTGGAACTTCCTTCACTTCTACCTTTTCTAACTTTTTACTTGGAGTGGAAACTGAAGAATGACTCTCTTTCTTATGGTGGTTGGTGTTATTAGTAGTACTGCTACTACTTGCACTACTTTTTGGAATGATAATATTCTTTGGAATGTCTCTTGGAGATTCCTTTGCTGTGTATACAGGAGAGGACAATCGTGTCTTGTTCTCTTCGTCATTGACTTCTTCTACTCTAAAAGATGATTTCACAGCAGTGTTCAATGTGGACGATGGATTCTTTGAAGGAGATGATACTTTCACACTTGTATGGTTGCTATTGTTACTGGTTGGAGACACACTGGATGATACGGTTGGGGATTTCAATTTGTTATTGTTACTACTACTACTACTGACATTAGTTGTAGGACTTGCAGTAGGGCTGGTTGTGGTTGGAGAAGAAGGGCTCTGAGAGTTCAATAATACTTTTTGATATTGAGATTCAAATTCTTCATGTGTTAAAATTCCCATCTTTTTCAAATGTTTCAATTTTGAGATTTTGATTTGTTGATCATGAGAAAGGTGAGATAAATCTTCAGTGTCTTGTACAGGTCTATTTTCTTCCAAAATTTGTTGTTTCTTGCTTTCCAACATTTCAGGTGTTAAAATTCCCTTTTCTGTTAATTTTTCTAGTTTGGAAATTCGTTGTTCACTTGAATCACTACTGCTGCTGCTCACTGGAGATGTTTTCTTTTCTTCTTCATGTACAGACATGTCCATCTCGAGAATTTTCTTGTGGTGTGTCCAATGAGTTGGGAAATACAAGGAAGAGAGAACTTTCTTTTTCTTTGTTTCATATTCTTCCTGATTCAAAATTCCATCATTCAAAAATCGATCGAGTGCTGTCATTTGTGTTCTCTGAGTTTCATTCATCATATTCTTTAAATCTTGTAATTGTTGAGAATATTCTTGGAAGGAAATTTGAGAAGAATTGGAGTGTGAGATTATTGATTTTTGAGGACTCTCTTTTTTGATTTCTTGTTGTTTCGTGATTGGTAATTCTTGTTGTTTGGATTTTGCTTCTTGATAGATTTGTTGTTTCTTCTTTTCAAATTCTTCATTGGTTAAAATTCCTTTATCGAATAAACTTTGTAGTTTTTCAAGCATGGCCGATTGTTCTTTGGAAAGCACTGGAACACTATTCTTGGTGACCAGGGTATTGTCTTGTTTAAGTTTGTTCAATTTGGTATCATATTCTACTTGTGTGACAATTCCTCTTTCCACAAGACTGTGAAAACTTGAATTAAAAATTCCTTTTTCAATATTGTTCGACACTTACCCTCTCAATCTTGTCATGAGTTCTTTTTGTTCCTCAGTCAAGCCCTCATCATCCATAGGAGGAGGATATAATTGTCTCCATTTTGCCTCAAATTCTGATTTTGTCAAAATATTCTTTCTGTATAATTGTTCCAATTTCAAAAGTTTTTCTTCAACATCTTTTGGAGGAAGAGTGGAATGAATCACATTCTTGGTTTTGGACGCAATTTGATTCAATAGTTTTGAAGTTTCTGTATTGGCAGGTTTAGCATTTCTAAATTCCGATCCGAAATTGTCATGTCGTTGCTGAACCACACGAACGGCACTTTGATTCTCTAAACTTTCATTTAGCAATTCTCCTGTGCAGTCAATGAGAAAGAAGAATCCCCCAATACTGAGATTGTATCTTTCGTAATGATGTGTGAGACCACTTCCACAACGAAGTAATGGACTACACCAATAATTAATTTAAATCGATTCAGGGTTATGATTCAAGAAATATATGAATTGGTAATCATGATGGAATACTAGTGTTGTCACAATTCACTTACCAATCGACTTTGGTTCTAATAAAGTGATGACCACCAGCTCTTGGTTCTTCAACTTCTACAGCAAAGATCAAACCATTGGTATTTTGTTCTCGTTTCAAGACACACTTTTGAGAGAAATTAATTGTTTCAATCCAATAACCAATTCATTCGTATTGAAGATTCCATGAATACAATAGTGAGAGTGCCATCAACATGATTGATTAGAATTATTATTATAATGAGACAGGCATAGGAGTATTGGGGTAAATTCATCGGAAGTTTCCCTCGTGACTACTACTCACCTCATCATTCACAAGCACACGGAATGGTTTCTCGGAGTTTGCCACCACACCATAGAGATAAAAGAACACGGAATTGTGTTTTTGCTCAAGAGTAGTGTAGAAGGATTCAGTGGAGTAGGTTGACGACATTTTTTTGTGATTTGAAAAGGGTGAGAGTTTCATGACATGTGTGACATGCCAAAGCCCAAAAAGAAGCGAATCCACTTGTTGTGTTTCTAGTATGAATTTGGAGAAATGGTATTGTATTGGCGTTAACCATGTTTGAAATTTTGACTATTTTGGATTGTATTTCACATGTTGGAGAGAATCAGTAACTCTTCATGATTCAATAATCAATCCATTTCATTCAAGAGTTGTGACATCCATGAATTCATATCTGTTGTCGCTGTCTCTCCACACAAATGGTAATAGCAGAATTTCAACCATTGTCCCGATCCAACACATTTAGTTTTACACTCTTTTAGTTTCTTTCTCAAACCACGGTCGCTTGTGACAAACAGACAACTATCCGAAGTACCAGCAATATGGTGTCTGTTTGCAATATCTACAAGCATATCATCAGCGATTAAGAAACCATTGTCGCTGGCAGATGAAACAACAAATGTCTCATTGTCAGCGCTCATTGTGTTACCCGTCGAATCAAAGCAAACGTTAAACAAAATAAATTGATGATTGAGCATGACTTCCATATGGCTTTTGAAAAGTCTTGCTATGTAAATTAACAGCTTTTCAGCGCTTGCTTTGTCTTTCTGGAATAGGACTAAAGTTCTCAATACATAAGTGATGTAAAGCATATTGTTTGAATCAATATAAACATAGTGAATTTCTGGCGGGAGTCTGTGAGAAAATTCCTGAGTTTGAGGGTTGTAGAGCTCAATATCATCAGCAGCAATTAATTGGTTTTCCTCTTTTAGCTGGTCTTTATGCTCTTGCTTTTCAAGAATTTTTCTTTCTTTTTCAAGAAGTTTAGCTTCTCTTTCCTTTGTCCTTTCTTGACACTTCTGAATCTTTTCCAATTTTTTGATTTCTCTTGGAGAGAGCTCTGAAGATACAGCATTGTCAACAGGTCTATCATGCTCAAAAATTGGAGCGCTTGGCTCAGCAATTAATGGAGAAAACGATCTTCCTTGTTCTGAACCTGTTGGTGAGCCCATTGACCCAGTTGAGAAATCAACATTCATTCCGATGCTTGTTGGACTTAAGTACTTGTTCAGTCTCTTGGAAATTTTCTTTTCTTTTTTAATAAGCTTCTCTTGAAACTTTTGTTGCATCTTTTCAAGCTTGTAACTAGCCTTTCTGGTCAACACTTCGTCACGGCTCAACATTTTAACGGTGAGTTGAACGTCAAGAGTTCTGTTTGGTGTATTGGTTTCACTTGAGCGAGAATTCATCATTCCTCCATAATGACCGTTAACAGCTAGCACCCATTCCTCATCACTGGAAACGTTCACCCAATCTCCATCATGATCCATATATTTGATGGACAATACAACCCGTTTCTCCTTTGCTCCGATCTTGTTCAACAATGATTTCATGATACCCTCATAATTATTATGGACACTTGGATCATAATCAAATTCCATCATCGGAGGAGAAGATGATGAAAAATTGCTGGTGATCTTATTAATGTATTTTTGGATGGTCGTTGGAGAAGGAATAAGATTGAGTTGCACCCGAATTTTCTCGGCAGGAGTGATGATGGCGAAAAAGTTACCATTCTGAATGTTGGGTGAAGTCTTCATTTTTTCAAGTGTTGATTGCCAAAGGTTACAATGTGTTACCATCAAGAACACCATCTCATAACACTGGATTGGAAACAGAAATTAATCCACAAGGAACAAAATGAAACGAATCGTTAAATCCATTCTCCGTCATCATAACCACAGTAACATTGCAACATTCTCGTTGGGGACTCGTGTTTTCAGAACCTTTTCTTCCACTCCATCCATTCGTTCCATCCAGCACCAAGATGATGAGTGGATACATCATCCTCCAATGATTCCCATTCCATCTGTTCCAGGTCTCTTTAAAATTAAAGATTTCATTTCACCAAATGAACGAGATCATGTCATGTCCGAAATGAAACACATTCAACAACAACTCATTCATTATTTTCAACATCCTGAAGGTGCCAAAGAATTATTCGTTTCACAGTATCACAATTTGACCAGTAAAGAATCCTTTCAAAAAGTGAAATTAGAAGAATTGAGTCAAGGTGAAAAACCATATTTTGTTGAGGTTTTTGAACAGTATGGTCATGAAGGACATTGTTTGGTGTATTGTAGAAATTCAAATTTACCAAAATTTACAAAAGAAATAATTCAAAAGAAATTATTGCAACATCCACAAACTAAACAACTTGTGATTGAAAATGTGAGAGAGGAGATTAGAAAAATGTTGCTCATGGCATCCAATGAAGAAATGTCAACAGTCAAGACCTCACAAGATGTTTTTTCAAACATTGATTGGAAAGTCGCTCTCAATTTCTACAAAGTGAAAGACAACCATCTCTCTGGTTTTTCATTTCATAGAGACATTGCTTCTAATGGCAACATTACTGCAATTTTAGCTTTACAATCTTATGGAATGCTTGAATTTAAAAAACCAAATGTGGAATACGATGGGTTTAAACCAAAAGAAAATCAATCCAATGAACAACAACTAGTAGAAAGACATCTTGAAGAGGATCATGAGACTTCAAAAGTTCTTGTTGAACCTCGAACTCTATTGATTTTAAGTGGAGAAGCAAGATGGGATTATTTACATCGAGTTCCACCCCTTGAAAAAGAATTTGAATTCGAAGGAAAGAAATATGTAAGGGAAGATTCGAGATGGTCAGTGGTATTTGGATGTAAATGAATGGTATTCAATCATCATCACGACACTGACGATAGCGGTCCAATAAGTTTTGGAAATATTTTTGGCATGTGACATAAAAAATTCTTGACATCTTGCAAGTTGCGGAAACCATTGTCGGGGCCTCGATAATAACCATCTTCTCTCTGGCACACATTCGCTAGCACAGACGTCTAAATCAACACACCATCTATTATTCATCATTTGTCCCAACAACCACATCTTTGAACATTGTTTGCATCATCATCATTGAACTTGTTCCTCCCTTTGAATCTTCCATATTTAGAAATTTAGTTCATCATCATCATGATGGGACTCGCTTGTTGTCTACGAACCAATGATCCTTCCGATGATGATTTTCATACAACAACAACAACAACAACCAATATCAATAATATTACTGCAACAACAACAGCAACCAATAATAATAATAATACACACCACCATTTAGCATCAACAACAACAACACCATCACTCCGACACCACCACCATGAAAATCATCCTTCCAGCTCTCCATCCTCTCCTCAAAGAAAAAAGAATCCACCTCCCTCCATTCCATCTCCGTATCAAGTTCAAGAATTTCAGAATTTTTTGGAATTGAGTCAATGCTGTCGAAAGAAATTGAACATTGAAATGGTGAATTACATTTTGGATTTTTGTGATTTTTTGGGTGAAGCAGAAGTGTTTGAGAGAGCTTTGCAACGATTCATGTTTGCACATTATGAAAATTCATTGAAATTTCAAGATGGAGAAGAGTATTCTTTGACGACGACGAATGCAGCGATGGATGTGAATAACAATTCTTCTTCAATGAAAATATTCTTGTCAAGTTTTGAATCGACGAATTCTACGAGTACGGTGGTGGCCAATCAGACGACTCATTTACTTGCAAATTCTCAACTTCAGAATAACACCACCACGAATCATCCAACAATGGGAACTTTTAACACAAATCAAACTCCAAGAACATCATCGCCAAGAATGATGAAAATGACACCCAATGATCATTCTCCATTTCGTTCCACTTCAATATTTGATCTTAAAGTGGTTCAATTCGAATGTAACATTTTTAGAAAATTTTGGAATGATGCTGTCAGCATGTATATCACACCAAATTCTGATAAGAATCAACAAGATCCAGGTGAAGATGAAGAATTGTTTAATCCATTTGTAGATACTGAACCATTTAATGAAAAATTATGTAACAAACTCATTCGTATTGCATTTGGAAAGAAAGGAAATACGATCATTAGCTTGATTCGTCATTATGACTTTTCAGAAATAGATAAGAGAAGTTGGAAGAGCTTTCCAATATTTGGAAAAGGATTATTGTCATTCAAAGCACCATCATTTATCGATTTAACTTATTTTGATGAATATTTTGTAGCCTTGAGCCATGTGAACACCATGTTAGAGAAGAATTCCAAATTGAGACTTAAATTAACTCTACCAGTGAATATGGAAAACAATTTGAACGAATCGGACCAGCAAATTTTAGCAGCCACGACTGACATTTCGTTTGTAGAGGAAGTCCATTCGAAATTTATCAGCTCATTGTTAAGAAATCTAGCAAAACTTCATAACAAAGCCCCGAATTGGGTTCTTCCAAGTCTGACATTGAGTCAACAGGAGAAATTTGCTGTAAATGACGACTATTTGGGATTAATATCTACATTTCCAATTCACAGGCTAAAAATTACACTCAATTTCTATCATCCCTCTCTACCCACGAAATATCTTGAAGCTCTTCTTGGGAATACTTCCATTAGATATTTAGAAATAGAGAATATTAAGCTCACGGGACAGCTTGTGGAAAATATTAAGGACAAGATCACTTTTGAGAAGATTTGGGTAAGCCCTGAATCTCGCTTTATTGCACTCTTCTCACGTACCAGTCATTTACGATGCTTAGTGATTAATGGTGGAATTTCATTTCATGAACCATGTTTAGAAAGTCTTCAAAAGGCGTTTCCAGCCTACATGTTTGAATGAGTAACAAGTAAACTAAGTTGGCATGCCTCAAAAAAAGTGTCTTTTAAGGTATTGTTCTGTTGCAACGCTTTGAATGAATTCTCGCTCTTTCATGAAGAGATTAAACGGATTAGCAGCAATCATTTGTGTGGCATCTTCTTCCTCTTTACCAGGTGTCAAAGGTTGTCCAAATGCTGACGAGGAGGATTTTGAAAGAACGTCTTGAGCACTCAGTGGTGATTTATCAGAGCTTGGAACAGGTGAGCTGTAACTTAGTTTCTGGATAGAAAGCAAATATGACACTAAAGGAGCAAACGTTGTATGTGTGGCAGAGACAGACAATGCGCTGACATCACTACATTCTGAATTGTTTTCTTCGCTATCCATATCCACTTCAGAAACTCTTTTTGCATCTTCAATAAAAGATCCATACTCTTGTGCTAATGAACCTCCTCCATTAATATTGCTAAACGAAGCAGAAAATGATGAGCTATAACTTCCATGTTTTCCAATAATGTTCAAAATTTGATCTCTAATGAAGCTATGATGTTCTCGTTCTTTGTTTTCTTTCTCTTTCTTCTCTTGTTTTTGTTGTTTCTTTTTAAGTACCTTTTTCAATGAGTTTTGGTTGAGATCTACATCCCAATCATCCATGTTTGAAGAAATACATGCATGGTAATGGTTAGAAATTGCAAACTGACATTCTTCAACATTTTCAAGATAGGAAATGACAGTCGATGTATTCACAGGATCAGTAGTAATTCTAAGTAAATAATTCAAGCATGTAACGTCATCGTGGTTCTCTTTTGATAGAAGTTCAGAGTCACAAAGAGCACTAATAATTTGATTGTTGATTTCGAACACTCCTTTGTCGCAGTACTGGTAAAACACATCTCTCTCAAGAGCTTTGAATCCAGATAATACAAAGTTCAAGCTAAATTCGGCAGGAGATGGTAGCCGAAAATCCAGTATGAGTGATGTGAAAAAGCATTCCATTAGTTTGAAGAAGTATTTCTCCTCTTCGTTCTTTTGAGACATAATTGTTTCGAATAAGAGTTCCATTTCATCTAACAAAAGAGCATGAAAGTCAGAAGCCCACTTTTTGTGATTCCAATTTTTGCCTGATTTGTTGAAGAAGATAATGGCTAATCTCAAGTATTCTTCATATGATGCATTGGTGAATATGAGAGACTGTTGTTGGGGGCTGGCAACAGGTGAGTTTGAAGGAGGCGGGGTACGAGGAGAGTCCATCATGGCACCGTTCATATTGTTGAGTTGTTTCTTTTTGATAATACTCGAGGTGATTCCTAAAACGCTCTCATAAAAGTTATGTCGGCTAGAGGGAAGTAGACCAATGAAATCTGGATCCATAGCCTTTATAGTTGCCTTTTGATAGCAGGCACCTATGATGTATTCTTTCATTCCCAGCGAGATTAATTTGGTAAAGTGGATGTTTTTCTTGTGAGGCGATTTTTCCATGCTGTAAAATAAATAGCTCAGGAATTGAAGTGAAATATCTTTGGGATAATGCAATAGTAAAAACTCTAAAACAGGGATAAATTGATCGTTAACGAGATCAGGAATTTGCAGCCAATGTGAGCTGGTTAAATATGGAATCATCAAATCAAAATTAAAGATGCATCCATTTTTCAAGTTCATGAAATGACCCTCAATATGACCAAAAACGGGTACAAGATGCGGCTCGTCTAACTTGACAGGAATTTCATTGTGGAGTGATAGGTTAAACTGATTTTTGTTGAATTGGAATATTGTAGATAAGGTAGTTCCCTTGATAAGTTGTAAATACTTGGACGGTAATAAAAGAATTAAATTATCCCTCTTATATTTTCCAATAAGAAGATAGAACTTGGATTGAAGCTATTGTGAAGTGTTAACATGATTACCTGTGTCTTAAAGTACGTACATTAATTTTGAGACATTTTCTTTCTCGAAAATGGTATATATACACGTTCAGCAAATTCTGTTGGAGACTGGGTCGTAAATCTTTGTATTGCATGCATAGAATGTCACTGTTGTTTTCTAACTTGATTATTTGCATTCTAATAGTGGATGCCTCTAAGAAAAAAGAATTGAAAAAATTGGGAGTAAGTGTGTTGATTTTGAAATGAGCATCAGCAAAGGGATCAATTGTTTTTGAAACAGGGAAATATTTGGAGCCAAAATGGATGAGGTCGGGAGGTAAGTGATTCAAAATTGGGTATTTGTAAATTTGTTGCAGATCTTCCATGTCGATATGCCAGCTATATAATATTAAATTTGTTTTTCCTAATGAAAAATTTGCATTCAAGGATGATCGTACAATAAAATATAAAAAGTGAGTGTCCACATCCCATTGATACCAAATCATTTCATGTTCTTCATTCGTTTGAGGAGGCTTGTTGGTTATTCCTGAAAATAACGACGAGAAAGACGTTGGTGTATCTCCATCTGGTAAACTTTTTGAAAACAATGTTCGAGCTTCTTTAGGAGGCCCCTTCATGGATCCTGTTTTAGCATCAACTGTGAATGAAAATATTTGAATAGAGACCGATGAAAGAAATAAGAAATAATTCTTTCCATTTTTCAGTCTGTTGCTATGAATGAATTGCATAGAGTGGGGTAATTCTGTCTTTTTAAATAATGTTTGAGGTGATCTAAAGTATTGTTCAATCAATGATTATCAGATAATTCTAACTAGCATACATACTTGTTTTGTTTTGAAGATTTTGACTTAACTTCAATGAAATAGGACTCGTACAGGACAATCCGTTCCTCAGATGATGAATGAGATGTAATACTGGGCATACGAGGTGATAGTTTTTCGCCATTGCTGCTGTGGTCATTCTCCTTTTCCATTGTCAAAAATGATTTTAAATTGGATACAATCTGAAATCTCTCATTGAATTTGTGATTGTTGTTTTCATAGCTGTTGACTGAGGGTACATTTCCGACGCTAGCAACGGGTTGAGGTATCGGAATGTTCTCACTATTCGTTACTACTAAACTAGCTCCGTTATTCGTCTGTTTGTACAAAATTCTACTTGTTGTTATGCTCAATATTGAGTGGTTAAAATTGAGTGATGCGGCCACACAATCAAGATTGGGCGATAATTTGCAGAGCAAGGTGACTCGTTGTCCTATGAAATCTACATGAACAATACATTGTGGTGATTGAGTATTTTGGTTGGTGTTTTCTTCCTCATCATCACTCATTTTCACCTGATGATTGTTGATGTGATAGCAAACGATTAGAAAATGTCCTGTCGGTTCATATCCAATAAACTTTACAAAATGAAACAAATGCCTACTCAGCATTGATTCAATATCATCTTTCAACTCCAATGTTATCATCGTGTTGCAATAATTCGGATGATGATGATTTAAAAATCTTGATGAAGCAATAATTTACACTAATTCTACAATGACGAAGGAATTAAAAAACTGTCCACCAGTTTAACTACTACGCTTTCGCCACAACTCTCATCACCCACGGCACCAATCCGAATTTACGAAAATTGATGATGCAAGAACTATTGGCTTCGGAGATTTTTTTCAAAACTCAGTCCCTAGTTGGGAGTGCTAGGAAGTGAAGCGGATCTTGAAGAATCCTTGAAAGTAACAACTTGAATGATTGCAAAATTGCGAAACAGGAGTTTAATGAATGCGTTGTTGAGCTGCAATGGTGCAAATTGAGAAGAATGGGCATTTGTGATCAGAGCCAGTACTCTCATCCTTACAATACGAAGGAATGGCAAACAACGAACTGTCTTGTTTTGCCTCACTGTAGCTGTTTGCATTGAACACCATCAAATCATTTGGTTGTTGATCGATGGCAATTGGTTTAACAACACCAATGGTTTCATAGTAATAGTTGTGTTGAAGTCCTTCTTTGTCCCATTGGTTCACGTGATATCCATTGTAAACTGTTTGTCCAATGTATGTTGCGTTTTTAAGCCAATCTCTACTCAAAACGCCACATCCATTCTCACTCGTGCAGCACATGCAACAACTCTTCAATTCAGGAAAAACCAAATATCTCTTATCCTCAACTACAAGATGTGTGCATGGAGTGTTTGTACCAAAATGAACGGTTCCACAATATCGATCATGAGCACCATCCGCTCTATCAATTCTTTGCCTATTGTTGGCAGCATCATAATAATAAGTTCCATTGGTCGTTGAAGGAGAAAGCCACTTGAATATTTGTAACCTCTCTGTGAAGGTGGCTTTGAAAGTGGGTGGCCAAATAGGTGTTGCAGGTTGTTGGCATTCCACAATGCAACCCATAAAAACAACTAGAACTAAAAGTGCGAAAAAGTGAGCCACTCTCATAGTTGCAATTTTTTGAATCAATCCAGGAACATTTCGCTGTTGTCGTTGGACATTCTCCGAAATGAGAAGGTGAGTCCTTCCACTCCGATTATTTGTTGAAATAGAGTTCAAGAAAGGGGTACACAGTCAGATTTCCTAACAACTGCAATCAAGCACAGGAATATCCATGTGAGCACCATAAATCTGCTAAGCATTTGGCACCGTTCAAAACTCTTAGAAGAAACCACACACAAGATGGAGATAAGGCAATATTATAATTATTTACGGTTACTGCTTGAAAAAAATGAGTGCCGTGACTATGCGACGAAAAAACATGAATCGGATAGAATTGATTCCTCTAAGATCTCCTGCAAATATGGCTACTGGAGCTGGAGGAATAAATGAGGGAGAAAAACGACCCTCAACGTCTTCATCATCATCAAGGTCTGCAAAGCTTGTTGAGGAAAGGAGTTCTTTGATAAGAAAACAACCTTTGAATGATAGGATGGCTCACAAGAAGATGGCCCTCTCGGACAGAGCTACAGCTTTTCCTCATGTTAGTGATTTTAGAACTTTCGGAAAGGAAGAAATATTGGAGTCAGTTCTCGACAAAATCAATTCTCTTTCAAACCATTCATACTTTGTTTGTGGGGGAGATCTAGACAGCTCTTCTCATCCGCAAGCAGAGGGGAAAACGCCTCTAGTAATTTCAGGGAAGGCTCCAAGTACCTATTCGTCTGATTCAATGCCTTCCTCCATCTCGCAATATCAACGGCATTATATCGAGTGGAAAAACACCAAAGAAATTGCAGAGGGTACACGACAAATTGCAGAAGCTATTAAAAGGAAAGAACACTCTGTCCCGTTTGCTACGTTTGGAGTTTTCTCGATGGGAGACAGTGTGTATAAAAACGATTTTGTCACTGAAGAAAAACTAAAGATGCGAAAGAGTCATATAGAAATTGAGGAGAGCAAGAGTTATATTTTGAACAACCCTTGGGAAAAGAGTAATGAGGAAGAAGCCAGTCCAAAGAGCAAAGAAGGTTCGCAAGAGATGAGTCCAAGTCCATCACAGGAGAATGCTGACAAGGGAGCCTTAATGACCTCACCAGGATCGCTTTCTAATGACGATCAAGGCATCGAACCTAAAACACACGACAACGAGTCTCAGCAAAACCAAGCTAGCCAAAATTTCTCTGCTACATCCACTGCCCCAGATCTACTGACAAAATCTACTGCTGAAGATAGACGATTAGAAAGCAATATTTCAACTGCATGTCAATCGTGTGACCAAAGCGAAGATTTACCGGAGGAGATTTCTCAACCACCTACACAAGAAGTTACAGGTACGGAAAATGCTCAAAATCATGACGTTGTGATGACTAATGTTGTGAAGCCAACAGAGCTGGATTCTACGTCTATATTTTCTGTACCCAGTAGTCGAAGATCACAAAGGTCTGCTGTTTCTTCAAGTTATTCCAGCTTTAGTACGTCCAAGAAAGGCATTAAGGGAGGAAAAGCCAAGTATATGCAAAGGCCTTTCACAACATCACTAATAGAGCCAAGAATCAGAAATTCGTCATCAAATCCGTCATTTCTTCCTCCAATTGTATCCCCTACATCATCTAGGCAAAGCGAGCTTGCAGACATCAGAAATTTCACACCAATTTCTTCTCGACATGGATTTCCAAGAAAAAATACATTTAATTCAGTCGTGCGATCAACCACCATGATAGATGAACTGCTCTCCACTAATTGATTATTGTTAAATATTTGTAAATATACTATTCCTCTTTTTGTTTGTTACTTTCTGTTTGCTCCTTTTCACGGTTGTTGGGCTGGATTGTCTTGTACTTGCTTTTCTATTAACCAGGGTATTAGGAGCATCTAGAGCGGTGGTATTTTCTAAAGTATCTTCTGACACATCTTCAATTGCTTGATTCTCTGAACTAGTGGTAACTGTAGTAGCCTGTTCTGGAGAAGCATGAGTTTCCTCTCCTGTTTGTCCAAACTCGTTAACTCTCTTCGGATCAACTGGATAAATCCATCTTTGATACAAATATATGAAGAAAATTACATCATCTCGAAAACAAGCTATTCTGTGTAGTGTTGGCATTTTGATAACAAACGCAAAGAGGTCATCAATAAAGGTGTTCAATGCCTTATATGTGAAAGCTCTCCAAGGCATTGCAGCAACTGATTTAAGCTTGTAGTTGACATAAACTTGAGGAATGGAGTTTAAAAATCCAAACATGTATATGAATCCAACGATGGTAGAGAGCACAAAACTGTACCATGACTTAAATTCATGGTTAAATAACGCGTAAATAGCATATCCCAAAATCAATGGATAAAACAGGTAGGAGAGATATCTGAGGGCTTCATCGTCATGCTCCTTTGTTTTGCTGTTTACATAGCTGGATTTATGTGAAAAGTCTAAGAAATAGGGGAATGTTGGACTTCTCTTGATCTTGATATCTACCACTTTGGTCACTTTCCAATATTCAATAAGCAGTCCAATACCATTACTTATTAGCACCATCCATGATGTATCATTATCAAATAAATAAAGGAAAATTACTGTTTGAAAGAAACAATTCACAAATATTGATCTAATCGATAATCCCTCCATGCTTTTTTGATTTTTGTAGAATTGAATGTCGTTTTTGAAAGCTAAAAAGTCGAAAATGCTATGTAAAATAGAAACAATGATGGTCACGGCAAGTAAGTATGGGTTAGTGTCAAAAAGCATTCTCTTGATCTCATCTTGCTCTTCCTCTTCAGAACCTAGTTGTTTTTGCATCTTTAACGATTCCTCCATTTGAAGGAAAAATTGCCATTTGTAAGCTGATGTGACTGACAATTCAATGGTTAACGGAATAGAAGCAAGTGAGTCATTCAATGGCACATAATGTTCCCTAATGGTCCAAAACTCGTTAAAGTAAAGAACAGGATAATAGAATTTAGTCTTTCCATGAACGGGCAATAATTGTAGAGCATTGACAAAATGAGCAGGCAATGACCCAAGCGGCATTGGATCATGTAAATCAACCAGAGTTAAATATTTTGTTGGCACATAATGGGAGACAAACTTATCAGCTTCTTCTTCAATAGTATGATTCATAGCATTCAACGTCATATTTTTCGTCTCTGAGTCAAACAACAAGTTCCTCTTCTTGCTCTTTATCACTCGTAAATGCTTGTTTAGAGGATGAACGAAATGCAACACACGTTCTTTCTTTTGATTTTTTTCTTCTTGTAAAAACCCATGAATATAAACTGTTTCATTGTGGATCAACCTGTCATAGAATGGAGAAAGAGCTGTAGACTGATTGTTAATTTCTAAATGTAATGTTCTTTTGTTACTTTCATCATCATTGTAAAAAATTCGTTGTTGCCAAATCTTTTCAAATTTGAATGTTGTTGGTTCCGAAATTTCATTATCGTATACTTTTCGCATGAGCTTTCGATCTCGCTCATAGGAGGCGTATAAACTTAAAATCATGGCACATGATTTAGGAAAGGCAGCATATGCCACAACGTTACCCATCGGAGGCGATGGGATGTTTTCCTTCACCGTGGAAGTTGTTTCTGTTTGTTGTTGTTTATTTCCTCCAAAGAGACCCGCTGCTCTTAATAGAGTGAATATAACAAATACTCGAAGCAGTGTGGTAAGAATGGATGAAAAGCTAAAGCCTCCATGATTCTCTTGATTTGGCTGTTGTTGGGGCGTTGTGGATGTCGTGGCTTCAGGCATTTTTTTCTTTTCGAATTGGAACGTGTAATCCATCCTAGGGTTGTTGCAATACGGAGTGTTGTTTATTTGGCGTGAGCATACAAGAACAATATGGAGCTGACCATACTATCAAATTCAGCATTTGGTTTCGCGATAGGATGATCATTCTCAGGATAGACCAACATTTTGACATCTTTGGATTTTCCTAAAAACTTTAAGGCATGGTAAAATTCTCTTGGTTGTTCTTTAGGAACTCGTCGATCGACCTCACCAACCAACAACATCACAGCAGCAGTCACCTTATTGACATGACTAATTGGTGATTGTTCGTACATCTTCATCACCATATCTTTGGTAGCATAAGCTTCGTCATAGTATTCGTTTCCTAAGCTTTCACAATAACACCAATCAGGAATGTCGCTCTCTCCATAAATCGTGCTGAGATTAATGACAGGATTTCTCATGATAGAGCATTTAAATAAATCAGGATACTGTCCAATCAAGTGTGCTGCCAAAAATCCACCATGACTTCCTCCCAGAGCTGAAATGCTCTGTGGATCTACCTCTAAAACATTATGATCCATTACGTATTGAATTGCGGTATGACAATCCTTGACGTCCAAGTCGCCAATAACTCCAGGCAAGCATCCGGCAAATTCTTGACCAAAACCAACACTACCTCTATAATTAATAAATAAGACAGCATAACCGCAAAGAGCATAGAAAATACTTTGTGAAGAAAATGTTGTGATGAAGGCAGAATGAGGACCACCATGAGGGAAAGCAATAAGGCTATGCTTTTTCTCTTCTGATGATGTGGTTGCTCCCAAGAATCCTTTTGGAGTTTTTGGTACATATAAAATTCCATCCATAAATACATTGGACTCCTTCTCGACTGGGATATGTAGCACCTTCCATGCTACCTCCTTAATTTTATCTCTAAGGCTAGCATTCTCCACGAGAGAGTCCTCCAGAGTTTGAAGCCCATCCTCTAACAGTCTCAAATTTGAGAGTTCACCATTTTCATAATTAATATCTGCTACATAGATTTGATAGGGAGAAGTTGGAGTAGTTTGGTAGAAGAGAATCTTTTTCTTGCTAGCGTCTTGATTAAGGAAAATGATAGAGTCATACGAACCAGCATTTCCTAACACTCTTTTTACGTTTTCTGATGTTTTACTGGTATCTATCAATAGCATGGATGTGACACTCCTCCAAATTGAATTAACAATTATATACCTTGAATCGGCACTCCAGCAGTTGAGCGGCAGTTCAGCCGTGTACAAACCAGGGAAAACTTGCATCAATTCTACTTCTTTGGAAACTGATACTTTTTGCACAATATCTACAATCACTTGGTAATCGGTTTTGCTCTCATTCCAATTCAGAGTGACCAGCTTTGAAGTTGAATTGTGATAGTTCACATCGTTACCATAGGCTAAAAATGCAAGTTTAGTACCACAAGGAGAAAAGACTGGTCTTCTGACACCTCTAAATTGTTTGGCTATTTGATCGACCTTTTGTCGGTCACAATAAAACAATTTGGCGTCTCGTTGCATACAATACTTCAGTCCTAGCTTTCGAACTGGCTTGTCATATCCAACATAAACAAATTGATTGGAATTTTTCAAATAAATAGGAGATCCAGCACTGACATTATTTGGAATCAAATCAATGTGTGTGACCTGTTTAGCTTTGATGTCTAATTCATAAAGATGAGGATTCTTTAACAAAATTTGTTCTCCCCAATCCTCCTTCCGCTCATAATCATACTTGAATTCAAAATTCGATTGTACAGAAGAGCTAGAAGATCCATTATTATCTGATCCTGATGGCTTTGGTTTCTCCCAATAGGGTTTTACAATTTCTTGCTTCAACTCGGCAACATAGAGAATTTTGTTTTCATCCGTGGACCAAGAAACTCTTGCAAACGTTTCATCGGTAAAGAGCTTACCATGAACATCCTTGACCAAAACTCTGGTTTGTAATAATTGATTTGCATAGATTTCAATTTGATAATCGAGTGCTCCTGTCTGAGCGTTTGGCTTTCCATCCTGAGAAATACATTTAAAGAGAGCCTTTCGTTGTCCACTTGGAGAAATTGAAGAGGCATGGATTTCGGATGGTACAATGGATGGAAAAACAGATGAAACAACGGCTTGATCGCTGCTGATACCCGAATGATTCAAAAAAACATGATACTGCTTGAGAATATTGATCATCTTGTCATTTTGATAATCGGAATAGGAGCAAGACAATTCAATCGAGGAAGTGTTGAGAGAATCATTCATCCATGATGATGATGCAATGAAACTTCCTGATGAAATGGTTGGAATAGATTTTACGTGTTCGTAGAGTTGAGTCACAAGATCTCGTTGTTGTGGATTGTCCATTTTTAAAGCTTTGATTGAGAAATTTAAATCAACCATGAATGATCGAGGTCTGTATCATCGACCACCACCGAGGCACCAATGTACATTAACACTTAATTGATTGTTAGTATTTACAGAGTAACCAAGTGAACCAATAGACTCACGAAAGAAGAGGATATATACTTCTGAAAAATGCGTTAACATGAACGAACCCTCTGGATCAACAACCCATTCCGATTCAATTATGGAATCCATAATTGACAAGGATAATTCCTCTTCTTCACATTCACCATATGATTCTGGTCTAAATTTCAATCCTCATGAAGACACGTTTCGATCCGCCACAAATTCACAGCAACAAATTAATTCTAATACTATGAAATCTCCGCATCATCCAAACAAATTGTTGACAGCCCTACCCCCCTCTCCACTACACAACAACACGACCTATCATCGAAGAACTCAATCAGAATTTATCAGTGGTGGCGGTGGTACAGGCAGTGATGATACCACTCCTCCTCCTGCTGCGAACAATTTTTCAACCACAACAACAACAACGTTGAGCATTGAAAACTCTCAAGATGTCAATACTCCCAACAATGAACATTCTATGGACAGCAGTCATGACACTGCAATAATGTCCAATCAGCAAGTAGTACAACACTCAATGATGAGCACAACCGTTCGATCAGAACCTCTCACTCTTTCACAGCAACAACAACACAATAGCTCAACAACAAATCCACCTTCTTCTTCTTCTTCATCTGTACCATTTCATCCTTCAGGCAAACATCGAAAAAAACATTTTTCATTATTTGAAATGAATTCACCTTCCATGATGATGATGAATGCTCAGCAACATGTAAATCTCACACCATCTTCTTTGATTTTTTATACTCCAACCACTAGAAAGAGATTAAATCATGTAGAATTTATTAAGAATAGTGGAATTGAGAGTAGTGGTGGTGCTGTCAGTGTCACTAAGAGTCCAATTCTTTCAACAGAAAACAATCATTCTGTAGAGAGTAGTACCATGAGTCATCTTAATCCTCACTCATCCATGCGAACCACACCTTTCGTTTCAACCTTGGATGCTTCTTCTCCAAATCATTTAGAAACGAGTCCTTTCACTCCAAAACAACATAGAACTGTTAGTGCACAACATAACAACCCAACGAAATCAATTCCATCTGCTCATGTGAATCATCATTACACACTTGAAGAATTTCCAATTCCTGATTTTTCTAATGTGAAAAAACATAATCATATTACTTTTGATCAAAAGTTCAATCATCTCCCAAATGGTCATTCCAATGTTTCTACAACCACTCATGAACTCTCCTCATTATTACTCTCATCACTACCAACAGCATCAACACAACAACAACACTCCTATGCAAGTCCTCTTCCCTCAGTTTCTGATTTATTAGTAGAGGCCTCTCAAGAATCTTCAAAAGAAAATACAGTGGTAATCGGACCTTACACGGTATTCATTGATTCTGAATATTCTTTGAGTGCTTCCTCTGTCCAATTGGATGGAATTTTTTCAATTCATGACGATACTGGACTCGATGTTCCGAAAGGAGCTCTTTCTGCAGAAAAATACTTTTATGAAGGTTTTCACACAACCACGAATGAGAAAGTCAATGTCATTAGCCAACTGGTTGACTCTAACTATGTGGAAGCTTATCGAGAGAAATCCAAAAGATTACTATTGCTTGATAATAATGTGACAGGAATTATTCAATTGTTGGATGTTGCTGAAATTCAATTGACAAATGCCATGCAAACAACTGAAGAAGAAAGTGAAATGAACAACAAGGAATCACTTTCTGCTAATTCTTCTTCGGCAGGATCTATATTTTACATTTTTGTAGAACCTTGTCTGCTCATGCACAAAATTATTCAAAAAACAAAAATTGAAGAAAAGAAGTTCTCGTATCCAATTTTACTGGAATGGCTTTCTCAGCTTGCAGATGGTTTGGCTAATATTCACGAACATTTATCTACAGTTCATGGAAATATTAATGTCAATTCAATTTTCTATTCCAAGAATGAAGAATGTATGAAAATTGGAAACATGTTGTTACTCACACCTGAAATGAGAAGACGTTTAAGTGAACCAAAATCACCATTTCCAGAAGCAAATGATTTTAATTTTAGTACTTATCGGTCAAACACTTCATTCACACCACTAGATTTGGGAGAAAAACCAAGATATGACATGAAAACAGAGGTTTGGCTCTTTGGAATTCTCACCATTACGATTATTACGATGAAAAATATGAATGTCATTATTAATAGCTTTCTCGATAACGATCAATCCTTTGTTTCCTCTCTTTTTCAAATCATTAGCAAGCAATATAATGACAGATTTTGTGCATTGATATGGAGAGCATGTCATTCAGATCCGTTATGTCGACCAACCATGCGTGAATTGTGTTATCAACTTGGTTTACTTAAAAAGTATAGAAGTATTTCAGGATCCACAAGTTCAACACGAAATTCTATCATTGAAAGCGATGTGAATCAATATCAGAAACATCTCGAGGATATTCGAGTGAATATGGAACTAGGTTCAATATTGGGAGATTTATATGGAGGAGAAGAAGGACAATTTGCTGAACAAAAACTTCATTCTAGAAATAGTAATAGCTATGATATTTTACCACTTTGTACATCTGATGGGCCAGCTGTTCTTTCATCTCTCATTTCCATTGGTCGAACGATCATGAGATTTGTAAACAAACATTACAAAATCAAAGACAAGAAAAAGAAAAAGAGCAAACTAATACTTGTGAAAAACAAAATCAAAAAGTTCACAAAGCAAGAAAAGATGGACTCTGAATCTCGAAGATTGAGTAAGAAAACTCTTGAAGAAGAATTACAACTTCGAAATCATACACGAGTATTTGAACATCAGGAAGAAGTGGATCTCAAAATCATGCAAACCAAAATTGCAAGCCAATATCGTATCATCTCAATCATTGGAAGTGGCAGCCAAGGAACTGTCATTAAAGCGTTTGATATCAAGAATAATAGACATGTTGCAATCAAACGAATTCGAATGAAAGACAATAATGATACTTTACTTGCTGCTAAAGAAATAAGCTCCATGTTTTCTCTTTCAGAATGTGAAAATATTTGTAAAATTTATAATTGGTTCATGTATTGTGAAAATAGAGAAGATAAAAAGACGATGGACCAGGGAAGTCCAAATCTCTACGAAAGTGAAGAAGACACAGAAGCTGAAGATGATGAAGATGACGATGATGAATATGATTTCAAAGATTATGCCAATGAAACATGGTACATTTCGATCGTGATTGAATACTGTTCAGAAGGTGATCTACGAAAAGCATTGAGATATTGTCGAGATACTAATACTTATTTCAAAAACTCGATTGTGAAAAATTGGCTTACCCAACTCGTGACAGCTGTGGATTATATTCATCGTAAAAATCTCATGCATCGAGATATTTCATTGAAGAATATATTTCTTCATACCGATAACAAAAAGATTCTTGAAGAGTCCACTTCAGTGCATTCATTGGGAACCTCTTCTTCTTATTTTGATCATTGTATTGTGAAATTGGGAGATATGGGTCTATCCATTAAGCTCGAAGAGTTAAATGGAAAAAACGCTCAATGGGGAACAAGAAGAACGATGGCTCCTGAACAACGACTTGGAAAACGTTACGATTGTTCAGTAGATATTTGGAGCATGGGTTGCATTGCTTTAGAAATGGTTTCTCAATATCATCTCTCTTCAAAAAAAGGTGGAGCATTTGATGATTTGAGACATGTGGATTATTATGCTGAAATTAAGAATAATCCAAATTATTTGAATGAAGTGTTAAAACCATTGGAACATTACTATGACGATAATATTATTCAATTTATTAAGAGTTGCATTGTCATTGAACCATGGAAGAGAGCAACCACACAACAATTATTCAATTTACTTCATCAAGATATTCGATCAGTGGAAAATGTAGAAATGCATTACGATGAAAGTTTGGAAGAATTTAGACCTTCTCCTTTTCCTTCCGTCAAACATGAAGGTGTGAATCATTCAGCAAACCCTTCGAATATAGGTCCTATATTACAACGATATGATTCCAAACCATCCATGATGGTGAGTAATGCTAGTATTCTCTCCAATCTAGCTCTGTTAAAAGCAGAAATGAATAAGGAAGGTTCAGATCTGAAACCAGCCGTAGAAGATTATGCTTCACAACAACAACAACAAACGAGAAGACTTTCAGGTAATCCAGTGTTTATTGAACTTGAAAATTCAAATCGAAAATATGTCAAACCAGAACCAAAGGGACAATCCAATAATGGAAAACTATCAGCTTCTTTGAGTGTGGACAGTAAGGATGTTCTCACTAGTTACAGTTTATCCATGTTTTTCAAAGAGATTGAGGTTGAAGAAAAACATGAAAAAGAGACAAGAACGAATGAAATCAAATTAAGCAATGATCATTTTACATCATTTATGAATAATAATCCACATTACAATGATCCTCATGCATCATCATCATCATTACCTGAAGAATTTTCAAGTCAAGTGAAAAAGGGACATGAAAATAATCTTCACAAATTACTTCAAAAACCAATTATGGAATGGACCACTTCCGATGTTGGTATTTGGTTGATTTCTATTGATTTTAGCAAATTTGTTGAAAATTTTCAATCGCAAAACATTACAGGAAAAGCGTTATTACTCATACGAGAAGAAGATATGAAAGATGTTGGATGTGTAAAACTTGGTGACAAATTATTATTATGGAATATGATACAAAATTTGAAACAATTGAATGAAAAGAGATTCAAGAAGTGAATCAAATTCTTAAATGAATCAACTTTTCTTGAGGATCGATCACAAATTCTTAATTGAATCAACGATCGACCACAAATTCTTAATTGAATCAACTTTTCTTGAGGATCGACCACAAATTCTTAATTGAATTTGATCACTGTAGTCTCGAAAATGTACTCCAAAAATGCAATGGCATTCTCTTTGGTTGGAAATCTTTCATCTTTGACATTTTCTGCCCATTCTTCCAATTTACCAAAACTCATCACAACCTGATTCAATTTCACTGGAGTGTATGTCTTTTGAGAAATTAAATCAAGATTAGAAACTGGACTTCGATTGTATTCCTCAACAGTTTTCACAATCTGTTCATATTCAAATGAAATATTCCATGAAAAACTAAACTTTTCTTGACGATCGACCACATGTTTTTCCGTTCTCACATGTTTCACAGTAATGGTTCTCTTCTTTCCGTACATGTCATGATCGACAACATCCCAACACACGGTCCAATCCTTATCTTGGAAATTCAATTTATGAACAGTACCAAGAATTAATTTGTAATAAGTGACAGGTTGTGAAATTGCGTTTTGATTGTAACATCTCAACAATTGAAAGACAGGATTTCCAACCATGAACAAGGCTTTCAAAAACGAAGTCAATGACACGTGATCTTCCATGACAATATTCTCCTTCTTGATTTTGGCAGTCATTTGAGCATATAAATTTTGATAATACGAATGAACATTGACACCATAAATATTCTTTTCATCTTCAATGGGCATTCCTCGATTCAAAATCAAATCAATCAAAGAGACAATAAAGTGAGAGACATTGCTCATCTTTTGTCCATTGACATAGGTCTTTCCGACCAGTCTAGGAGTATCTTTTCCAATGACATCATAATTGAAACTAATGTCATTATCCTCTTCTTCACTGGTCGTTAATCGAGTGTCCATCACCTGCATGGAGAGGACATTCTTTTCCAACTCTTTTTTTACTTCATCAATAGTCATACACATCATGGTTTGTTCGACAGATCCAACAAGATCAGCAGCGTCAGCATCGGAACGAGAAGCAAATAATTTCTTCATGTTGTTGATGATGTGAAATTAATGGGAAGTGAGTGGCGATCAATGAGAATTTTTTTTTTTGAAAATTTGATCAATCAAATGTCAACACCTCTTGTCGTCTTGAAATTCATAAGAACCTCCAGAATGCTGTTTTCATTGATGAATCAGAGAGCATTGATAATTCCCTTTATTATGATGGTGTTGTCTTGTTAAACAAATTTTGAAGAATTTCCATTATCGATGATATTCTGTCACAAATGCTCTTGCCAATGAATCATTGGTTCGATGACTTCCATACGATGACATTTGTTTATGACTCTCATGTTCTTCATGTTGATGAGAATTCTCATCGAAATGATTTTCTTCTTCAAATTGTTTCATATTATGAGTCATCATTTTCTTGACCTTATTTTGTTGTTTTCGTTGTTCCACAAGAATTCGATATTGCTCATGAATATTCTCTTCTTGAACCAATTCTTCAACAAGTCTTACTAAAAAGTTAAATCTTCTTTTAGCTCCATATCTTTGTTCTCTTTTAAGTTCTTTTGTTGAATATTCACATTCATGATTACTACTCGTGTCATCGTCATCGTCATCACTATCTTCATGATTTGAAGAAGAAGGATGAGATGAAGAAGAGGGTATGGTCTTGGTCATGGAACAAGTAGAATCAAAATCTCGTTCTCTCTCTTGATGGTCAAAATCTAAGGACAAATTGGATGAACTTGGTAAATCTGAAGAGGGTGTGGTGGAGGAGGATCTTGTTTCGAGGTGATGTTGGTGAGGTGTGGAAACTTGTTTCTTTTTCTTTTTTGTGGAAATGACAAGAGAGGTTTCTTCACTTTCTTTCTTGTCACTCTTTCTCTTTTTTCGTTTCGATGAGTTGGTAGGAGTGTCACCACCGTCGTTATTGGCAGAAGTGTTGGTAGGTGAGTCACCACTACTTGGAATGTACTTGTTTTTAAATTTCATGACTGAACAAGTGTATGTGAAATGAATGGTGTGTGAACATTATTGTGAGCATGGAATGGTGTGTGAAATATAATGTCAATACTTACTGTATCGATAATGTGAGTCACACAATCGACCTCCACAAACATTCTTAAATCCAAACAACTTTTCTACCAAAATGGATCGATCCGAGTTCTCAGCAATGACAGCTCCTCTTTCTCTAAAAATCTTTTCAGATTGGTCATGATGCAATTGGTTTTTGTGTGTGGTGTGTACAGTACACGGTTATTTTAGGTTCACATGTTCATTCACACATTCACACATTCACACATTCACACATTCATTTCACAATTACAACAACAACAACAACAACAACAACAACAACATACCTTAAAATTAGCTTTTGGTTGAAACACCAATTCTCCCTTCTGTAAACAACACACAATGCAAAATATATCTCCTTGCGCATTCTTATATGGAAATGGTTTTCGAATGGTAAATCCATTCAAGCCAACCACTGCGTTTGGATCATTACTCTCTAATGATGTTGTTGTAGCTGATGGTTGCTGTATGGAAGGAGAGGTTGATGTTGTGGTTAAAGTTGTTGAGGCCTCTTGATGATGTTGTGGATGAATCATCCTTTCTCAAAATTGTTGAATCTTTCATGTTGGCAGTGGCAGTGGTGGAAGGTTGTGTTACATGAGACCAATGAACACATTTTTGTGAGTGTGTCACAACAACAACAACAACACGATTCACACAAGCGCGGCATTGGGCATTCACACAAGTACACAGAAATATTTGAGGATGAGACACATTCGAATGAATCCATTTATATCAATCATGGTCACAAGAGTGAATTGTGTGAATGAAAGAAGCGCGTGAAATGGTTGTATATATTTTTGTGTGTGAACAAATGACCGCGTGGTTCATCGTCACGCATACACATTCATGTTGCATATACAATGAGAAGAGTAAATGTTGTCATCACAATGTGTGTGTGAAATATAAATTTATCATCAGAGTGAATAAAATTATTAGAAATACAAATGATACGTCACGTGTGACCAATGATGATGATGATTGAATGAATAACAGACGTGTCATTGAATCATGGGATTCACAAATTGTAGGTTCATCGTCACACAAAGATTAGCCTTCAACAATAACTTGCTACTTACATTCTTGTCACAGGCTGGAATGCAAAAATGCTGTCGACGGAATTGGCAGCTGACGTGTGCACAGAATTTTTTTTGGTCACAAACGAAACACCAATGTTCGGTATTCTTGACCAAGTTGAAGAGGAAAGTTTAACCAATAAAAATCCACCAAATTGAAACTCAAATTGATTCTTCTCCAAGTAATGCTTTAACTCTGCCACACTCACAGGAAACAAACAGCAACATCTAAACCGATCAATACTTGGAAGAGTACACTTGTGAAGAAGAGAGACGAATCTCTGGATGCAACGTCTATCTGGTGTAATGTCCTACTGCTAAATTGACTGGATGGATCCGTATTTGGAAACTTTTTAGCTAAAATTTGAATTTGTCAGCATTCAGATCATGAAGGCCATAGAGGTTGAATCAAGGTTTACTTGTGTTGTTGAGGTAAAGGACAGGTCAATGTTGTGTAAAAGATTGCACTATTTACAACATTATCATCCACTACTAGCACTGAACAAGGTTGTTGTTGAGCGTTTTAGGTTTGTGCCTTTGCTACCCATAGCCAAATCCTATTCTTATCGATAAGTACTAAAATTTTGTTTGGATATTGCTCTTATGTTGGTGGGGATGATAGCACTCATAATCTGCTCAACCGAATTGCAAGAAATGATGAGTGTACTCCTCATTCAGCAACCAGCATATAACATGCATTCATCAAGAATTGTGATTTTCTCAAGAAGACTTTTTGAATATTAAATTATCATCCACAGTTGTTCAATAACAACAACGTTTTGTTGTTTGCCAATTAAAATTCATAAATCAAACAGTTATGCATAATTTATATTATGATGCAAATCGATGATCCAATATCGTATGTTTAGTACATTAAGGCTTTTCCCATTGTGTCTTCTTTGTTTGCTCATGGTAATAATAATATTTTCCAGATGATTGGTCAAAATATTGCTTCCATCCGATTGGCAACTCATAAGTTGGTGATCTCTCTTGATTTCTAGATTGATTTGTCTCTGATTTTGCTTGATAGTAATCATTATATACTGGTCTTGATTCATTGTAATTGTTGTCGTATCTTGATGTGGGATTATTGTTACTTGAAGAATATCCAGATGACTCATAATTTCTGTAATAACCTTCACCTCCGCTGTTATTATATGAAGGACGTTCATTGTGATATTGATTCTTTTGATATCCTGAATTATGAGGACGATTATAATAAGATCCTTGCTGATTATTGTTATAAACTTTTTGATAGCCTCTTCCTTGATTATATTGGTGTGAAGGTTTCCTATAATCTCCTCTTGGTTGTGAAGAGCTTTCAGACTTTTGTAAGAACGCTGCTACACCTCTGGCCTCTGCGGGTTTTTCTTGAGAGGGTGGAATCTGATCATGATCTTCTCTTCTTCTCTTGTTATCATATGATTGATAAGAACTTTGATTGTTGTTGTATGACCCAGTTGGACGATCATCGTTGTAATATTCTCTATTGTTACCACCAGAGTAAGATTGATAGGATCGTTTCTTGTAATCTCCGCCATCATTAGAGTGTTGGTAATTATTGTGTTGATGATAATTGTTATAACGAGCACCACTATTGTAATTGTTATATCTATTGTACCCTCCTCTATTGCTGTAGTTTCCTCTACTGTAGCCTCTAGTGTTGTGATGTCTATATCCTCTATTATTGTTATGATGATAAGAGCCTCTTCCTCTGCCTCTATATCCTCCTTGATAGGAGGAGGTTTCAGTGCCTGGCTTGTTAATTGAGCCTGATCCGCTGCCAGCAGTATTACTAGGTTTTACATTTGAAATATCTTTTTGTTCATCACTAGTTTTATCACCCATTGTATTTCTTTCTTCTTCTCCTACACCCCTATCATTATTTTCATCATATGGTCCCTCAGGATTCTCTTGATGGTCCTCCGCGCCATATCCTCCTTCAAGGTTCTCATTGTATTCGCCATCCTCATGATATTTTCTATCATCATGATTATCATCTTCATGATAAACTGGTGGAGGAGGAGGATTTGGTTTTTCAGAAGCATGGTCATTCTCTAGTACTACCGATAATGACGATGGTTCCTTCTGATGGTATTCGCTGTTATTGTATGACAAAGTCTCGTGGCGTGGTTCTGGCATTTTTTTGTTGTTGTAATGACAGTGTTTTTTGGTTGGCCAATAAAGAATCTGACTACAATGTTTATAGTTGTTATCCTTTTTCTACACATATTGTGTGTATGCATGAGGATGAAAAACTTCATTGAGCATGCTGAAAACAAAATAGAGTTGGGTATGATTCAAAAAAATGGCTTCGGAACCTGACAACCGTCATCACATGAAAACAACAAACCCATCATCACATCCTCATTTCAGAATATCATTCATACTCGTTCTCTTGTATTGCTCCATCATTCTTTTATTTTCAACTGGTCAACTTGACTCACAAGAAGGAAATTATTACAATTCAGAGTGTTACGGAGAGTGTATTTCTCTTTCTCAATTCACAAATCAATCATCATCATCCATGACGAACCATAACGACCAACAAGTAGAAACATCTTTGATATTTTTCAATGAAAGTATTGCTTTTTGTGCAGAGACCTTGTTGGAATACATGTCTCTGAATGCTTCTATCCGTATTTGTATTTCATCGAACTTTACTGTTGCAGACACTTTAAACTCTACTGTTGTTTCACAAATTCACACAACGACAAGTAATACTCCTCATAATTTTACACTCAAAGAAAAGTTCTATTTGAATGACCATCAAGCACGTCTTTCATTTTACAACACTCAATATCAACAAGGTCTATTCCAACGTGACCAATGTTACAATGCTGCTCGAAGATATATTTGTCAACATTATTTTCCTCTGTGTGATGCTACCAGAGATGACAGCAACAAGATTTATAATCTCTGCATGTCTTCGTGTGAAAATTATTACACGAGTTGTAATTCCAAAGAGCTCATAGAATTTAGATGTTTGGCGAGTAATAATGAAATTCAGAGACCGTATCGTGGAGTGTGGAAAAATTTTGGAGATGATTTGAAATTGTTGTGTACAGGAGGAGCAAGTATTAGAATTCAACCATACATGTTCATTACTTTTTGGATGGGAATACTCGTGTTGTGGTTCATGGAGGGCATGCCGAGTTGAGTGCTCAATGGTTGAGTTGGTTGGTTAGTTGGTACTATATAGTCCATCAATGGATCAGCATGGTGCTAAGTATCAAAGGTTTTTTGAAACTGATAATTTTGGAATAAGAAAATACGCGCCAAAACTTTACAAACCTAAGGCTGTGATTCAAAAAAAAAATTACCTTTCAATATGAGATTGGTGCTTCGGTTGTGTCCAACAACCTTGTATCATGACATGGGTCGGCCGATTCTAAACAAACATAACCTCGATGAACACATGAAATACTCTAACGATCCTAACTATTATTATGAAGCATCTGATTTGGAACACTTGACAATTTATGAACATAATGTGAGAGCACACGGAAAGACTTTTGGTTGTGATCATATTTACAATGTAGAAACTTCTCAATTTGAGATTTTTGATAAAGAAGTCGTACCTCTGGTTGAGAAACTATTTCTTGGTGAAGACTCGGCATTACTATTATTCGGAGATGAAGGTCGACGATTTACGTTGGAAGGTTTTCCAGACTCACCAGGAATCTTTTTTAGAACGATAGAGCTTATTCTTGATGCTATTTCTAATGATAACACCTTTAAGGGAAGCAAATTATTTATTTCCAGTTGCACAATTGAAAATGAGAATATTTATGATAACTCAACAAATAATACGGTCACACTGAAACATGACACAAAGAAATGTCCACAAATTGTACAATGTTCTGAAACTGAAATCGACGATGTGAAAACGGCTCTTCAACTTTATTATGAATGGATGTAAGTGTTTTGATATCTCAATGCATCAAACAATCGTAATAGGTCCAAGTTTGTTAAGGTTGGCAACACTTCATATAATCATTTAATCATACGTCTAAGGTTAAATGTAGGAAATATCAGCTCCAACAACGACAATGGAGTACTAAATATTTTAATTGTTGGAAACACCAATTTGAAACCAGAAAAACCAGAAATTTCATATTGGATGACACACCTGATAGAATGTTTGGAATTAATGAAAAGAAAGCATCACGCAATTCCGTTCCATAAGTGTAAACTTTCATCATATCTGAAAGGATTTTTGCAAGACACAAGTCAAAGTGTATCAATATTTAACTTGCTCCCTCTCACAGAATCCTACTTTTCTGTGATAAATTGGTTAACAATTTGTGACAAATTTAAGAATTGTCTGCTGGCCAAGGCTTCGATGACATTAAACTCAAAAACAGAGAGACCAATTCAACCTCCAGAAAATCCGCTTATAGCAAAAGATCAAGAAATCGAAGAGTTAAAGCGCTCCAACCAAATACTTACTGAAAAAGTAAGGAAAATCGAAAAACAGCTGAGGCTATTGCATGAGAAACAACAAATGCAAGCACACCAAATAGATGATATTTCTCCCAAAATTGAAAAAAACATTACAAAAGACTTTGTGAGAGAGAGATACCGAGAAGTAATGGAGGGAAGTATTCTAAAGCTGAAAAGCCAAGTGCATGATTTGGAAACAAAAAATTTGTTACTCAAAAAAGAAATGGCTAAAAAAGAGATGGAATATCAAAGACGAATAGCCGATTTGGTTAACGTAGTGAAAATAACCAACCCTCCAGCAATCAAAACAAAACAAAAGGTTTGACTCTCTTTACTATTTAGCTTGTCAATCCAATTTTGATCTTTGACCTGTCGTTTATGGAACAAACAAGAGTCAAAATTGCATCGTAGACAGTGCTGACATGGTTCAAAGAAAACACATATGTGCTAATTAACTTTCGTCTACAACAATGACCACGTCCAATAATTGTCTATTTTCCAATTTTAAAAAAAGGTTGCTTTTGAGTTTGCTCTCTCTTTCCGCTAAATGCTCCCCCAGTAAATATTTACAGAAATATTTCACAAGGTCATGCGCAAAATAATCTCCATGACTAAAGCCATACCATGGAGTGAACATTACTCTTTGTTCTTTGTGAATTAAAAAACAAGGCCTGTCTCCCTCACAATTTGCGATAATATACCACTTGGAGGGTTCATATATCAACCACGGTTTATCAACACAAAAAATGTATTGGTCATTAAGTGAGATTGGTAGCTCTGGATGTTCGGCAATCGCAACAAATACATCTTGATGGGTTGCTCTCAATTTTGGGAGAATTTCGCTTCCTTCACAAAGCTGGTTGAATACTGTTAAATCAAATTGTATCACTCCATCTGCATAATCTGCATAGCGAGGATCCACTAGATATCCCAATGCAAGTGGTACATGTACTCCTCTCAAAAATAATATTGCAATTCTTTTTTCAGATGCTAACTGTTTCAACTTGGTAATAAATTTTTCGTTACTACGCAAATCTGCATGCAAAGGAAATACTACTAAATCATAATATAACAGAATATCAGGTTCTACATCATGCAAATCTTGCCCCAAAATACTATCCACACAATATAGAAAATTCACTTCGTCATCTATTTCATAGGGCTCATAGACTTGTTGAAATATGGATAAGGATAAAGTTCGGGAGTCAACACAAACCCAACCAATTTCTCACATATACATTTAAAGAAGTGAGAGGGTTCCTCTCCATGAATGATTAGACATTGTTTTAATGGACCCGATGTCGATACCTGATCTTTACATTTTGCGAGTCTTGTGATCGAAGAGTGGGGTGGATACGATTGAAACATTTTTTTTAATGCTAATTCCAAAGTTATTCATGGTGCGGGCAATAAGGACAGTTAAAGTTCACTTAGAATTGGCATGATCGTTGGAAATCATACTTGCCGAGTTGCTGTTGGTACTGTTAGTGTGCTGGTTTCTCTTTTCAACACTAAAACAATAAATTCCTAAATGTTCAGTCAAAGACATGATAATATTACAAGCCATGTGCACATAGGAGATGGTTATGATTGCAGCAAGTGCTATCAAAAAGAGAGATTCATCCAAAAGTGTGTCTTTGCCATCAAATCCTGCCAACAAAGAATTTCCAAAAGCTAATACGAGAATGTAGAGAATATTCATGAACATTGGAATTCCTAAATCACACACTCGAGCAAGTATGAATCTTGTCACAATATAAGCATGATACATTCCATAAATATATAAAATTAACAAGAGATGAGATTGAAGTAAACTCTCCTTATAAGAATAAATCGTTGAAAATCCCATCCAAACAAGAAATAAAACTGAGAAAAATCCATATGAAAAGAGTGACTTCCAAACTGGGGTCTTGACATCTTTTCGAATTTCATTTTCTGCTTTTTCAACGTCTTTCGATTCATTCAGCGTTTTGATCGTTGAATATATTATACCAAAGATGCTTGGAACTGTGGAAAGGACAATTCCAGTAATAACCAGATACTTCAATTTTAGCCATTGATAATGTGTTAAAGCAAAGAGAGTAGGAGATGAAGTGACATCAATAGAAGCTCTAAAAACATCATTGAAAATTAAACTAAACATGTTCTCATTAAACAATCTTGGTCCAAATATGAACGCTAAAATATTCACAAAAATCACCACAAATTGTCCTTCTGTTGGACCACTAAAATTTTGAAAACTCAAAACAGAAGTATAAAATTGTTGCCAAATCGAAATGAAAAACATCCAAGTGACACAGACAAGTGTCACAAATGAAATCCACGGATCTTCGCTAGCATTCAATAATTGTAAGGGTGCCAAAGCTAGTACTGTTTGCATTAAAGAATTAATGCTGTCACATCCATGATCAAAGAGTTCTCCTAAGGGAGAGGAAGTTCCAGTTCGTCGAGCTTGTTTTCCATCAATAGCATCCATCGTTTGATACCAAAATAATGTCACTGCATTAATTAAATACATGTACGAAGGTAATGCATCTTGCTCGTTTGTTATCTCTCCACTTTTTTTGTGATTCCAATTTAGAGTGATGGCCGTCACAGTCATGACATAGGATACTACAACGGCAATAAATCCTACCAATGTGATGGTATTAGGAGCCACATAATTTGGAATTAAACTTGAAACATAATTCCAATACGGATTCAATATTTTGGAAATAAAAGAATAATCTTGTTGAGTGGAGGGTTTGTATTTTTGAAGATTGTTTTTAGCTTCTTCCGAAATGTAGGGTGAAAGAAGTGTACATTCCCTCATGGCGTTGTAGGAGAATAGAGATGATTTCATGGTGCAAGTTATTGCTGGTAGAAGTAATTGTTGTAGCTCCAAGTGACGATTTGAACCGTTGGTCAACTGACACTCGGACGCAAAAGACGAGATCTCGATGTTTGGCTATTTTTATATAAGGTGTTGGATTCCAAATGTCATCCAAACGATCGCGCTTCGTTGTTTGAAACCCTGTTACCAAAAATGATATCCATCTCAAAAAGAGTTTCTCAGTCACAACAGTTGAAGGTGATGATTCAAGAATGTTTGAGGCTCATATAAAACATCAAGGTTTGATAGATTGGCATTGAGAGATTCGGCTCTTCTTCAATGAGGGACGGAGTTGAAAAAATGATTTCGAAATTTCAACTACGCGGGGATTGCAAAAGTTGGATAGGATCTTGATAAAAACAATTCCAATAGTAAAGGTTAGAAAATAAAAAAAAATCAAGAAACTGACATTCACAAGAATGATCACTACTAGCTTTGTTCCATTCTTTGCATGTGTACTAGTCGCATTATGCGCCATGATCATGGTGTGTTCTGAACCCCTGCAGGCTGTACAATCCTTTCCAATGACTTCAAGCAGTGTGTTAAGGGATTTGATGGCTCCCTTTCAAAGAAGATCATTTGCTTCTACGTTGTTGGGTCAAGACAATCTGTGTTGCTTTCCATTGACTTTTACTTTGGAGTCATCCTTTGTTCAAAACATGAATGGTTCAGTCTTCATGACTGGAAAGTCTGCCACCTACCAAGATTATGACAATCAAAGAATCAGAATCGAATCCGAATACACTGCCTACGGACAAACATTTAAAGATATGGCTCTTCGATTTAAACTTGGTTCAACAAGTTACAATTACCATGTCAAGGACAATACATGCACATGTTATGTGGGTGAGTTCATTATTGACAAGAAGTGTGTTCCAAACACTCCCATTGTTCAAAAAGCAAACATTTTGAACTTGAAAGCCTTTAAAATTGAAGAGAGAAAGAGCAATGGCTACTCTATGAATGAGTGGTTGGTTCAGGGAGATCACATGAGCGGAGATGAGTGTTTGCCATTCCGCAGTTATATGGTTGCCAATAATCTTAGTATCGTTGAAACCGAAGGCACTAATGTAAAAGCAAGTGTGGATGCCAATGTGTTTAAGGTGCCACAACATTGCCCAACATTGGACAAGTGTAGTACAAGAAATTGAAATCAGAGATTTGGTATTAAATAAAGAAGAAACTACAAGTCTTCGACGCAAAAAATGAAACACGACGACGACATCAACGCAACTTCGGAGGAAGAGAGTACTGTGTGTCCTGGTGTGGAGCTGCCACAAGATATCTTGTTCGAAATATTTTCGTTTCAGTTTCCAAATTTTCTATTTGAAAGTCTGTGTTATGTATGCAGGCAATGGCATCATTTCTTAACATCGGACGACTTTTGTAATTATTATGTTCAAGAAACCAAAAGTGTGGTAAAATCGTTGTTGTATCCAAATATTGATGGACCTAAATATTGTTCAAAACAAACTACTTTTCAACTATGCTTTGATTGGATTGAATTTATTCCCTTTCCAGATAAACTGTTCTCAAATTACAAAAACATTTTTTGGAAATTAAAACGAGAACTTTTCCATAACGAAGCCAACAAAGAACGTCTTCAACTTATTAAGGATGCCATTCAAAGGATTAATATCACTTCAAAATATAACATTTTGAACTGCTTGGACAAATTCGGATGCACAGAATTTTCACTTCCTATCAGTACCAAGCTGGTTTCATTATTTGGAATTTTATCACATCCATCCTTGGGATATGCTTCATCAGAACACATGTTTTTGATATTTGCATTTTTGGATGCGTTTGGACATATTACGAGTTCTATCGAAACTGCTTCTTCCTATCAAATCGCATCTTGTGTCACCTTAGATATTGGATTTGAGTCTATTCAAGAGGTGACTAACACTGAATGGCTAGAAGCACTTTTCCCTGAATATTGCGAGACTATTTCTACTTGTTGTTTTATGTCACTATTGGAATACATTTCAGAAGTGGAAAACCCTCAATCGGTGTTTATGAACAAGCCTGTTGAGAAACGAAGATATTTCATTTTTCAAATGTTTGGTACCACATGTGGGTCAAGTTTTAGATATGAAAGGCTTTTAACCAATGACTTTCTGGACGCATGGAATTTACTTGCTTTTGAGGTACTTGAAGTCATGCGGGATTGTGAGAAATTCTTTAAAAAGAAAGGAATTGAGTTTAAATAATTTTCATGCGCGCTACTCTGGCTAATCCTTTCAAGGTTTAGTGCAACGGGTCAAAATTTTCAACGAGTTAACACGTAAATTTCCTCGAAGCTGTGTTATTCAATCGTTTTTAGAGCGGTTTGAACGATTTGGAAAGAGTCATATTTACTTGCAAGATTTATATTCCAAGCACGTTACCAAAACCATTTCCAAAAAGAAAACACTCCGGAGCTACTAGAAGTAGGTGCCGTGCTTGATGATTCACCATTCAATTTATCTAACTTTCTATTCATGGTTTTTAGTTTTTGCTTTTGCTTTTGAACCTCCTCATCCATATCATCCAACATTTCTTTATGGCTGTCAAGCTCTTTTCCGATATCAATAGCAATGCTTTTGATATTCTGAACTTTATTGAACGCGATATCTAAGAGTTTATCTTGTTGTTCGTAATGATGCTTCTGAGCCTTTAAATAGGCTTCAAAATCTTGATCGTTGGTTGATTTGCTGTTGTGATGTTGTTTTTGAGTGGACATTTTCTTTTGTGTGTGAATTGCAATTCGTTGCTTGATTCTGTTTTGAACAAGCTGGCTATTTTTATCACAACGGTCACAGTGCCACCTCAAGTCAGCCGTTGATGTTGTCGTTGCACTTTTCGAAATCTCTTCATTCGTGCATTGGTGACTGTCGATTATTGGTGTTCAGCAAATCACATCCCTTATTTTTCTCAATTCCTCCCAAATTGCTGACCATCCCTCAGGAGGAACTAGTACTCTTGTCTCCTTTCTAACAAAAACCAACAAAAAACTAAACACAGAACAGTACTCTCACAAAACAGGAATCAATAAAATTTTGAGAATTGTTTCAATAAAAGAAGAATAGCTTTACCTGGTCTGTGTTGAGTTTTCTCAACTCCTTCTCTTTTCGAAAACCCAACAAGCTCTCGTTCATTTCTTCAACAACCTTCACTCTGTAAAAATAGAAGGAAAAAAGGAAAACGGAACGTTAGCGATCGCAAGACCAAAGCGGGCGAGAGCCTTCAACCAACTCAGAAAAAAGGCTTGACATCCCTCGGCAGAATCTCTCTTTGAAAAATTTTTTTGTGGTTTGGCACACGCAACACCTCATCTTCACTTGTTGATTTCAATCAATTCATCATAGTGATTACCATATTATATATACAATCATCATTTATTTATTACACCTGTGATCATTTTTCTCATCGAAACCGAGACAAACATTGATTTTTTGTGATTTCAGCTTATAACCTATCTGTATCCACTACCGAATCGTCATGGCAACCCGACCACCTTCAACGGCTTCCTCTTACACGACAGGACTGCTCAATCCACAAATGCATGGATACAACAATCATAACACAACAACTCCAAGTCCGCAGTCTTTATCACAGGGATATGTGACTGACACTTCCTACTACACAACGTCGGCGTCTCCTCTTTCTAGTACCCCTTCCAACTCATCTTATCATAGCTCTTCAGTTCCATCTCCTACAGGTACCATTGCTGGAAACAGCACTATGAGTAGCTCCAGCTCGATTCAAAATATCATGGACTTTTATATTCAAAATGTTAACTTTTCACTTCACACCAAGGCATCTCCTGAATGTGAAATCCAACTTTATCGATTGACCAATCCTATGGATGCACAAATAACAATACTCAACACTCATCCACAGACACATCCACCTGTCTACTTATCCACTGTTGTGTATGCATTGCAAATTACTTTGGAAAAGTATATTTCACAAACATGTCAATGGGTACAATGTTCTTCGAATGACCCAAATTCTAACACTCCATCCGCTTCAAACAATCTCTTCAAGGATTACGACGCTTTCGTAATTTACAATCAAACAAACCAACAATCAATATCTCAATTAATTCAAACTGATGGAAAATCGTTATACATACAACTTCCTTTACAATTAGGATTTTACGGAAATCAATTCACTACAATGACGTTTCGTACCAAGCTCAACACAAGCAAGGAGAAACAGGGATACAAAAGAGGTGAAAGTGCCATTTTCCGAGTTGTTTTTTCACTGTTAAAACAACAACAACAAACTCATACTTTTTTTCAAAACAAGTATGAAAGTATTCCATTTGGCATTATTAATCATGGAAAAAATAGCACTGCAACAGCTCTTTACAAGAATATTAAGCTCAGCTCGATACCTGGTACCGTTGAATATAACATGGCCCTCATGCAACAGCAACAACAATATATTCAGACACCCAACCAACATTCACAAAGCCCCTATTCCACTCCAAGTTATTCTTCTTCATCCTCAAACGGAAGCTCTTATCAAAATGTGACATCCTATAGCAATAATTATGACAATACAATGGATTTTGGTCAAGAATACGACAACCAACAGGTACAAGAATTATTAGAAATTTTAATGCAAGAAGAACAAGCTCTTGCAAATCAAACCTCAAATGAAGATTATTCAGATCCAAACATGTTCATGACTGATGACGATGATTTATTCCGAGAAATCTCTGGGATCAACTCTTACTTTACTCCATCGTCAAGTGGTGGGGAAGGAGAAACAAGTCAAGAATTATTTGACGAAGAATCTGAATCTGAAAGTGCCTCGTACGAGGATGAAGAAGAAATCCAATGGGAGGATCATCATCAACTTGCATATGAAAATACGTTCGAATTGACCAAGCCTTCACCTTCTTCAGACCTCAAAGATGAGAGTTATTCAAGCCAAGCAATGGCTGTTCCAACTCAACCATACTGTGCTTCTATAACCAACAGCAACGTACTTTTGAAGAGCTCTGGGTTGGCCAAACCGCTGCCTCCTCTTCCTTCTTATTTGAAAGCCTCGCCAAGCAGCTCTCAGACCACTTCTTCTGCTGTTTCATTGTCTCAATCCAGTGTAGCTCTTCCTCCATCGTACCAATCTTCGTCAAGCACTACTCTTCCTCCTCCTCCAATCAATGCTGCTAGCAATTCTATTCACAACACTGTCACATCAACAACTACCTCCAATCGCCGCTCTTTCAATTCTCAACAACAAGTGTTTGCTAGCTCTGTTACTCGTATGAATGAAAGCGTTTCTGTGCCAACAAGGTCGACCTCTGAAAGAAATAGAAATGACCAAGACACCTGGAGCTCTCCAGTTGAAAATCGTGAATCCAGAACCCCTTCCGTCTTGGATTCGAACGACACTCTAGTTGGAAGTGGCCAACCAAGAATGACATTTGGTGCAAATTATGTGAAAAATGCTCAGGCAGCAGACCAACTTCAAGAGAAAGAAAAGAAGAGAGGTCTTTCCGGTATGTTCAAAAGAAAGAAAAAGAAGGACGAAAGCGAGCCACCCTCCGAGAAAAAAGAGTCAAAGAATCCACTTGCAAAGCCATCTCATGCGTCCTTTTTCTCCAATTTCAAACCCACAGTAACCCTTAAGATCAATAATAACAATACAGCTGATGTGAACAACAGACAAGTTACTAAGGCTGCCCAAGTACAGCAAAAACTTGGTGACGACAGCAGCACTAGTGAGGAAAGCCTAATTAACGCCATGACCAAACTCAGTATTGACAAATTCATCACGACTACTAAGGTTGATATCTCTAAATTTGATCCGAAAATGATTATTTTCAGTTTGGAAAAGAAAGATGTTACACAAAAGAAGGACATTGTAAATGTTGGAAAAGGGAAAAAGCCTATCCCTGTATTTAAGCCTGGTGAAACAATTCAATTCAATGTGCAAAACAATAACGAGAAAGAGTTGGTAGCACGCTCAAGCATTGTAGTTGGTACAACGTTACCTAGAAGGCCGATCGTTTTCTTCTCTGAAAAGTCTCTTGGCTTCACAAGAATGAAGGAAAACAACTCACTTTCCAGTCAAGCCCTGCAAATACCTCCACTCCCTCCAAATAAGAAGAGCATGTTGGTTGCCTTTATTTTGTTTGTAAAAATTTCTGATGGGCAAGGAAAGGAAAGGATCTTTACCAACAAGAAAAAGGTGTTAATCTCTGCTCAGTAAATACTATTTTGATTCTTCTTTGACATGATCAAGACTGGTTTTTATTATGTTGTATGTTAAAGGTAAGGTCCCAAAAATTTCCCTTCATTGTAAACTCTTTGTTGCGGTTGACCAGCAATTTTTGAAAAATTTGTTGAAAAAAAAATACGTCAAAATCCCAATCACAATGGTACGTATTTCATATTTTTCTTTCAGCAAGCATTTCTCACTTTCGAACTTTATTCAAATCTTATCTCGTCTATGATGTTTTCACCTATAGCCAAAAGAAGTCAAGCAAAAGAAGGACAATCCTATGAGAAAGGTCCAAATTCAAAAGCTCTGTTTGAACATTTCTCCTGGTGAAGGTGGTGACCGTTTACAAAAGGCTGCAAGAGTGTTGCAAGACTTAACCGGTCAAGTTCCAGTCTATCACAAGGCTCGTTTGACCATCCGTTCATTCGGTATCAGAAGAAATGAAAAGATTGCCGTCAGCGTTACTGTTCGTGGTGAAAAGGCCTACGAATTGTTGGAACGTGCTTTGAGAGTTAAGGACTTCGAATTGAGAAATAAGAACTTCTCTGATGCAGGAAACTTTGGCTTCGGTATTCAAGAACACATCGATCTCGGATTGAAGTATGATCCTAACATTGGTATCTTTGGTATGGATATTTTCGCAGTTTTGGGTCGTCCAGGTTTGAGAGTGTCAAAGAAGAAGAGATCTCCAGGAAAGGTTGGCGTTCAACACAGATTGACTTCTAAGGATGCCAAGGCTTGGTTTGTCGACAACTTCAAGGGTACCATCCTCAACTAAATAAATCACAAAAATATAATATTTCTAAAGCCTTTGTTGTCCACTGCTGTCAACAGTCATCACACTTAAAAAAATGTCTGATTTCGATTCGGAACGGTTGGGCACTCTCTTCAACAAATACCTAAAGCAAGGAAAGGAAGAAATTGAGACCAGCGTTGTGAGTGATTTACTGAAAGAATATGATCGGAAGAAGTTTGCAAACATTACTCTAAAAGATGTTCAAAACAGCATTGATATTGATAAATACGGATATGTTGGTTTTAGTTCAGTTGAAAATTTTGCAAGAAATTTCTTCATGAACGAATCATCCACAGCTATTCCAGAAATTATTTCATTATTTTACAACAATTATTCGTCAGATAAAGGAAAAAGATTTGACAATAGGACAGATAGGCTCATTGAACAAGAAGATATGAGCAAGTTATTAATTCAACTCTACCCAGATTTAACACAAGACGACGCTGAGGAACTTTCACAACAATTATTTTCAGCAAACACAAGCATGTGTAGCGTAAAGAAGTTGGCAGAAAAACTGACAAAATTTTAACATTGTAACATCTTTAACAATGATTCTTTTCACCTTAAAATTGAACCTATTTAGACATCTTATCACATGGCAATTAAGCTTTCGTACGTTTATAGGATCACATTGACAATCGAATAATGTTCAGGATACAACGGTGACCTAGACCCTAAGCTGACCTACTTCACAAAGTGGCACAGGGACAGCGAATAAGTTCAAAAAAGTGGTCCGTCTCTTTTTGCCAGAAAAGGACAAAACCAATTTCCGAACTAAATCTAAACATCTCACACAACTGTGAAAAAGCTACACGTTCTTCTTTTGAGTCATTCAGTAGTTGACTCTATCAAGTGTGAAGAGGCTTTCTCTCCAATGGCTCATTCACGAGTATCTGTTATGTAAGTAAGGTTATTCGTCAGCTCGAAAGGATTTCAATTCAGCACCTCCTGTTGCAAGTCGGAGAACGAGCAAGAGTGCGCTGTCTTTGCCTTGTTTCCTTTGTGAGCTTACTTTCGAAGTTGCGTAAAAAAAAATTCTACACGTGCTTCATCACAGCTGCCATTCCCTCTCGTTCACGAGTGAATATCGGACGTTGAAATCAAAAAGCTTGAACACCTATTGATTGAAAATGGATTCATTGGATATCATGAGAGTCATGGAGATTATTCCCATGCCAACTTTAGAAAATTTTGAGTCCTTTACTTCCGCAACGGAATATATTCGTGATGCTGTTGTGGCCACGAACAATATGGATATCATCTCACAATTCTTGGTATTGTGGATCTCTGTGGCTGTTATTGCAACTATTGGATACTTTTTACTGACTAGCTTGTCATATCTCATCTTCTTTGGAATCTTTAGAGACTATTTCCATCCACCACACGAACCTCAACCATTCAAAGGACAAGAATGGCTGGAAGCAAAGATGAGCTTGTGGGCAATTCCTTGGTTGTCATTCCTCACCGCTCCTTTCTTTATCGGAGAGTTGAAGGGTTACAGCAAGCTATATTGGGAAGCAGAGAACGATCCATGGTGGTATTACGCTGTTATCATTACTGGATTCATCCTCTTTACTGACACTTGCATTTATTGGATTCATCGTTGGGAACATACATTCCCTCTCATTTACAAGTACATCCACAAGCCACACCACAAGTGGTTGGTGGTCACTCCTTTTGCTGCTTTTGCTTTTAGTCCTTTGGATGGATGGGCACAAGCTTTACCATATCACATTTTTGTTTATTTGTTCCCAATGCAAACTAAGTTGTATATTTTCTTGTTTATTGTAGTTCAATGCTGGTCAATTAATATTCATGATGGTGTTGATTTTGTAGGAAGCAGACTTGGATCAAGTTCAAGCAAATATATTAACGGAGCACTTCATCATTACATTCACCACACTAGATATGATTACAATTATGGTCAATATTTCACATTTTGGGATAGAATCATGGGTTCTCATTATGATCCAAAGCCTGATTTTGATACTGGACTTTTCAATTTACCAAAACAAAACTACAACCCAGGAATGCATCCATCGGAGAAGAAGAAGGAACAATAATTCTGTATTATTAAGGACGAAAATCGTTGAATGCATACGCAACAACACAAAATTAAAGAACACATTCATAAGAATTCTTGAGCTATAGTTTGACACAGTAACGCTTTTATTGGTTGCCCTCAACGCCCGTGATGGCAGCCTCACCGTGGTTCACCAGCACTTCCTTAGATAGGTACAGCTTGTCCATAACAATGTCATGCAATTTGTTGTAAATTTTTGTAAGGGCTTGCACAGCAAGCTTTAGGATCAATAGAGCCACTATGGAAGGATAACTGAACACAAAAATATGGTATTGTGTTTGTGGGAGAACAAAGAAAGGCAAGATGGTCTTGTTCACAATGTAGGGCACCGTTAGGAAAAGCACCAAATGATAAACGACTGGTAAAATGATGTAGTTAACCACGCGCAACAATTCTACGTTTCTAAAACCATTCTGCTTCACTCTGGTGAGCTCTTGAGCCAAATGTTGCAATCCAGGGAATAGGTCGGGTAGCTTGAGTATCGTAATTGAGAAAAACAGGCCCAAAGACCAAACTTCTGCAAGCAATAATACTGGCTGGCTGCCTGACAGTGAGTCATCAAAATTTTCGCTTACAACTATTTCAATTGCTAATTTTGTTGGAACAACAATGCTCATTTCAATTGCACCTCCAATTAAGATGGGTACCAATATAAACCACAGAGCAAAGAGGATGGTACATTTGAAAACAATCGTTGTCCATTTGATAATTTTCTCAAAAGATCGTTCCGTATAGATATAATTCAAAATATACATAATTCCATTGAACAAGTACAATCCTATCATGTAGGTATAAAAATGATTTCTCATTTCAACTCCAAGGAGCGTTCCTAAAACATTATCCAACACAAATTTTCCGAGAAGTAAGGGAAGAATGATTGAAAGTGAAATTATTTCGATCAAGCCACACCAAGTAATCAAAATAAACAGAGATATTCTTAATGGGAAATGTGTTGGATATCGAACAGATCTTTGAAGATTGATGTCTCGAGCAGCAACGGTAGTTGACGTTGGACTATCGAAGAAATATGACTCGAGAGAAAAGTAGCTACCACCAATTTCAAACCACCGTTTCAACACCCATTTCAATTTTTCAAGGTTAAACCATCGCTGTTGCATGTAGTTGACAATGATGATAGGCAAAGATGTGTCAATGGTCAGCTCAATTAGAGAGTTTCGACCGTATTCTCCTAACGGAGTTCCTATCTTGAAAGGAAAGAAGTTGTAGTCTTGCAACAAGAATCTTACCATCTTGAGTGGCGTTCGTACTAATGCTAATATAATGATGGACAAGAAAAAGAAACTGAATGTAATTCTTCTCATGTGAGTAAATATGCTTATAGTAACAAGCTCTTTCAAGTAATGAAAGTTAGGATCATCAGGATCTCTCAAAAACCATAATACACGTTTGGATAGAAAAGATCTAAGCATTTGAATAAAGCTACTCGCAACCACTACTACAATGATTCCAAAAACAAAGTAAACAAAGGATACACTAAAGATTATAACAAGTCGAGAGAGAATCGTCTCTAATGAATAAGGTTTCACTGTGTTATAGACTCCAAATACTAATTCTCGTAAAATATTTGTTGAATTAAACTGAAAATGTTCAACGAGGTGATATACTGTGCCAGTATAGTTAGTAATTGATGCGTTAAAGGTTTGGCTCATTTGTTGCATTGTGGAATTACCATCCATTCCATGGATTCCTTGTCTCATTATAGAAGAAATATTACTGGTGGAGTTCTTGAAAAATTCATCTGTGGAATAAAATAATAAATATCCAATTGCTAGAGGTACGATAATAAAGTTTGTAGTTAAAATAGTTGCAATCTTGACTAATAATATGATGTACTTGGTGTAATAAACTAGTTTCTTGGCTAAATTGCAAATTGGAAACCAACTTTTGGAAAGGAAATTATGGAATACATAATTTAGCAATACAAATGAGTAAATCACACCGATTAAAAATAAGTATCCCGTTAATATATACATCATCTTTTCTCCAACGATCCAGGCAGTTGAGTCAGAATAAACCGAGGAATTTAGGGAAGTGGTATTGGCAGGATGAATGTTTTGAAAAATAGTGTCGTTTGTCAACCTATCCCAAGTCTGATTTGTTTCGTTATTTGAGATAATGAAAGTTCCGTTTTTTGAGATGCCTTGATTAAGCAAATCATCTAGGATGTTCTTAATTTCGAAATATTGAGTTAATTGATGACAAATAAATCTTCCAAACTGAAGAGGAAGGAACAATAGCAGTAGAATATGTTGAGAATTTAAGAACAATACGAGTGCAACAGTTTCGAAGAGGTGAGAAATATCCCCTTTTAGGCCAATCATTACATCAAGGTCTAGGTCTTCTCTTGCTCCATTCTGTATAGGAGGAGGATTGGCTGCAATTGGAGGGTTTTGGTTCAATTCTTCTTGAGGAGCGTTGTGCATTTCTTCTAATTCCACTCTCGGTTCATCAGCTTCTCCTTGAGGAATTTCATTAGTTTCATCATTATTTTCCTCGTCTTGTAGCAACTGCTGATTGTTCATTAGATCCTTTAGAGTAATTATTTCGTTGGGGTTGTTTTGATTGTTGACATTTTCCTGTGGTGCTAGCCGTTGAGGGTTTACATAGTTTTCCAGCAACTCTAAATTTGATTTAATAAATTCCAAAACTCCAGCAGTAATCAAATCAAGAAGTAAAACAAAAATACAAATTGTAGCTCCAAAGGTACAGTCTCTAAAGAAAGTGAGAATACCATAATCTTTGAATAGCGTTTCCCAATCGAAAATGTTTACGATTTGACTCCATGATGTAATATTCACAATCCTATAAAACTGATAAGTAATGAAAGGGACGAGCACAATCCAAACAAAAATTACAAGTAAAATTCTGCTAATTGACTTCAGATAGTTGAACAAGACAGAAAATGCGCCAAGCATAACCTGAAGTGGAGACAACTGTTTGGGAGCGTCATTTGAATAAACTTTTGCGAATTTGAATTCGTGCTTGCAAATTTCGCAATATTTTCCTTTGTTTGAATGCTTCATCCACTCCATCAAACAAGTTCCGTGGATGTACTTAATACTTCCCGAGCACTAAATTTAGTTTTGAACAAAGCAATATGTTAAAAAATACAAATTATCATGATGAACATACTTTGCAAGGATGAAAGAGAGGATCCTCTTCAGTATGTGGTTGTTTGCAAATTCTACAAAGAGCGTCGTCGGGAATGCCGTTTGAATTCAATTCATCGTTATCGGAGTCGGAATCAGACTTATCCTCTACAATTTCGATATTGTTTGTATTTACATCATCTTGATTTGGAGTATCTTGTTCATTCAAAACATCAATTTGGTCCTCCCTTTCGTGATGGTGAAGGGAATTCAGGTCCTGAAAGTCGGACGAAAGCATTTTTTCTGATTTTTTAAATTTTTACACCAATCCTTTTGCTGATTTTTTCTATTGTTATTTTTAATATCAAATTGTTGAAGCTAGTAGTAATTTAAAACAACAAGATGTTTTTGATTCTTAAAGATCACAGAGTGAATACAATGTCATGGTCAACATAATGTAGAATTTTTGGTTGCGTGCCATTCATGCATACAGAATGACATGTCTTCTATTCTCATTCTAAAAAAAAAGCAGATTCAACTCGAGTCACCACAAAAACAGTGTCGGAAGCATTTTTGCTGGTACTGTCATCATCATCTCAACAACACAAACAATTAATTTATTAATCATCGAAGAGGATGGAATGGAAACTATCAGGTGAAATTAAACCTGAGAGTGATGATGAAGCCTTCTTCGAAGAACGAGTCAATCATTCGTGTTTCAAGTTAAAACGATATCCATCGAGCTTTTTTATATTCGGAGGTTATTCATCGTACTCCAAGAAGTATAATGATATTGTTAAATTCAGAAGTCAAGTGAATCCAAAGAACAATGACTATGGTAAGTACTTTTAATCGTTGTTAATATGGAAATTGACATCTTCCAATGTTTCGAATCAAATAATAATCATACACCAATTTAAAATCGTAAATTACACACATTTCCAGAATGGACCTATTCCATCGTTTCAAAGGGAAATTCATATGAAGCTAAAAAGTCCTCAATGTTTGGAATGTTCGGATTTGGTGGATCTACAACGAACAAATCGGCGTCAGCTACTGGTCCTCAATATCCAACAGCTCGAGAAGGACATACTACCATTGTGTGGGAAACTGAAGTGTTAAAGTACAATCCAACGACCAAAACAGAGGAATATGTCATGGAAGAACAAGTAATTTTATTTGGTGGATATGACGGAAGTGCATATTTGAACGATGTTTGGGTTTTAGACACTTCACAGTGGAAATGGACAAAATGTGACATTGATTCAAAACAAAGCAGACCTTGTGGAAGAAAGATGCACACTGCCATGCTCTAGTATGTATATATCCGAAAGGATGATATGTTTTTACAATTTCATTAATTTTCATAATTCGACAAATCTCTACAGTAATGATTGTATGTGGATATTTGGTGGAGACAGTGGATCAGATCCATTAAATGATTTTTGGTGCCTCGATTTAGAAACAAAAACATGGACACAAGTAGCCTTTGATAAAACTAAGGCTCCAGAACCACGATATGGCCATTCTGGCGTTGTCATTGATATGAGTCCTATTTATGAAACCCAAGCAAAACAATTGTATAATGAAATGTTAAAAAATAAGAATATTGATAAGAGTGAAATCAAAATGCCAACCATAGAGAAAAATCAATATCACATGATAATTATGTTTGGCTTTTCCAATATTCATGCAATGTATATAGGTAAAATAACAGAAAAACTGAACACTAAGCAATTAGGAGGAACTTGCTACAATGACGTGTGGTCATTTAATTTTAATACTAGCAAATGGCATTGCTTAACAGATCCATCAAAAAGTGCACAGGATGACAAGGATAAAGGCTTTATTACCAAAATGGTAGACGTCACAAAGGGTGTTACTAACGCCACTTTTTCACAGATCAAAGGTCTTGGAAAACAATTAGAAATTTCTGGAAAAACAGCCTGGTCTGAAATTGCAAGATTTACGCCCTTTTATACTTACTCAAGTACTACAAGTTATGGCTCAGTCGCGACAAGTCTGGCTCAACCTCCTGAAGAACGATACTGTTCTGCTGTTGTAAATATTGGAAGAGGATGTTTGTTAATATTTGGAGGAGTTCGAGATTTAACACACCGAAGAGATTGCCATATTTTAGATCTTGTTAATGAATCATTTGTACCAGTCCCTAGAATGATCAAACTCAAAGACTCATGGCCAACGGCAAGAAAAGGTCACGTGATGATTTACGATGAACAAGAAGACTTGGTCTATGTGAATGGTGGTAGCAACTTCAAAGAAGGAATTCAAAGTGGTATTGCTATTGCAAGTGCTAAACAACTCATTGATTTGCTTCATGTTGGTATCGAAAAAGAAACCGCAACCGAAGAGGACGACATTGTCCAACAAGCAGAAAATGAGCTGAAAACAACTGAGAAAAATATTTATGAGGATGTCAAGACGGATCAAACTCAAGACCAAAAGAATCAATTGATTAGGCTCATTGAGACAGAAACGATCAAAATTCAAAAGAATCCAAAAGCTATTGATTCATACAGAACAAGAGCAGACTGCTACATGAAATTGAGGGCATGGGATAAAGCTAATTCCGATATTGATGAAGGTCTACGATTAGCTCCCAACGACACTGACTTCAAAATGAAGAAGGGTATTATTCTGTTCAGACGCAATGATATGATGTCCGCACGATTAATACTCACCGATGTTATTTCAGAAGAAGAATCAAAAACTCAGAAGGGCACTTTCCAAGCAACTTGGTGCTACGAGGTTATAAAATTAGAGCCAAGTGTCGGATAAAAGAAAGAAACTTTAATGAGGCCATTGCAGATGCCAACAAGTTTTTGAAATATATTGAGAGTCTTGATATGATAGATGTAAAGGAAAAGAAGAATATTGACTTTGTATCTATTGCATCTTGGTTAGCTTCTATCTATATTGTTAAGGCGACTGCATTTGAGAGAAAGAAACAATATGAGACTGGACTCACTACCATTGAAAGTGGAAAAGAACAGGTTCAACAATTTTTGAAAAAGGTCAAAAAATCTAATTTCAGTTTGACTGATTTGCTAAGTTTTAAGAATGAGAAACCACAAGATGTTTATCTTAGGGAAAAGCTTGAGAAATATGAGAGTTTTTTACTACAAAAGAAAGATAAGAGTTTACTCGTTGATGGTACTTTTAAAACTGCAAAGGTGCTCATTGACTCCTTTAAGACGAAATTAAATGAGCTCGACGCTGTAAAATTGAAGGAGCAAGAGGAGATCATTGAAGAAGAAACAAAATCATTGGACACTTTCTTTGAGGAATATTTATTTAAAGAAATGAGTGCAGATGTGATAGAGACCGATTGTGATCAAGCGATTGAATTGTTAAAACAAGTCATTTCTTGGGAACCTTTTGAAATCAAGTACATCATTGCTCTCTCAGAAGCGTATTACTTACAAACTGATTACAAGTCCAGTATCAAATATGCCAAGAAAGTGATTGAAATGGCAGTAGACTATTGGAAGGCATACTATATTGCTGCTCTTTGCTATTTATCGAAACGAAAAATACCCAAAGCTCTTGAGATGCTCGAGAAGGGAATTGAAAATTGTGAAGTTGTCAATGCAGCAGATGAATACAGAGAAATGGATGGCATTTCGGACCGTGAAGGTTTCTCTCAACTGCTACAAGCTAAAAAGGACGCTGAAAAGAAAAAGGAAGCCATGAAAAAGGCTTCAAATTTATCAAAGTATGCCAAACAATTGGTGCAAATTTCAAACTTTGAAGATGCTCTATTGACTATTAACGAAGTTATAGAAATGGATCCTACTAATATATCCTACCTGGCTGATAAGGTTGATATTTTGATTGAAAAGAAGAAATATCTACATGCCTTGAAGGTTGCTGTATTAGCAACAAGAATCTCTCCAAAGAGCTATGAAGGATATTTAGCACAAGGTGTTGCTTTGCAATTTTTGAAGAGATATTTCCACTCGATTCAAGTTTTGGAGAAGGCTTTAAAAATGTTCCCAGAAAATTCCAATATTAAGCAACAATTGATGAAATCCAAAGATTTATACAAAAAAAAGCAAATGGCTCAAATGAAATATGAACGAGCACTCTTTATTCTTCAAGATGCTGAGCAAGAGATTGTAAATGAGAATTCAAAAATTAAGCTCTACAAGATTAATATTACTACTTTAGAACCCTCTAAAAAGATTATTTCTCAAGTGGAACAAATTGTTCAACTCCTTGATGAAGCCATTGAACTTTATCCCTATGTGGCAGATTTTTACTTCTCCAAAGCTAAATGTAGATATTTACTCAGAAATTACATCCAAAGCGTTGCACATATCAAAGAGGCTATTGAAGTCATGAAACAAATCACCGACGGATTATATTTGTCATTTTTGAGTCAGAGAAGTAAAGGTTCAGAACTTGATGAGGAGAAGAAGGAAAATACGGTCGATCGAGTTCATGTTGATTTCATATTTGAGGCTATTTCTCTCGGTTCTAGAGCATATGCTTCCATGCGGCAATTTGATATTGCCATTAATTATTTAAAGGACATGTCTTTTAGACATACTGCTCCAAAGAAGAAGAAGCTTGAAGATTATGAGCGCCATTTATATTTAAATCCTGACCATTTAGAAAAGCTTGAAGAATTAACAAACAGAATTACAGGATTTAAAAAGGCAAGAGAAAAGTTCGACTTTTTGGTGAAATCTGGAATGGAATTTAAATCAAATTCTGATTTTAATGGAGCCATCAGCTTCTTTAGTGATGCTTTGCAATTGAATGGCGCTAATGATGTTGAGGAAAGAACTCAAGATGACAGAGACTATGCCTCTATTTACTTTGAAAGAGCTGAATGCTTTTATGAACTTGGTGATTATGACAAGGCCATTGAAGATGCTGAACAAGCAGTGAAATTAGAACGTACTTTCCCACACTTTTATGTTCTTTTATGCAATGCTTTAATGGAAGCAGGAAAATTGGAAGAAAGTGTTGCAAAGTGCAATATTGCTCTCTCTGAATCTCCATATAATACTCCTCTCAATGATGTATGGCACAATGTCAAGTTAAAAACTGCAAGTTATGAAGCAGAAAAACATTATGAAGAAGGAAGTCAAGCCATGGAAGCAGGCGAGTTTGATGTAGCCATTAGTTGTTTGAATAAGGCAGTACGATTGAGGCCAAATAATATCAACTATCTATTAGCACGATCTCAATCTCTCTATGAAAGACTTAAATATAAGAGAGCACTCGATGATTGTCAAAATGTTTTAAAATTTGATTCAAAGAACATTGTAGCGATTCGTCTATGTGCTGATATTCAGGTGAGTCTCAAGAACTTTTCAGAAGCAAAGGCGGTTCTTCAGAATGGCATGGATCTCTATCCCAAGGATAAAACGCTTCGTCAACGTCTAGAAAAATTAATTACACTAGAAAGTCAATGGAATGAAGCTTATCTGAGAGCAAGAGATGCCGAAGATTGTTACAACAATGGAAATTATGAACAGTGTTTAGAGTTGTATTCAATTGCCATTCAACTCCATTCAGATTGTGCCCAATATCTGTGTCGAAGAGCGAGAGTCTTGTTGAAACTTTCTCAACCTGAATTGGCTCTCGTAGATGCTCAGAAAGCAGCAGAAATAGACACAAGTGAAGAGGTGTATGCAACTCTTGCAACCATTTATCTTGAATTGTGTGATTATGAGAAGGCAAAAGATGTTATTGAAGAAAGTTTAGCCTTTGATGGTGAAGAGGAAGATGAAAGTATCGAAACCTTACTCTTACTCAAAGAAGAAATTTACGATCGTGAATCAAAGAGTCTCTCGGCAAAAGAAAAAGATGAAGAAGGACAAATATTCTTTGAAAGATATATGCTTCATCTCAAACAAAAGAAGGACGAAATTAAGAGGGAAAAGCAAGAACAAAACGAAACAGAGCAACATGAAGACGAGGAAAATCTTTATAGTTCCATTTTTAGCAAATTGAGTATTTTCAATTTTGGAGCTAAAAAGACGAATCCTATCGACAGATTGGTTGATCAAGATGATCACTCGTATGAAGATTTACTCAAAGCACAAGAGTTATTTTCTGAAGCAGTCTTATTAGAACCTAACAATAAGAGGTACATGAGGCATCATATTGAAGCCTTGATGTTGGATAACAACTCTGAGAAGCATGATGAGGCGTTCAATCAAGCAGCAACCATGATTCAAATGTTTCCTAATTATACTGACGGATTTTGTACAGCAGCTCGCTTACATGCTGAAAAATTCAGAAATACCTTTGAATCTCTCTATTTATCAGTGGTAGGATTGGAACATGATCGTGAACGAGAAGGGTTATCCATACAAATTTTGCAAACTATTTTAAACACGATTGATAATTATGAAATACCCATGATGAAAAATTCAAAGACTTTGAAAAAACTTGGAAAAGTATCCGATAAGGCTCAAGTATCTTTCGATAGCGCCAATGCATTTGAAGAGTTAGAAGGTCATGAAATTGTGGATAATGTGATTGGTACGATAAAAACTAAACAAACAAAGAAAGAAGACGGAAAAGATCCAAATGTTCCAACATTGAGTCTTGAAGAACTGTTGGATGGAGATGACTTTGATTTGCAGAATAGTGATGCCAGTAGCGATTTAATGATGGATGATATTCAGCACGACTCATTCGATCTCAACAAGAAATCCAACAACAAGACGATTCAAGTGAAAAAAATTAATAACCGAGAAGAACAAGTCGAATTTACAAAGCAATTATATGACTTGGATAAGCATAGTGTTGCTCTGAGAAATTCATTTGCCAACATTAGAGCTTTCATAACAGGATTTGCCAAAACAGCTGTTAACATTCTCAAATCTCAAAGAGAAGAAGCATTTGATTTAGCTGCTAAAGCTGTCTATGTCATGTACTATGATGTTGAAACTGAAAGACCTTCCGACAAATTCCATACTCTATTTGATCTTGTTGCTGATGCTTGTTTTGTTGGAGATGGTGTTAAAAATTACAAATTGAGAGAGTTAAAAAAGATTGGACCTAAACCTCTTCTCTTGGAGACATGTACCACTCGCTATCATAGATTTATTGAAACAGATGATGATCATCCATTCTATAGCCAACACCACTTCGATAGCGAGAGAGAATACGAAAACTTTAAAGAGGTGGAAAAGAAAAATATCAGCGAGGCATTACAACAATTTAATCTCTCCATTGAAAAGGACATTGAAAATAGAAGTGTTGATATGGACGAAGATCTCAAGTATAGACATGTGATCATGCAACAGTTTGTGGATTGTATTTTGCAATATTCACTATTTACTGTAGATCAAGACGACGAAAAAAACAAGGAAGACTCTTCAGAGAATTTCATGAAAACCAAAATACTCACTCTCAAGGATGAATCTCTTGAGGTCATTCAAGCAGTTTCAAACTTTTATGGATATGGAGATGGTGTATTTGCATATTTGGTTCTTCTCGAGAAATTAGGAAGAACATTTAAACATGCCTATTCAGAAATTGGAAACATTTATAAGTGTCTGTTGCACTTAATAAGAACGCTCATTGCAAGAAATCTAATGTCTGCTGGAAAGATTAAGAAAAAAGATCGACTACTGGATGACGATCCAGTCATTCAAAGATATTACTTGTCTCGTTCTGAAAGATCTTTGTTTGTTCAAGCAGCCAAGTCCATTAACCGAGAACTCAATTTCATTATTGACAATCACTGGAAATCTGCCAATGAAACCATGGATTCCATCGTTATTTTTGCCGTCAAGACGACGACACTTATGAACGCATTTACATGTTTAGAAGATGCTGATGGCCACAATATGGGTTACAAAACTTTGAATATTCGAACGAAAGAAGGTATCGAGAATAGTATGGTTAATCTCTATAACTATTATCGAGATAAGATTATTCACAAAATTGCTCAAAAGGATGCTACCCTTCAACAAGATGAATCTGGAGGTTTACATCCTGTTCACTTGCTCTGTCTGATGGATGTGCTGTTAGAACACATTCCAAGATATGAAACACACTTTGATATGGCCTTTCCTTCGAGTGTTGGACTGATGAAAACGGTTTGCAATCAAGTATACTCATGTATTGAAATTGAATTACACAAACTCAAAACAAGCAAATTCAGAAACTATACAGAGAAAGGAGAATTACCTATTGGACTCTTTGATTTACCACCAAAAATTGAAAAAATTTATCAATTATTATCTGAACATGCCAACGTTCAACCATATGCTCTTAAAGACATATTTATTCCATATGTGTACAAGTGGATTGAAACATTTGAAAAAAGTGCAACCGACTGGTGTAAAAGAGCTATTGAAATTAGTGATTGGAAACCAATAACTGATGATGTCACCTACACAACTGCAGTTGTAGATACATTTACCTCACTTCGACAAAGCTTGGTTGTTTTAGAGACAAGTTTACAATTTTTACAGAGTCAAATTCAACGTCCTGCTCAATTTGCAAATCAATCTATTCTTGATTCGTTTAATTCTCTTGAAGAGTCTACTTCATCCAAGTTTGGAACAGGAAACTCCTCCCTTGAAACTCTGCCATTAATTTATGTCACTTATACTCATGTTATTGCCTCTGTGATTGAAAGTTTTGCAAACATGACTTACAATATCTTTGCAGATTGTACCATGAAAATGAAGAAAATTGAAGAAGAATATGTGAATAGAAGGACGAGTGCTAAATATAAAGACATGATGTTGAGAAGAAAAACAACAGCTGTACAGCAGGAACAAGAAGAAAAATTATATGAAGAAACTAGAAAAGATGTCCACAGACAAATTGTTACTAAAATGGGTCTCTGTATGAACAATATCTTAGAATCCATTAACCAAGTACGAACTTTATCAGAAGATATTCAAAAGCAATTATTGAGACAACAATCAGAATTAGTAAGCCAAATTGATGAAAACTACGAATTGGGCACTTTGGACGATGACTTGGAATCTCAATCTATTGATCTTAGCACTACCACTGGATCTACACTTTCCAAGAAAAAGAAAGATGATCTTCTTGAAGGAATGGCGATGATGCACGATACGATGAAAGTATTGCACAACTCTCTCAAGGAAATGATTCGAACCAAGATGAATAACCATCTTTCACAATTAATTTTCAAAACTATGAAAGAGTCATTGTTGGATGCAATTTCTAAAATCAGTCAGCCTGTAACTCCAACACCAACAAATTCAAGTCCTGGGCTTAAGACAAGCTCTTCTTCACAAAAATTAGCGTCTCCATCCTCTCAAAATTTGGCTGATTTGAATTTGGATGATATCATGACTCCATTATTCGATTACTTGGATGATCAATTAGCAACTCTTTACACAGTGTTGAACGATAAGGTATTTGCTGTGGTTTTAAGAAACATATTTGCAATGTTGGTTGATGAATTGAAAGAATGTGCCATACCCCCTATAGAACAACCAACACTTAATAAGTCGCAGATTGACAAATTCAAAACTACATTCGACTCATTTATTGAATACTTTAATGCCAATGGATCTGGATTGGACATGCTATATCTAAAAGAGCATTTCAAATTTATTTCTAGTCTATTTAACTTGAGCCTAACCCCAACGAAGAAGTTAATTGATGATTACAACGAACTCAGTGTACAAATTGAAGATGTTATTAATTTGATAGAGTCAATGAATAAGGATCTCGCTCGAAAAGATGATCCAGATGCCATCAATGATTTAAAACACCAAATAGCAGATGCTGAAGAAGCCAAAGACAAGATTACTGTTACCAAGAATTATATTTTTGCTGTTTTGCATAGACGAGCCATGGACACACGTTCTAAAAAGATCAGTGATACAGAAGCTAACAAATTTGTTACTTCAGAAATGTCTCTCTACGAAGCGAATCAAGCAATCATTAACGATGACTATGAACTTTTTCAAAAATCTTTGAAAACTTCCAAAGATAACTATCAACAAGCGAAACAAGCTCTTGACAATACTAAAAAAGAAGTTGAATCTTTGAAGAAGCAGTATAAACATGTTAAATCCATGAGAGTCATTACCAATGAAAGAAAGAACAATAGATTTAAATGTAAAGAGTTGAGAAAAGAAATTGACGAATTGGAACACAAAAAGACTCTATTGCAACAAGAGGAAGAGGCAATCAAAAAGTTAGTTGCTACTGAATCTGAAATCATTGAAAAGGCATTCTTCGATTTGGAAACGAGCGATTACATTAAGGATATTTCATTTAGGCTTGACGCCTTTGTAAGATCGTGTAAGAAAGGGCTTGCAGGTCAGTTAGGAGAAGAATTTATGAATTTCATGAAGTTCCCAACCAAACTTGCTGGAGTCACCGAGGAGGAAACAAAACTTGTGATTACAGACTTTTTCCGATGTATGTTCAGAGGAAACGATGGATTCTTGTGTTTGCTGAGCTCGCCTGATATATGTATTAGTTGGATCCCAATTCTTTCTCTCATCAAATTATTCAAGCTTGATGTCATGAAAACGACATCTTCCAACAAGCAATACTCCATGTTGGATTATCTCAACCCATTGAATGCTCTCAGAGGAACAGCTCAACTCTTCACCTCTTCTGAACCACAATATAACACTCAAATTGATTACATTAAGGTCTCTGTAGGAAAAATTAAGAGCGTTTTCAGATCTACATTTGGTGCAAATTCACTCGACAATTCCATTACTGTCAGCAAGTCAGATAAGGATTTCCAATTCTCCTGCTTCAAAGATCGTGAGAAAGCATTCGAAGTGATTCAAGCGTTTATTCTCAAGAACGCAAGTCAATTCAAATCCAAAGATTCATCCATTGTCAACAAATTATTATTCATGGGAACAAGTACCACGAAAGAAGATGAGCAAGATGATTCTGATATTGCCAACGCTTATACGCAAGCAAAAGTTATTAAGAAGGGTTACCCAGTTTCAGAGTCTGTACGAAAGATTTTCAACTTGAAAGCTGAGACACGGTTGTTCAACAAGTACAGCTGTACTGAGTTTGATTCCAAGTTGATTGGAGAATTTTATGTGTTCTCAGATTCTGTTTGCTTTACAACAACAGTGAATTCCGGATCTTGCCAAAAGATGATTTTACCTTTCACACAGCTTGTGAAAATATCCAAAGTTGGAAAGAAGAATTTACATTACAAGCAATGTATTCAGCTCACAAATGCACAACGAGTTAGTTACACATTTGTAAACTTTAAGAACAGTGATGACGTATTCCAAGAAATTATTGACGTGTTTAAGAGAAATTGTCCTGATATTGAAGTAGTATTGAGAGCAGATAATTCGATTGCTATCCCAGTTCACCCAACCCAAGAAACTCCTCAAGGATTGATGAACATTAACAAATACACCAAATTCTTCAAATTGTAAGGATAATAAAGTTAGTATTTACAGTTTAGAAATAAGTCTAGCATTCTGTGGAAATGCTATGAACAAATAGATTTGGAATCTGATCAATGGACGTAATGTTGTGATTCGTATTATTGTCAAACCTGAACAACTTGCTGTTGTTTATACCTCTGTCAATTCCAGCATATTCCGATAACAGTGACTGGTACATATCTTTGTGGAATCTTTCAATCAACTCCAAATAATCTTTCGTGTAGACTGAGCTTTCTCCGACTCGATTTCTCCTGCTAATCCTTTCCATAGCAGTGTCAATACAAGCATCGATCACAATATGAAAATCAGGATAAAACAAATTTCTGGGATGCTTTCTCAACAACTGTTCAAAATATTCGATATATAGGCCATGTTGCTCTGGAGTCAAGAGATTCTTCTCAACCAAATTCCGTACAAACACATGTCTGTCAGCCAACAATGATCGATCCATTAACACAATCATTCGTTTCGAGTTCGTTTGGCCATACTGTTCTACAAATTGCTCGACCTTATCCGAAATGATCCATTTTTGAAAATCCAAACCATGCTCACACTGATTCGAGAGATAGAGCTTGAACAAATCAATATTCTTTTCGACATTCTCTACAACATGACACAGTGGAATGTCATTGAATTCTCTCTTAATGAATTGCTGGATAAGGTTACACAATCGAGATTTGCCTACACCAATGTTCCCATCCACACAAATGACAAAGATATTGTTTGAGGAATACGATGGAGAACTGGTAGTGTCCATAATGGTTGTACAACTTGTTGATGAAAACGAGGAAGATGTCCAGCAAGGAGAAGTATCATGAATTTTAAAGGCTTGATGGTTGCAACCGAGAGAAACCAATCCAGACCGTTGAGAGTATGTGCCACCATTAAAGTGCCCAATAATTTGTTGTCGAATGGTATTGAATAATGTGCTTAGCATTTGAAGGGAGAGTGGAATGGAACAGCGGAATTATGAAAGGCAAAATACATGCACAACCGTGATGATGTCTTCTTGTTTTTTTTGAAGTGAAAAAGACAGCAACATCGCTTCTTGTGTCTGTAAGAATTTTTTTGTGTAACGGTTTTTCCATAACCCTGCTTCGTTCGAACGATTAGAAATGTTTCGAACATTAAAAACTGTAGAGCTTGAAAAAAGAGGTTACTTGTTGTATCGGAACGGCTGCGAGCTAAAAATCAGCTTGCCAACTAAAATCATCACACATAAAAAATGTTTTTCTTGCCTTGGAGTTTACGTTGCTTTATCGGATCACTTACATTGTAGGTTTTTGAGCACGAGAACAAGATTGGACATCTAAATTATTATGTTGATGATGGTTATTTATTGATTTCATTAATCGTGATAATTTGATATATTTTGATGAACCATAACAATGATTAATCAATTTGATTTTCCATCATTGACCTTCTTCAATTGGATTGTGCTGATGAATTCAAAATAATTTCAAAAATACAATTATGCAACAGATTTAATTGCAACGTATTTGCAAGTTATCATAGCTACAAGGCTCTTTCGGCTAGGAACGCCCAAGAATCAACAAGATGGCTCATGTACTGGTGCGTGATGGCTGCTTTCCTCTCCCTAGAGAACATTTTCTATTCTCTTCTTCATAATATGGTTCCTTTCTATCCCGAAATCAAAGTAATTTCTCTACTGCTTCTCGTAGTTTCCTCTCACGCTCCAATTTATGTATTACATCAATGGGTTATTCCAAAATTAGAGAGCTTGAATGTTCCATATTATATTAACAATGTGTTACTGAATCATGTTGTCACATACCTCACATATGGATTTGGGATGGTTTTCAGTAAATTAGCAAAAAAGAGTGCAAAAATTAATAAGAATAATGTGGAGCAGTTGGATGCAATGATTGGAGCTATTGATGATATTTCATATGAACTGAAAAAGATTCGAAAAGAGGCACTTAGATCTTTGCACAGAACTTCTTCTGGTATTCAGGCTCATGGTAGTCCAAAGGCTGGTACTTCTGGTGAGATTACACGCAATCGTGTGAGTTTAGGAATAGGAGAAATTCTATCCAACTCAACCCTTATTATCGGAGTTTCATCTTCCAATCAATTCTAATTGAAATAGTTGACACGAAAAATCAACAACTGAAATGAGTGAATATGCATGTTCACTCCTTTAATTAATGCCTTCGTTTTAACATTCTTTTAAATAGTTCTTTAACATTATTCTTTTGCATTTTCATTGTTCTTTACTCAATCAAAAAATGAAGCCGTTGCTCGCTAGACAGGGAGCAAGAACCTTGTTCAATAACATCAGCCGTCGAACCGTGCTTTCATGCTCCGATTCAATGATTTTGATGAAAGAAGGACTCCTGTCATCAGCGTCCAGAATAGAACAATTACCACTCCCTATTCATCGTTCCTCCTTGTTCAGGACACAACAACAACGCCATTTCAGAACATCGCTCGCACCAGGCAATTCAAAGAACACAGACAAGAAGGCTCTTAATACCAATGATGATGATAGTTTATATCTGGAAGAAAATAATGTCAAGGGTTGCATTGTTGAGTTTTATGACAAATCTACAGAATCCGTGCGACTGGGATTGCTCGATGAAAAAGAATTTGTTATTCATCAGGAGGATTTTACAACAATTAAATTATCGGAAAAGCTGAAACACAAGGATGTTGTCATTATTGAAAAGTGGACAAATGTTCTCATCACATTTAATGATTTAAAAGAAGTCAAAGAAAAGGCTAACTCCACAGTGTTAGATCAGAATTATTACGTTGATTTTGAACTTCGGTTAGAAAATTTATTAATTGAGGCTTATACTTCAGGAAGAAGATTTACATCATCATCTCTTGCAGGAGAATTATTCGATTCAGAGGTTCCTTCTTTAGTTACTCGTTATATTGCTTTTTATTTGTTCGAGTATTCTGGATGCTTTAAATTTGATACAAGAACCAACAAGTATATGGTCATTGAAACCGATGCCAGCCAAATGAGAATCAAAGATTTTGTGAAGAGAGCTCAGAGAAGAATACATGAGGTCAATGAATTCAAACTGAAGAAACAATTCGTGGATCAAGCAATCTTTGCTAATTACACTAGTTTAAATCTCCATCTTCCAACCAAGTGGGATCCAATTATTGACGTTCCAATTTTGAGAAAGATTGAATTTTTCATGCTTTCTAACAATGAGAATGAAAAGAATAGAGGTCTCATTAATACAATTTTAGAAACATTTGGTTATCCAAAAACAAGAAAAGGTGCTGCTTTGTTTCTCCATGCTGTAGGACATTTGCAGCTTGAAACATCAGCTTCATTTCTCACTGAAGAAGGTCCATCCTATGAATCCATAGACATTTGCTCACGAAGAATGAAAGAAATATTTCCTTCGTTTTTCAAACCCTTTTCCAAAGAGTCGGAAAGACTTTCACAATTTCTTTTTGACAAGAGTAGTTCAATCATTGAGAAGGAAAAGCTCAACCCCGTTCGAAGAGATTTACGTCATTTGAAAGCTATTGCCATTGACGACATTACTACTCAAGCCTATGATGATGCTATTTCTGTTGAACCAACCCCTACTGGATTTAAACTCTATGTTCATGTTTGTGATATTTCTTCCTTTATTACCAAGAATAGTCCATTAGAGGTTGAAGCCAGATCCAAGATGAAAACTCTTTATGGAAAGAATAGACTACGACTTATGCTTCATCCGAATGCCATTCGATCTGCTACCCTCAATCCAGACCGAGAAAACTTGGCATTGACTTTGGAAATAATATTTTCTAAAAATGGATCAGATTTCAAGTTAGATCGATATGAATTTTATAGAAGTACACTTGGAAATATTGAACTCTATACCTATAATATGGTAGATAATATTTATGGGCAATACATCAAAAAAAAATTAGCAAAAAACAAAAAGAATATGGAACAATCCACAAGAATGTTAACTGATGTTTACGATGTTGCTGTGGATATCGATAAGGTGATTGAAATACCTAGACCTTCAATAACATCTCCCTCAAGAGACGTTGTAACAATAATCATGACTATTGCAAACAGTATTTTGGAAGCCCATATCAAACGTAATAATTTGCAACATTTATTCCCATCTACAACATCCTATATTAGATTTACATCTCCTCTAAGAAGATATGCAGACCTTGCTACTCATTTACAATTTGTTGCTCTTCTTGAACATCAACAGACAAAAGATATTGATGAATCTAAACTTGTATATACTGAAAAAGAAATCAAACAAATTAATTCAGAAATTCAAACATTTGAAAAAGATTTAGCAGAGACTGAAATGATTATTGAAAGACAAAAAAGAGAGGTGGCACGAAAGGACAACCTTCAAAAAGAATCCAATCAACGACAAACGTCTCAATCTGCTGGTCGTGTTGTTGGTCAAGTTGTGAAAAAACGAAAGGGTATGAGCAATGTGTATATCCAAGCACTTGATAAGACAGTTCCAGTTCATTTGGTTGAATATGATGAAGTGAAAATGATAGAATTGGTATTGAATGTATTACCAGAGTCAGAAACTGCTTCCTTTGAGCTACTTGGATGGCCTTCCACAATTAAAAAGATGAGAGAGAATAGAGTTCCAAATGACATTAAGGAAGGGTCAAAAGTTGTTCTCAATGTTAAGAGTATTGATTACAATGAGGTGGATGGTACCATGAAACATGTGATTGTAGAACATTGTTTTGAAGAAAAGGTTGATAATTACTCGGTATAAAATTTCATGTGCATGCGTTGCACATCATTGATGAAACCTCTTTGACAGATTTTGCTCTTGAAAGTGCCAAAGCCCAATAAATCCTAAAATGTTGAAGAATTTGGAATTAAATGGGTCACTGTTGTGCAGTGATTAATTGTTTTCTTCAGGTCCTCTCATTGATGTCATCACTGACCCTTCATAACAAACGAATCCATCCTTGTTTTCTTCACGTCTCAAAAAGAATCTTTTTTTTCCATTTTTAAAAATAGTGACAACTGCCACCACGAAAACACTCTATGGAAGCATTCCTCCGATCAAGAACAACCATTCCCAACAAACAACAACAACAACAAAAAACTTTCGCAATCATCCAAGAAGTAGAGCCTTTATGATTCAACATTCGTATTTGAAACAACAACCATCACTTTCCACTGTTTTCAACAAATACAACACAAGAGCATTTTCGGCATTGTGATTTTCTACAATTATCCTTCACCTTCACGACAACAGCAACAACAACGTTAATATTAACTCACAGAGACCATCCTCTTACAACAACCAACTAAACACATAACAAATTTCAATGGGAACCAAACCTACAAAAGAAGCTAAAAAAGTATCTTCATCGCAGACAATTGACACCTCATCACCACAACCAGTCGATGGTGTACACGTCGGAGAATCGGTGAGGAATATATTTCAACAGTATGTATTGCATTTATGATTGAATGAGATATGAAGAATGGTTTCTTGAATATATTCAGAAAACTTTGTGATTTACCTGTCGCTAAAGATTTATTGCGATTATGTAACAAGATTAGTATTTTCGAGGTCAATCATACTTTACACTCGAGTGCCACAGATGAAACAGATCAACATCGATATCCTAATATTGACGAATTACAACTTTTAAACTATCGAATTAAAGATTTAACAAAAGAAGATGATGAAATGGAGAATGGAGAGGAAGAGAGTAAATTTGAAAATAAGTTCACACGAGTGATCCATTCTATATTGACAGTGTTAGTTCAAGAAATTGAATCTATTAATGAGAATCGTAATGAACAATGTCACACATGTTGCGCTAATGGAAATCACATTGCATCTCTAAGTTGTCACATGTTTGAAAAAGAAGTGAATTTAAATAATTTTCAAAGTCTAGAGCAATTCATGTTGAATTATTTCGGAGAAGAATCACCCGTTGTGACAGTGTTAAAATTATGCAATCAATCAATTATTGCTCCTGCTGTCATCGCTCTCAAGAAACAACTAGGTCAATTATTTAGATACAAAGGTATGTACAAATTTGAGAAGAATTACAAGTAATGGACCAACATACATTCAAATTCTGACGTTGTGTAGATTCTGGATATTGGTTTATTGACATTTTAATTAACAAAAATGGAGGTGTCACAGTTTGCCATCGACGAAAAGAACGAGTCACAAGCCATGCCTTTGATCATACTTCCCATTCCCAATCTTACCCTTCTCTTCCTTCTGCTTCTCAACCTGTTTCCCTAAAGAAAAGTTCTGTTTCCACCACCGCTCTTCCAAAACCTAAGAATGACATCTCCTCGCTTACCAGAAAGCTCTATACGTTTGAATGGCGATTGTACATTAACTTATCTCCGAGTACGTTACGGCAATTAGACAGTATTCGATTAGAGTTGGTGGATCATCTTGATTTTTCAGATTCTGAGGTGTTATATTCAGAAGATGAACGAGAGAACATTGAACGAATATTCTTTGAGCACGCGAAAGGATTCGATCAAAAGTTTGACAAGGAATTTGAACAACAAGTACTCAACAAGAAAAGGAAACAAGCCAAAAAGTGAAAACGATGTAAATACGAGTAGAGTGTTTTATATTAGAGAAAATTTTGAAGATTTTACAATAAATAAGGAATCTGAAAAAAGATTTCAATTTTGAGCAAAGAATCAACTTTGTGGTCATTAATCCTCTCGATCATCCATGTGGTCGTCGTGAGTTGGTGGAGTCAAAGGTCGTTCCTCTTCTCCTCCTGGTTGAGCAATGCCACCCAATCGTTCTTCTTCTTGTAACACTCGGAGTGCTTCGTCTTTTGTGATCTTTTTGATGGAAGAAATCTTATTCTTGAATGAAATACCATAAAAGTTTTCTGCAGATTCTAACATTTCAGGTTTAAATGTTGCAGTGATAAATTGAATCTTTTCCTTTTCAGCAAGAGTTTCAATCATCTTTGCAACACTTGTTCTGTATGCAGAGTCAAGAGCAGCATCAATTTCGTCAAATAAATAGAATGGAGCAGGGTCACAACGTTGAATAGCAAAGATGAGACAAAGTGCTACAAGTGATTTTTGACCACCAGAAAGTTGTTGCATGAGATGGTAAGATTGTTCTTCTTCTGTCTCACCACTCGACATGAATGAAACCTTAATAGAGACACCTGTGAATTGATCCACTTCAGATGTTTCATCAGTTTCCTCTTCTTCCTCTTCTTCCCCTTCTCCTTTTTTAGATTTCATGGTGAGAGAGGCATGACCTCCAGGAACAAGAGTTTGGAAAATTTCTTCAAAATTCTGTGAAACTTGTTTGAAGGTTCTTAGAATAGCTTCATCCTTCCTTCTATCCAAAACTTGGATCAATTGATTAATTGCGTCTTCACCCTTTTCAAGTTCTTCCTTCTTTGTTAAGAAATCTTCTTTCTGATTGCTAAATTGCTCATATTGATCGAGGGCTTTCTTGTTCACATGTCCAAACTTTTTCAATTTTTCGTTTGTGGAATGTAACTTTTTCATGAGAGTCTTTTGGTCAGACTCTAAATATTTTCTAAAGTCTGATGGAAGAGTTCCCAATTCCTTGATTTGTCGGATGCAATCTTCTCTCTTTTGAGTCCAAATCTTCTTCTTGTTTAACAACTTTTCAAGAGAGTTTGCCTTTTCTTGTAACGTTTGAAACTTTTTAGTTTCTTCAGCTCGTTCGGTTTCTAATTGTTCTTGAGTGGTTTTGACTTTTTCGTTCAATTCATCAATTTCTTGATCTAGAACCTTAATAGATTCAGTTACATCATTAATTCGATCTTCAGTTGATTTCTTATCGCCTTGGAGTTGTGTTAAACGTTGTTGTGATGAGAAAGTGGAATCAGTTGGAAGATGATCCATATGTAATTGAAGTTCAGATTTTCTTGGAATATAATTAGTGTTCAATTGAATTCTTAGACTATCTCTCTTTGTTTCTTGTTCCAATCTACTTCTAGAAACAGTTTGTAATTGTTTAGTAAGATCATTAACAGTCTTAGTAAGTTTGTCTAGTTCTTGTTTTTCTCTAGTGCTCAATGTGGCATTGAGAGGAGCATCTTTCTCTTTTGTATATGAATCAATGGTTTCCTTATTGGCTGACAATGATGATTTCAATCGAACTAGAAGTTCTTCGTTCGATCTGATATTATCTTCAATGTTATTCTTTCGAATTTCAAGATTTTGAAGATCTTGTTGTTCATGTTGAATTGTATTCTTTGAGTTATGAACTTCAGTTTCAACTTTTTGGAGTCTGGTGATACAAGTGTTGAGTCTATCATCTAAATCAGAAATAGATGCCTTAAGTTTCTTTGACTTGTCATGACTGTCCTTGTATTCTCTTCTCAAATTTTCAATTTGTTTCATACAATCCATGCGTGATTGACGTTGTTCAATGTAACCACCTGTGAGTGTACCCTTTCTGTTTGCTTGATCACCTGCTAATGTGACGCAGTTTACATTATGATCCTTAGCAAATTGAGTACCACTTTCCAAATCTTTGGTGACAAAAGTCTTTCCAAACAAATGCTTAACGACAATTTCAAATTTGGAATCGGTTTTAACCTTTTTCCAAAGAGGAGCAAATTCTGATGTTGCAATGCTATCATCAACGTCCGAGACTTGTAATCTATTGAGTGGAATAAATGTCACTCTTCCTTGTGCTCCTGATTGATTCATAGCTTGAATAATGTCACCGCTGACTCTTTCATTTTCAACTACCAAGTGGAAGAGACTATTACCAGCGGTCACTTCAACTGCTCTGTGATATTTATCATCACATTTTATCAATTCAATCACTGTTCCATAAACGCCAGCAATATTTCTTTCTTTCACAATATTCCTAACAGAGTGGATACCAGATGTGACAGTTCGAGGGAATGTCATCTCAAGCTTTCTTTCAGCTCTGCTTAATTCTTCAGAAAATCTTTGAGTTTCCTTTTCTGTTTCCGTTTGTTCTTTCCACAACTCCTTCTTTTGATTGGTGAGAGAATCTCTTTCATTCTTGAGATCGTTATAACTTGTTTGGAACGATTCAATTTGTGTTCTATTTTCAGAAAAACTCTTCTTCTTTTCTTCAATAATTCTGTTCAAGTTTGAGAGTGTATCTTTGAGCTTTTCTGTTTCGCTAGATCTACCTGTGATTTGTTCAGAATAACTAGCATTAGATTTTTCTAACTTTTCAATTTCTTGCTGTAACCATCTATTTCTCTCTTCAACAGTGTTAAATCTATTCTTTCTTCCTTGAATACTAAGAAGTTCGTTCATTCTTCTTTCGCTTGTTTGAAGTTTTTCTTCAATTTCTTTTTCTTCTCTTAATAAATTTTCATATTGAGGAATTACTTCATCATTGAGTTGAGAAGTAATGTCTTCAATCTTCTTATTCACCTCTCGTAATTCTTCCTCAACATCTTTACGAGTGCTTTCATCTTCTTTATGTATTTGTTGATAGTCTTTCAATTCAAGATCAATCTTTGTACGTTGTCTAATAAGTTCTTGTCTTTCAGATTCTAATAGATCCTTTTCTTTTTGTTTTGCATCTTTCTCAAGTTTGGCTAATTTGATATCTCTTTCAAAATCTTTGAGTACTTGTTGAAGATACATCTTTTCCATATGTAACTGATTTGCAAGCTTGTGTTGATTCTCTCTTGCCTTTTCAATTTCTTCAAGATTTTTCGTTGCCTCATTTAACTCTTGATCGAAAATTGCATATTCAATGCATCTTCTGTCCTTATCCAGCTTTTGGAATTCTTTGAGCTCTTCTTTTTCTTGTTCCAATTCGTCTAAACGTTCTTGCACATATTCAATAGCTTCATTAATTTTTTGTTTTTTCTGTTCAGCTTCTTTCATAATACCTAGAGATTCTGCACGTTTTTGATCATAAACTTTTGTACCTGCAATTTCCTTTAACAATTCTAATCTTTCAGAGTCCTTCATGGTTGTCAAGGTTGCAACTTTACCTTGCTCAACAATGTAATAGGGATTACTTGAACTGAGACCTGCTGATTCTAGCAAGTTGAAGACTTCTCTTTGAGTGACAGCTTTACCATCAATTCTATATTCATCTTTCTTTAAACCAACTGTTCTTCTAATCGCAACTTCTTTTGCGTCAATTGGAAGTCTATTGTCAGAATTGTCAAAAACAATTTCAACAAATGCAGAAAGAACTCCTCTACCTGTACCTTCGTGCAGAAAGGCTTGTCTTTCTTCGCTTCTCAATTTACTAAACTTTTCACTCAAAACAAAAGAAATAGCACTGAAGAAATTTGATTTACCACTTCCGTTACGACCAACAATAATATTTTGTGATGGTGAGAACTCTTGTCCAGCAAAAGTTTGGTCTCTGTACGATTTGAACCCTTGTATCGTTACTGATTTAATATACATGGTTGATGATGAGACCGATGATGATGATGATATGGATGAAATAAATTAAATGAGAGAGTTGATTGAAAAATTTCAGGATGACAAGCCTAGCGAGTACTGTTGTTATTGGTGTCGGTGTGAAGGCTTGCTGCTGCGGGTGTAAGAAAACGAGAGGCAAAGAGAGTTTAATTTTTTTTTGATTTTGAATCACAAATTGGCGGGTGCAAATTTCCGCCAATTATTTGACCTTTGGCGGGCTGGAAAGGATACTGCTCACGCAAGTGGTCAATTGTTGTTGTTGAAACACATATTTGAAAACTACATTCGTCTATTAAGAGTTGAGTTGTTAACCTTGTTGTTTTTCTCATAGGGAAGTGCCACTAATTACACTTTTTAGTTGCTGGAGGGGGTGGAGGCAATTTCATCGGTTTCACCGATGAAATTGCATCCCGCCTTCAGTTCCCACCAAAACTAAACGTTCAAATTTAATTAATTTAAAATAATAATTATTATTAATAAAGTGAATAAATATTTACCTCATGTATGGCTTTAATAACAAGAACAAAACAAATGGTGAAACGTCAAACCTTACTCGCTCCAATCAAGAAACAGATTCCAGTAGATTTTTACACAAGTGAAGAAAATCTTGACCAATATCAACTCTTCATGAATAGGTATTGCTTTCTCACAATGACAAGGCTTCAAATAATTCCATCTCAAAAGCAAGCAATTCATTCAGCTGGAGCACGTTTGTATCAACAAATCAAAAACCACTCAGAACTTCTCGATGCAATTACTGATGTTCACTCAAACCTATTCACAACATCACATGAAGAATTCACAGTCCTATCTAAATCTGGTCGTGAATGGCTGGAGCAAAGGACTAGCAAGAGAGGTCGAGTTACAAAGCAAGACCAACTGCGTAAATCAATACAAGACCTTCAGTTACAAAGAAGTAACATACTTGAATTGAAATCCTCAACTCAGGATGAGGTGTTGTTGGCAGAATATGACAAACAATTGCAAGAACTGGACTTCAAAACACTTGACAAAAAGCAAGCGATTGCATATCTCGAAAGGAAAGCAGCTGAACAAAGGATCCGTAGACACAACAGCAGCACGAACAAAATTGAAAAGAAGAGAGGACGTCCACGGAAAGCATCAGGAATGGCTCAAAGACTTCAAGCAGTAGTTGA